AGTATTTATAGAGTGCATAATGGGGGGACTTAATGGGTGTATTGATGTAGTAGAGGGACATTATGAGGGGCATTGATGCCTTGTATGAGGAGAGGCCTATATAAGGAGCCTTCTCCCTCACTTGTAACTCATTCCATCATTTTTGAGAGTAATACACACTAGAGAGTTCTCCCAATCCTTTGTCTCTTTGTTCTTGTTCTTTGCTTTCAAGTGAGTTGAGAGAAAGGCTGCCTAGCGCTCTAACGGATTTGAGAGCTAGGGCCGCACGATCGAGAGTAAGGTCGTGACACCATCCATCGAGTTTCCCCTCAACCAGAACTGAGTTCTATGCTGTCGTGGCGAGTTTTGATTTTGTTACGTCGTAAATTAACAGGTCCTGACAATTTGAGTTATCGAGAGAAATTTGATATATGAATATTAACAATTTCCTTATACGAAATGTTGATAACTCTTCTACTTTCGCCCGTAGGTCTGAACCTTCCGTAGACCGCCGATGGAATACTTGCAGGCCAGTAAGACCGTCATCCCTGTTTTGACTATCGTATTGTAGCTATCCATGAAAGGTAGGTAGTTTTCTCCCCACCTCTACAATTCCTGGTTTCTTTTCTTGACCTATAATCATTTTTTTTCTAATATCATAAGAGAAAAGTCAGATTATTTTATAATTTTACCCCTGACCATAATAATATTGGAATTTTGACTCCCCCCCCCCCCCCCCCCCCCCCCCCCCCCGAAAACAATTGAAAATTCCAATCTGCCGGCGGCCCTAAACCGGTACCGTGAACTATGGACAAAGAGATATAGCTATTGCATGTTTTTTCTTTAAACAATCATATTTCGGTTTTACTTATATCTCTTTCCACGTGGGCGGCGCCATGCATGCATGCAAAAGCCGATCACCAGGCCACCTATTTAAACATTTCCCACCCCACGCATCTCTTTTCATCCCACAAACTAACTAATCAATCCTCCATAGCCAAGCAGCTCGACGATCTACAGCCATGGATCTTGCTTCAATACTCTTCGCACTTTCGGGAGTCCTCTTCCTTCTGATCCTCCACAAGCTGGTGGTCAACCCTAGCAACGGAAAAAACAAACCTCTGCAAATCCCGGAAATCCCAGGAGGCTTGCCTTTCATCGGCCACCTCCACCTCCTCGGCGGCGAAGACACGCTGGCCAGGAAGCTGGCCTCCTTCGCCGACAAGCACGGCAGCATGTTCACCATCCGCCTCGGCGCCTACCCAACCGTGGTGGTCAGCGACTTCGAGTCCATGAAGGACTGCTTCGTGAAAAACGACAGAGCCCTCGCCGCCCGCCCTCCTTCCACGCAGGGCAAGATCCTCGGCAACAACTTCGCCGTCTTCGGGTTCGCCTCCTACGGAGAGTACTGGCGCAACGTCAAGAAGCTCATCATCACCGAGATTATGTCCCTCCCCAGGATCAGGGCACTGAGGCACGTCCAGGTCTCCGAGGTGGACGTCCTGATCAGGGACCTCCACCTCCAGTGCAGCAGCAGCCAGCAGGCTGATCACGAGGTGGTGGTGATCAGCGACTGGCTACAGAACTTTGTCCTCAACATCATCACCAGGATGGTGGCGGGGAAGAAGTACTTCGAGAACCTGGCAGACAGCGTCGGCCTGCAGGCCGATGCTGGAGGCCGCCCCGTGGGGGAGCTCATCAGGGAGTTCATGGACGTGAACGGGTCCCTCGTTCTGTCGGATCTGATCCCGATCCTCGGGTGGATCGACATCAAGGGGATGAAGAAGGCCATGAGGAGGATCTCCAAGGAGCTGGACGTGATCGTGGACGGTTGGATCGACGAGCACAAGGTGAAGAGGAACAAGTTGGGTGACAACTTGGTCCCCGAGGATTTCATCGACGTCATGCTCTCAGTTGTCGATGACAACTTCGACCCTTCTTCCAAACACGACAAGGAAACCATCATAAAGTCAACCGCCATGGTATTTTTTTTTTTTTTTACGTCCTAACCCTAATTCTTACGTGCTGGTCTTGAGATTAACAATTACTGATATTATTATAGGCTAATAATAATTTTAATATTGTGGTTTAATATATAGGCGGTGATCATTGCGGCGGCGGACACGACATCGGTGACGCTGACGTGGATGCTGTCGAACCTGCTGAACAACCGGCGAGCCATGGCGGCGCTGAAGCAAGAGATCGACGAGAAAGTAGGGTTTGACCGGATCGTGGAGGACTCGGACCTCGAAAACCTGACGTACCTGCACGCGGTGATAAGGGAGACGCTGAGGATGAACCCGGCGGGGCCGATCTCGGTGCCGCGCGTGGCGTCGGAGGATATCACCATCCGTGGCTACCACGTGCCGAAGGGGACGCGCTTCTTCGCCAACTTCTGGAAGCTTCACCGGAACCCGGAGATGTTCCCCGAGCCGGACGAGTTCAGGCCGGAGAGGTTCCACGAGAAGGAGGTGAAGGTGGACATCTACGGGAGGGATTTCGAGTACCTGCCGTTTGGCACCGGGCGGCGGTCGTGCCCCGGGATGAACTTCGGGATGCAGGTGGTGCAGCTGACGGCGGCGAGGCTGATCCAGGCGTTTGACTTTGGGACGCCGTTTGACCTGCCGGTGGACATGACGGAGGCCGACAGCACCACGCTCGCCAAGGCGAAGCCGCTGGAGGTCGTGCTGACCCCACGCCTTTCGCCGGAGCTTTACCGCCAGGCTTGATTATTTATTTATTTAATTAATTAGGAATAATTATGTTAATCATCATCTTATCCAGCAGCCGCCGCCAGCCAGATCGTAATTAATCATATTTTTATTAATTAATTAATGATATAATATAATAACCAGGGTGATGGGAATAGTTAATGAGTACGGAGATCCTCTGTCCTTTCAGAGGCCCTTTGTGGAGAGATGGGAAATATGTAATAACTGGCTTTCATGTTTATTGATTGTTTTTTTTTTTGTTTTTTTGTTTACGTTTAAGTTGATTCATATTTTTTTTTTAATAACACTTGATTCATATATAAAGATACACATCTTATTGCAGTTCATTTGTCTTCAGCGAATTAAGTTGTTTTGACAGAAGAAAAGTTATATAAGATTGTTGGGGTCGGATACTATGCTAACCCCTAAAGGGGTAGTGATTTTCGACACCCCCTTTATGATTGGCCAATTTTATTTTCAATCATTGGCAAGTATTAATTAAACTGGTTTTTTTATTTTTTTTAATCTTGTAATTTGGGGTCTCTCACCCACATTGGAAAGGGAAAGAATACGGGGAATCAGAAAAAAACTCCCCCCCCCAAATGTGCAATTAATTGCCTTTTTTCTTCCTTTCGTCTCCTTCTCTCTCCATTTGGGCCCTCTTTCCATTTTGATTTCATTTTAACCAGAACCCTCATCTACTCTGAAACGACCAAAACTCTCCAGCGCCTTCCCCCACCACCATCCTCCTATCTCCAGCTGCCGCCATCCTGGGATCGCCTCTGACCTACCTTGTGGATTGCTCGCACCAGTGGAGTGGTACGTGTACCAGTGGAGTGGTATTTGTATCATTGAAGTGGTACTGCATTGTTACTCCGTTATTGTTTATCATTGTTATGAAAAATATCATTGCACTGGTATTGTTCTCACTGTAACCTACCTTGTGGATTGCTCGCACCAGTGGAGTGGTACGTGTACCAGTGGAGTGGTACGTGTACCAGTGGAGTGGTACGTGTACCAGTGGAGTGGTACGTGTACCAGTGGAGTGGTACGTGTAATTAATGTACCAGTGAGAGAAATTAATTATGTAATTAATGGGGGTGATTTTGTTTTTCCCCAGATTCTTTCTCTTTTCCAATGTGGTGAGAGACCCCAAATTACAAGATTAAAAAAAATAAAAAACCAGTTTAATTAATACTTGCCAATGATTAGAAGTAAAATTGGCCAATCATAAAGAGGGTGTCAAAAATCACTACCCCTTTAGGGGTAGTCAAGCTAACCGATCCCATGATTGTTGTACAAACAATTTTATTACAGAAGTGTAGACACTAAGTACAACATAGGTACTTTGTCCCAATTTTGAACAAAGGTTTATGAATTGATCAATCTTGACGTAACGTGGGACAGGGACGGAGCCAGCTAAGGACTAGGAGGGGCCATGGTCCCCCTAAAATTCTGGAGTTGGATAAAACCAAGTATGGGTAACTTGTAACAATAATAATGTTGTAGCATAGTGGATGGAGGATAGTTCTATTTTCCTTATTTAGGATGGGATTGAGGTTCGATTCTTATCTTTGTTTTGTTGCCCATTTTTCATTTTATTTTACTTTTTTCTTGCCGGTTGTTGACCTAAAATACGAAATTCTTATGTGGTGAATGTTCTCATCCTGCATTATTAGGCTAATTCTGATGTGGTGGATGTTCTCAACCCGCATTATCATTAGGCTAACTCTTGAGATTGTCTTTATTTCACACTTTAAAGTCAATTTCATGTAATTTTCAGTGAAATTTATCTTTTTTTCCATACGATTTTAACATTTTTAATACTTTTTAATTTTATTTAATCTTTTTCAAAATCAATTTCATGTAATTTTAAAGTGAAATTTTACCATATGTTAACCTTTCCTACCAATATAACATATCCTAAGTTTCAGTTACAACACCCATAAATAATATGTTCCGTGATAAAATACATCGAACAAGATATATCATGATGATTATGTTGGACACAATTTTATATGGTCTTGGATAAAAAATTTATGTACCATTCGAAACTAATATTTCCTTTTACATATGATTTTTTTACTATTAGTTTGTCGCAAAAAAAAATCAAATGGTCCCTCCTACCGAAAAATCCTGGCTCCGTCCTTGACGTGGACCTCCATAAAATCTTTTCCTATCAACTTTACGTCGTTGAAGCGAGAAACAAATCCAACAAGGTAAGCATTAATACCAGGCCTCCGCAAACACATTACCGAATGGGCTTCGGCCTTTAATCTATTGCTGGCCCAATGTACGTTAGTTCATTTCGTCACCAATTAAAGTTTTCTTCTTCCCATAGTTTGATTGTACATTTGTACCTCTGTGCTGAACAAAGCAGAGCTAAAGATCCAGAAGCACAGAGTTGTCTAGTATTAGCAATTACACAAAAGAAATTATGAATAGTGAAACACCAATTTGTTTCTCTTACAATATATGGTTGTCGTCTATATATCATCGAGCTACCAAAGTGGTTATTGATACGCGGTTAACTGAAGGAACTCCCGATGATCCAGTGGCACTGCTCGTTGCTGGATCTGCATCATCATACTTTTTATTGAGTACGAATGCTGGCTTTTTGGGAGATGGAAGGGTAGTTGCATTTCCCAACATGAAAACAACGTCTGACATAGCCGGTCGATCTGTCGGGAATTCTTGGACACACAAGAGTCCTATTTGAATGCACCTCATGACTTGTTCCGTGGAAAATGATTCTCCCATTGTTGATGAATCCACCATGTCCAATGCTCTTCCTTCACTCCACAAGTCCCACACCTATTGTATGTACAATACGAACTATTCAGTCGTCTTTCTCAACCGAGTGATTCATTTTCTCCCATGAACTATGCGACAAGAAGTTCAGCCTTGACCAAATTAGTCATGCTTTTGCAAGGATTCAAACTCAACAAGAATCAATCAGTCAATTAGGAAGAACTACTTATCAAACAGTCAATTATTATATATTTACTACATCTTATCGGAACAATTCTGTGACTTATTTGATTTCAACCAAAATTTCAAATGAGTGAGTGAAATTGTAAGTATGATTAGTTTCTTACTACCGAAAACATGGTCCAATAACCTAGTCGCGTATTAAAGGACATAACTTCTTTTAGGTGGAAAAGAGCACTTACATGACCAATCAAGCTAGATGATGAACTTCCTTGGTAACACTGATTGCTCCTCGTGCTGCTCACAATCTCAAGTGTCAAGACTCCAAAGCTAAAAACATCTGATTTTGTCGAATAAAGGCCTTCCATTGCATACTCTGGAGACATGTACCCACTGCAAAATCTCATGTAGAAGAATCAAAACTTGTCTCAGGAAGAATATCTTAAGAAGGAAACTAGGTTTTATATAAAGTTAAGTTACTATTCTTACTAGGTTCCAACAACTCTATCTGTATTGGCCTCTATTTGATCCTCTCCAAATAACTTAGCCAACCCAAAATCTGAAATTTTGGGGTTCATTGTAGCATCTAGCAGAACATTGCTTGCCTTTAGGTCTCTGTGAATGATTTTCAACCTTGAATCTTGATGTAGATACAATAAACCACGAGCAACTCCTATGATGATTTCAAATCGTCTCATCCAGCCCAATAGCAAGCCTTTAGTTTTATCTAGATCAAAGGAACACATCAACTAATAAGATGTTTTCATCGACAATTAACTATGGAATAATAAAAGAATAATATAATGCACTGGATTGAAAGGGGATGAAAAATATACCAAAGATGAAGAAGTCAAGGCTTCTATTTGGCAAGTACTCATAGACCAACATCTTGTCCTCTCCATGAATGCAACAACCAAATATCCTTGCTAGATTCTTATGTTGAAGTTTGGACACTAATCGTACTTCGTTCTTGAATTCACGAATTCCTTGCCTTGATGTTTGGGACAATCTTTTCACGGCTATTTCTTGCCCGCTAGATAGTGTACCCTAACCAAATCAAAATCATAACTATTACATAAAAAGGGTAGACTCAAAATCTTCAATCTTATCTTTACTATCCTTGGACAAATGATTATTGGCAACAGGAAAATTCTCAGTGGCGGCAAATATATGTACCTTATAAACCAAACCGAAGCCCCCTTGTCCGAGTTTATTGGCATCAGAAAAATTCTCGGTGGCAGCAAATATGTCAAGTACATCGAAAATTGGTACTGATGAATCTTTATCTTCGTATAAGTTTTCCTCTTGAGATTCGGACTTCGTTCTCAAAATCATATGATTGGAACCTCCACTACTTCCTGCATAGGTTTTAAGGAATAATCATCTAACAATTTTTTTTTGCGAAACATGAAATAAAATTGAAACGATACAGACAATGTTAACGCACTTAGCTTTATGCACTTGATTACCTTTTCTTTTCCGTTTCAGGAGGCAATAATACACTGCCGAAACTCCCAATATGATGGCCGCACCAACAAAAGTCAATCCGATCGCTAACATCTTCTTCTTCTTTTCCTCGTATCCTCTCAACCGTTTCCTGTATTCAGCTATAAGCAAGTGTTAAAAAATTCCTTGTCTTCAAGAACAATGTGGACAAATTAAACTCCACGATGCCAAAAATTCACGCTTACCCAATTCAATTGCGTCGGCTAGCACGTACAAGTCCTGTCCCGCACCCTTAATCAGCCTCGTATCAACCAAATCCCCGAACAACAAAATGCACCCAATCCCACTCGTCAAATTCGAGCTCGCGTAAGCCGTACAGGAACAGTTCCTCAAACACTCCCCTGCACACCCGCTCAAATCCACACCCGCAATCCGCACAGCGGTCGTCGTATCAGGAACTTTAGCATTTTTCAATTTCACAAATCCGTCACCACCACCACCATCCCCTCCACAACTCAAATTCCTCGCTCGCTTCCTGACGCACCCTCCCAGGGCGTTTCTCAAGGACCAATCGATCGGCGACCTCGGCTCGAACCCCGGAAGACAGATGCAGGGGAACTCCCCTACAGCTCTATAAGGGTCACAGCCCGTTCGGCCCGCAGTTCCCGAAAACGTCGCAGAACTCCGTCGGATATCGAAAAACCTCATCCCAGCGCCCTTCCTCGTCCAGCCACACCCCGCGGCTCAAGGTCCCCGCCGGATCCAGGTACACCCTGGATATCATGGCGGGGTCCCGAAGTCCCCAAATGATGGTCGTGTCGTTCTCGTCGATCTCCACGGTGAAGAAAAATACGGAGACTCGAGCCAGGTCCGGGATCCCGGACCAGCCGATCCCGTTCCACGGTCCGCTCCTCCACTGCTTGGTTCGACCTCTGTACACTGTCAATTGAGGCGACCCGCTCGGGTCCAGGAAATAGGACCAGTCCCCTGTCGCAGGGTCGTCAGGGGACTTCCAGGACCGAATCGCGTAGTCCGGTCCTGTTTTTCGCACCGTGTACGGTAGGTACGAGTCCGTCGGATTAGCGAAGCTCTGCCATAGAACTGCCTCTTGATCGCCCTCCTGTCGGAGCAGAACGAAATTGCCTTCGTCCGACAGTCGAGCCGCCACCGGATTCGATCCGGTGGAGACATTTGTAGACCACGAAATGAAAGCAGTAGTAGTAGTAGTGGTGGGACTCTGTCTTCCCCTGCTCAAAACCAATCCGCCTCCTCGGGGGTCGATGGAGAGTGAACCGGATGTATCGTTGATCGGATCGTCTCGGTTGGCGACCCAAACCACGACATGTGTGGGAACTTTGGTGAACCAGATTCCAAGGTATCGGTTGGTTGATTCCCCGGGGCTGAAGAAACCCAGAGTGTATTTTTCTCCACGGGAAACGAGTACTTGGCCATCCGCAAGAGATTCGTTGAATCGGATGGTGTCTGTAGATGAAGAACAAGGAAAGGGAAGAACGAGGAAGAGTAGAAGAAGCACAAAAATGGCTTGGAGCTCCATGATAATCAAGGAAATGGAGATACCACCGATGTGGTTCATGTTCAATTTTACTCAGACAAGCAGAAGAACATTGTTGCTTTTCTCTGTGAATGGTGCACAATGGCAATTGGCAAATGCTACGCGTGAGACTTCACAAAATGTCCCACACGCAAGTCAACACAAAAAAGAGTGTTTGACTTTGGAATTTTTGGATGGGAAAGAAACCGTCTATTGAGACCATCTCCAACCATACAACCAAAGTTTCACATTCTCAAAAGTATGGTCTCTTTCCTATCAAAAAAAAAAAAAAAAGTATGGTCTCTATTAGTAAGATCAAAGTTTCAAAGTGTTAGAATTTAGCGAGTTTTTACTTTTTAGATCAAATTTGACACACAAGATGATAAGAAGAACCACATTTTTGTGGTAACTAGTAATTTTTTTCTCTAGATTTAATGTGAACACAATTTCATCCGTCGACAGACTTTTGTGAGATATTTCTCTCTTTGTATTATTTCTCCAAGTCAATGGTTTGTGGCGTTTTGTTTCCTTATCTAGGACCCTACATCCCCATGTACAATTGTACATATGTGATCGTCAGTAGTCGCACATGTGTGGAAGAAATGGTTCCCCTTATCTAAAACTTTGTATAGACCCTCCATTGCATATTCTGGTGACATGAATCCGCTTCAAAAATTATTTACTAGAATAAAAAAATTGTTGCCTCAAATCCGAAATTGGGTTTTAAAGTTAATTTTCTTACTAGGTTCGTACAATTCTATTTATATTGGCCTCTATTTGTTCCTTTTTTGAATAATCGAACCCGTCCTGAAATATGATCTTTTAGGATTCAGCATCTAGTTCAACATTGCTTTCTTTTAGATTGTTGTGGATGATTTTCAACCTTGAATTTTGATGTAAATATAATAAACCTCAAGCAATTCGTATGATGATTTCAAATCGCGGTGGTTTGTTTTTTGTCATAAACTGATAAAAGAAATCCGGTGGTCCGGTGTGACTAGTTGTGGCTGAGTATGCATCGTCATACTTTCTTTGGTGAAACAAATCCCAGAAGGTAAGCATCAATACCAGGACTTAAGATGCAGAACCAAATATACTTTCCCCATAGTTTGATGGTGAACAAAGTAGAGTTTAAGATGCAGAACCACATAGTTGTTTATTTTTAGCAACTACACAAAAATTACTAAGCTCAAGTGAAAAATGAAGCACTACATTTTATATATGCTTGTCATCTATATATCATCTAGCTACCAAAGTGGTTGTTGTTAAGTGGTTAATGGAAGGAACTCCAGATGATCCGGTGGCGGTGGTCATTGCTGGATATGCGTCATCATATTTTTTGTTGAGTATGAATGCGGGCTTCTTGGGAGATGGAAGAGTGTTTGCATTTCCCAACATGAAAACAACATCTAACATAGTCGGTCGATCGATTGGGGATTCTTGGACGCACAAGAGTCCAATCTGAACGCACCTCATGACTTGATCCGTGGAAAATGATTCTCCCATTGTCGATGAATCCACCATGTCCAACGATCTTCCTTCACTCCACAAGTCCCACACCTAGTGTGTGTACAACAATACGAACTATTCAGGTTTCTTTCTCAATTGAGTGATTCATTTTTTACGGGAACTATGCAACAAGAAGTCTGCCTTGACCAAATTAGTCATGCCTTTGCAAGGATTCAGAATCAACCGGAATCAAACAGACAATTATGATGAACTACTTATCAAACCGTCAATTCCTATAGATTTACTACATCTTTTTTTATGAGGATTTGCTACATCTTATTGAACAAATTTTGTGGGTTATTTGGTTTCAACTAAATTTTTAAATGAGTGAGTAAAATTGTAAATATGATTAGTTTCTAACTACCAAGGGCATGATCCAATAACCTAGTGTCGTATTATAGGACATAACTTATTTTAGGTGGAAAAGAGCACTTACATAACCAATCAAGCTAGAGGATGGTCTTGCTTGGTAACACTGGTTGCTTCTCGTGCTGCTCACAATCTCAAGTGTCAAGACTCCAAAGCTAAAAATATCTGATTTTGTTGAATAAAGGCCTTCCATTGCATACTCCGGAGACATGTACCCACTGCAACATTTCATGTAGAAGAATAAAAACTTGTCTAAAAAAATCTCCGAAGAAGCAAAACCAAGTTTTGTATATAGTTTAATTCTTACTAGGTTCCAACAACTCTTTCTGTATTGGCCTCTATTTGATCCTCTCCGAATAACCTAGCCATCCCAAAATCTGAAATTTTTGGGTTCATTGTAGCATCCAGCAGAACATTGCTTGCTTTTAAATCTCTGTGGATGATTTTCAGTCTTGAATCTTGATGCAGATACAATAAACCTCGAGCAATCCCTATGATGATTTCAAATCGTCTCATCCAGTCCAATATCACCCCTTTCGTTTTATCTAGATCAATGAAACATATCAACTAATCAAATGTTTTCATGGACACTTAACTATGGAATAATGAAAGGAAAATATAATGCACTGAATTGAAAGGGGATTAAAATACAAACCAAAGATGAAGAAGTCGAGGCTTCTGTTTGACAAGTACTCATATATCAACATCTTGTCCTCTCCGTGAATGCAACAACCAAATATCCTTGCTAGATTCTTGTGTTGGAGTTTGGAAACTAATCGTACTTCATTCTTAAATTCGCCAATTCCTTGTCTTGAAGTTTGAGACAACCTTTTCACTGCTATTTCTTGCCCACTGGATAGTGTACCCTAACCAAATCAAAATTATATCTAAGAAAATCAAAATTATTAACAAAAATAATTTATCAACGATATAAAAAGGTTAGGTTCAAAATCGTTCATTTTCTCACTATTATCCTTAGACAAATGACTGATGTGTATTCCCCCAAACTATTCACCTTATCATAAATATATGAAAATCTTTCCTCTTTGGTAATTCACACAATATATGTGTACCTTGTAAACAGAACCGAAGCCACCTTGTCCAAGTTTATTGGTAGCAGAAAAATTCTCGGTCGCAGCAAATATGTCTAGTACATCAAAAGTAGGCACCGATGAATCTTTATCTTCGTATAAGTTTTCCTTTCGAGACTCAGACTTTGTTCTCGAAATCATATGATTGGTATCTCCACTACTTCCTGCATAGGTTTTAAAGAACGATTAGCTCTCACTTCTTGGAAAACATTCGATAAAATTGAAACGATACGAAAAATGTTAGCTAACTTCTTTTTGTGCACTTGATTACCTTTTCTTTTCCACTTCAGGAGACAATAAAACATGGTTGAAGCCCCCAATATGATGCCCGCACCACCAACAGAAGCCAATACAATCGCTAAAACCTTCATATTTTCCTTTTGCCCTTTCAACTGTTTCCTGTATTCCGCTAAAAATCACAGTCATACGATAAGTGTCAAGTTATCTTCAAGAACAATTCAGATAAACTTTGGTACATACATGCCAACAATCACCCTTACCCAATTCAATTGCGTCCACTCGCACATACAAGTCCTGTCCAACACCGATAAGCACTCTCGTATCCACCAAATCCCCGTACAATCGAATGCAACCAATCCCACTCGTCAAATTAGAGCTTGCGTAAGCCGTACAGGAACAGTTCTTCAGACACTCCTGTGCACACCTGCTCAGATTCATATCTGCATCCGCTGTAGCGGTCCTCGTGTCAGGAACTTTAGCATTTTCCAATTTCACAAATCCGTCGCCACCTCCACAACCCAAATTCCTTGTCGCTCGCTTCCTGATGCACCCTCCTAAGGCATCTCTCAGGAACCAGTCGTTCAGAGACCTGGGCTCGAAACCAGGCAGACAGATGCAGGGGAAGTCTCCTACAACTTTGAAAGGGTCACAGTTCCCGTTCGGCCCGCACTTCCCATAGATGTCACAACTCACAAGTCTCCGTTGGATATCGAAACACCTCATCCCAACGACCCTCCTTGTCCTGCCACAAGTCGCGGCTCAGGGTCCCTGCAGGATGCAGGTGGACCCTGGCTACGACGGCAGGATCCCGAAGTCCCCAGGTGAAAGTGACGTCGTTTTTGTCGATCACCACGCTCGAGTTGAAGAAGGAGACTCGAGCTATGTCGGGGATCCCGGACCAGGCGACTCCATTCCACGGTCCGCTCCTCCACCGTATGGTTCGACCTTCGTACAGTATCAACTGAGGCACCCCGTTGGGGTCCAAGACGTAGGACCAGTCCCCTGTCGCAGGGTCGTCAGGGGACTTCCAGGAGCGGATCGCATAGTCCGGTCCTGGTTTTCGCGGCGTGTAGGGTAAGTACGTGTCTGTTGGATGAGCAAAGCTCTGCCACAGAACCACCGTCTCGCGATCTCCGTCCTGTCGGAGCAGAACGACATTTCCTTCGTCTAACAGTCGAGCCACGACCGGATTCGCTCCGGTCGAGACATTTGTGGACCACAGAGTAGCAGCAGTACCGTTGATTCTTTGATTCAAAACCAAGCCGCCACCTCGGGGGTCGATTCAGAGCGAACCGGAAGTATCGTTGACCGGATCGTCTCGGTTGGCGACCCTAACCACTTCTTGTGTGGGATGTTTGGTGAACCAAATTCCGACATAGCGGTTGGTTGATTTCCCGGGGCTGAAGAAACCCAGAGTGTACTTCTTTCCGCTGGAAATTAGTACTTGGCCGTCTGCAAGAGATTCGTTGAATCGTATGGTGTCTGTAGAAGAGGAAGAACAACAGAAAGGAAGAAAGATGATGAGCGGAAGGAGCACAAAAATGGTTTGGAGCTCCATTATAATCAAGGAAATGGAGAATCCACCAATATGGTTCATGTTTAATTTCACTCAAACAATTAAGCAGCGTATTGTTTAATGAGAATGTTACATGGAAGACTTAACAAAAACTTTCCAAGTCAAAACAAGGAGTGTTGGACGGGGGAATAATTATTTTTTTTAGATAAGGGTGATATAGGTTAATTTTTTATTATTAGGTACTACTTAAGGGACTTGAACCTGAGACCTCCAGGTTCATGGCTAGTGGTATTACCACTCGACGGGGGAATAATTATTGGACGGGAAAGAAACAGTCTACTTACGGCAAAGACTCAATTAGACTATACTCAAGTCAATAAAATTCATTTTCGTAGTCTATTGAAATGGTTTGAAATTAAAATGGGAAATTATATCACTTGTGTTATTTCATCCTAAGGGTTGTTTTTTTATTTTAGATAAACTTTTTTATAGATAAGTATCCTGAGGGTTGTTTTGATGAAAGAATGCCGAATTCTAATGAAATGGTTGGATTTATTATTATTATTATTATTATTATTATTATTATCCAGTAACCTCAACTCCACGTGCCACTTCGTGACAGCAGGGTCTACTAAACCTGGAGAGTACCTGTATCGACAATATTTTCAAGACCTAGCAACAAATGTACTTAGTGTGTTTGGTTATGATCCTTGCTTTACCATTATAAAAAAAATATTTTCAAGACCTAGCACCCAATACTAGGGGAAGACAAAGTCTCCAGAACTCAAGGTGCCTCCGGGAACACTTGGAATTTTTTTTTGTAATGTCTATTTTTTTATCCAAACTATTTTCAGATTCTTTTATATTATCCAAACCTATTAAAATGCTATTAATTATCCAAATCTTTCGTAACGCATCAAAATATTAGCCGTTTTTGTGTTATCGTTGATAATTTTATAACTCCTTTCATAGTTTTTTTATGAATAACTCCTTTCTTAGTTAAAATACTAAAATTTTGGAAATGTGACCTTCATGTCTCTTTCAAGTCAGTATTATGTTGCCAAGTCAATATTACTAACAAAATTGCTAACTGGAAGTTAACATTTGACTAATTCTTAGTATTTCGATAGGTTTGGCTAATAAAAAAAAATCTAAAAAAGGTTTGGCTAATAAATAGTCATTACCTTTTTTTATTACCTAGGAACTTCAACCCCACGTGCATTTCGTGACAGCAAGGTTTACTAAATTTGGGGAGTACCTTCATCAGCAACATTTTCAAGACCTAGCACTCGATACTAGGAGAAGACAAAGTCTCCCGCACTCGAGGTGCCTCCGGGAATACCAAGTGGTGTAGTGGGGTTCGAACCTGAAACCTCACACATCTTAGGCCCGAAAAACTACACTCCCGACCAATTTGGCTGTGTTACCTTCGGCAAATGGTTGGAATTTAAATGGATGAAATAATGGGAAATTGTTGTTTCAAGAGATAATAGAAGGAATTGTGCTAATTTATCCTTTTTAAATGACTTATTTTTACCTCATAGTGAATGAATTGAAATGGAAGAACTTAAAGAACGCCCGCGGATTTGGATTTTTCACTTTTATTCATCCAAAGAATGGAATCTAGTTTTTTTTTTCACGATTTAATTCTTAGCTTCTTGAATACTTTTCAACAGAGGATTTTCCTCTTTCATTATTTCCCCCAAGTCAATAGTTTGTGGCGTTTAATTTCCTTATATAGAACCCTACATGATCACCATATTCCATTGGGCTAATACCACTGGGAAACCCGAACTATTAACTTTGTGTCATTTGTGTCCTAAAGTATTCGATATGACAATTGTGTCCCAACGTTTGGTAGTTTTGTGTCATTTACGTCCTAACAATTTTGTTGACCGTTATAGATAACGGTTGACCAAACGGTCAACCATAAAATGTTGACTGTTGATTACATGGCACATATGTGGCAGCCACGTATACACCACATCAGCTGCCACATCAGCTCATTAACACATAATATTTTTAAATTATTTTTTAATGAAAAATAATAAAATTAAAAATTCTATTTTTTTAACCCCTACCGTCGGTCGCCGCAACCACCCAACCGAACCAAAACCAGATTCAGTTCCCTTCCGACCCTAAAGCTCCAAAGCTGAATCGCGTCGTCTTCCCCAAACTTCACTTCCTCCACCACGCTGTTCCACTGCGACGTCAGAACGTAGTTCCCCCTGCCGACGACCGTGCCCCACTGCTCCGCCGCCTCCTCCGCCGTCAAGAACTCTTCCCCCACCGCCCCGCGCGGGATCGACAGCCGCGCTTGGCTCTGGTCTAGGTCGCTCCTCGACAGACACTTCTGGATCACAGACTCCAATCGACATCTTCTCCGGATTTTCAGCACCAGCTCCGCAAAGGATACTTGGTCCGGCGACTTGGACGAGGAGAGACAAATATCGAACGGCGAATAATCCAGCTCCGGCAACCACCACTTCAATTCGGCCCTACAAATCCAGGTCATCTCCGTCGCCTTCAAATTCAGATAAAAATTCCAATCGAACTCCTCCAATCTCGGCTCCGTCGCCTTTAGATTCAATTCAAAATTCCAATCGAATTCCTCCAATCCCTAAATCACCCATCGTGCTTAAGATTTCCATTGCGGATTCGCGAAAAGGATGCCGCCCCCCATGCCATTCTTCTTGCTCTCCCTCATCCGCCGTCGATGGTGAAAAGGATGCCGCCAATAGTGACTCCATCAGGTAAGTCGCCACTCCCCCATGCCATTCTTCTTGAATTTGTTTATATGAGTTGGGATTCAGATAAGAAAGAAACCCTGAAATTTTTAGGGATTTCGATTATTTTGTTGGCCATTTGGGTTTCTGATTTCGTTGTGGGTTGGGGTTTCTGATTTCGTTGTGGTATTGAGATCTGGGTTGGGTTTCTTGATTTGGGTTTGGGAGTTTGTAGTTCAAGAGGGCAACGAGCAGAGGAGAGAAGACGAAGAAGCAGCGGGAGGAGTTCCGGCGGCGAAGACTACGGAGGAGAGATAAAAGAGTTATTTATTTTGTATTTTTATATTTAATTTTTTGTATTTTGTAATTTTCGTTTTGTTAGTATATTATTTTTTATAATAAAATAAATCAATAATAAATAATAATATTCCACGTCGGATGCCACATCAGCGCTGACTAGATTTTCAGTTAAAAACTAACGGTCAACGCCAGTCAACTCTAACGGACAAATAGTTTAGGACACAAATGTCATATCGATTACTTTAGGACACAAATGACACAAAGTTAATAGTTCGGGTTTTCTAGTGGTATTAACCCTATTCCATTATATGTGATGGCCAGTAGTCACGCATGTGTTGAAGAAAATGTTCCCCTTATCTAATACAGGAAAGTATTGGAAACTACACACTAAAACTGCTTTCCTTTCTAAAAAAAAAAACTGCTTTCTAATCTACAGACTTATTGGGAAATTTTGTTACGAAATTGAAAGTGAAGTGTTCCGTCTGTGAAAAAATTATTACAATAAACGAGTATGTATAGCTTAAGATGCAGAAGCACGGGGTTGTATACTTTGTAATTACTAGCAAGTAGCAAGAGAACCAAAAATTAAACACTGTCTTTGTTTTCATAATAAGTATGGCTGTCTTCTATCGTATTATCGAGCTACCAAAGTGGTTATTGACATTTGGTTGGTTGAAGGATCTGTCGATGATCCGGTGACATTAGTTGCAACTGAGTTTGCATCATCATGCTTCCTTTGGAGTATGAATGCCGGCTTCCCCGGAGATGGAAGAGTGGTTTCATTGCCCAACATGAAGACAACATTTGACATAGTTGGTCGATCGGATGGAGATTCTTGAACGCATAAAAGACCTATCTGAATGCACCTCATGATTTGATCGATAGAACATGATTCTCCCATCGTTGATGGATCTACAATTTCCAATGCTCTTCCTTCTCTCCACAACTCCCACACCTATTATGACAAGCAAAAATGAATAGTTAGTGATATTTCTGAGTTAAGTGATTACTTCCTGTACTTGAAACCATAAATCCTCCCATACCCAAACTATTTCTTTGACAAGGATTTGAACTCAACCTTAGGAGTACTTAGTGTAAGGTTAAACTCGTAGACAGCATATATTGAAGGACATGACTTGTTTGCATAGGTTGAAAGCACTTACATGACCAATCAGGCTTAATGATGGACTTTCTTGGTAACATTGGTTGCTTCGTCTACTACTCACGATCTCAAGTGTCAGAACTCCAAAGCTGAAAACATCTGATTTGGTTGAGTAGAGACCCTCCATTGCATATTCTGGTGACATGTATCCGCTGCAATTACAACATCAAGGATTAAAAACTTGTCTTGTGTACTCTCTTAATCAAGGGAGCAAGGTTTTCTATTTTCCTTTCTTACTAGGTTCCAACAATTCTATTTGTATTGGCCTCTATTTGATCTTCTCCAAATAATCTAGCCATCCCAAAATCTGAAATCTTAGGATTCATTGCAGCGTCTAGTAGAACATTGCTTGCTTTAAGATCCCTGTGGATGATTTTCAACCTCGAATCTTGATGCAGATACAATAAACCTCGAGCAATTCCAATGATAATTTCAAATCGTCTCATCCAATCCAATAACGAGCTTCTCCTTTTATCTGGATAAAAAAACACATATCAACTCCTCAATTAGTCATAAAATTAACATTGAACAAGCATCTAGACTAACTCACTCTTATTCAAAAAAATTCATTAACAATTGATTACGAAAAAAGAACGGAAGAAAAAATATTATAGATTGAATTGACGAGGGGTGAAAAATGCGGACCAAATATGAAGAGGTCGAGGCTTGTGTTTGACAAATACTCATAGATCAACATTTTGTCCTCTCCATGGATGCAACAACCAAACAGCCTTGCTAGGTTCTTATGTTGGAGTTTGGAAACTAGCCGTACTTCATTCTTGAATTCTCGAATTCCTTGCCTCGAGGTCTTAGACAATCTTTTCACGGCTATTTCTTGTCCGCTAGAAAGTACACCCTAAACAAATAAAAAAGTTAACTATTTACAGAAAAGTATCAAAATCTTAACTACTTATTTACATTACCTCGCAATTAAATTATCAAAATCTTATTCACCCCTTTTTCTTAACCTTCATATATGATATCTTTTCACTATGAAAAAACATCATTGTTACTGTTTAGGACAACATTGCACATTGGTGTGTACCTTGTAAACGGTGCCAAAACCTCCCTGTCCAAGTTTGCTGGCCAAAGAGAAATCTTTCGTGGCAGCAAAGATGTCAAGCACATCAAAAATTGGCACCGACGAATCTTTATCTTCGTACAAACTTTCCTTCTCGGATTCGGATTCTATTTTCGGAATCGTACGATTAGTCTCTTCTTTGTTTCCTACATATGTTTAAAAAATTGATTAGCTCACATTTCCTGCAACACATCCAATAAAATTGGAACCATACCAAAGTGATTATATCATTTCACTTTTGCTCCATTACCTTTTCTTTTCCTTCTCCAGAGGCAATAATACGCAACTGAAACCACCAACATGATGGCCGCAGCCACAGAGGCCAATGCAATCGCTAAAACCTTCTTCTTCCCATTGTCTCCTTTCAACCTTTTCCTGTATTCAGCTGAATCACAACCACACATCAGTGCTACATCCAATTCAAGAGCAATGCAACTATAACTTTTTCTTCGTAGTTCAAATCTTGAAGTCAACAATCATCTTCGTACCTAACTCAGCCGCATTCACTCGCACATACACATCCTGCCCACCACCAGCAAACACTCTCGTATCCATCAGATCCCCGTACAGTACGATGCACCCAATCCCGCTCGTCAAATTAGAACTCGCGTAAGCCGTACAGGAACAGTTCCTCAGACACTCCTGCTCGCAGTTTTTCAAATCCATACCCGCGTACAATCTCCCCGTCGTCGTGTCAGGAACTTTAGCATTTTCCAATTTCACAAACCCATCGCCTCCACCGTCCCTTCCACAGCTCAGGCTCCCCGTTCGCTTCCTGGCGCACCCTCCCGAGCCATCCCTCAGGTACCAGTCGCCCAGAGACCTCGGCTCGAACCCCGGGAGGCAGCTGCAGAAGAAAGCCCCTGCATCCTTGTTCTGGTCGCAGTTCCCATTCTGCCCGCAGTGTCCATACCAGTCGCACGTCTCCTTCGGATACCTGAAGATCTCGTTCCACCGCGCATCCTTGTCCTGCCAAATTGCTCGGTTCAAAATCCCCTCCGGATCCAAGTACACCCGGGCTATTAGAGTAGGATCATTCCGAAGTCCCCAGACGAAAGTCGAATCGCTGTCGTTGACCACGACGCTGATGTTGAAGAAGGTGATCCTAGACATGTCCGGGACCCCGGACCAGGCGACTCCGTTCCACGGTCCGCTCCGCCACCGCTTGGTCCGACCTTCGTACAGCATCAGCTGAGGCGGCGACCCGTTCGATTCCAGGACGTAGGACCAGTCCCCTGCTGCAGGGTCGTCAGGGGACTTCCAGGACCGGACCGCGTAGTCCGGTCCTGTTTTCCGCACCATGTTGGGCAGGACCGTGTCGGTCGGATGGTCGAAACTCTGCCACAGGACCTGATCCCCGTCCTGCTGCTGCTGCAGCAGGACGAGATTCCCTTCGTCTAACAGTCGTGCCACCACCGGATTTTGTCCGGCGGTGGAGACGTTTGTAGACCAGAGGGGAGCAGGAGTAGTCATGTTCCTGCTCCCCTGTTGCAAAATCAAGCCTCCTCGAGCGGCGTCGATGGAGAGCGAGCCGGTAGTGTCGTTGATCGGATTGTCTCGATTGGCGACCCAAACGACGACCCGGGTCGGAAGTTTGGTGAACCAAATTCCGAGGTATCGATTTCTTGAGCTGCCGGGGCGGAAGAAGCCGAGGGTGTACTTTTCTCCACTGGAAACTAGTACTTGGCCGTCTGCAAGAGATTCGTTGAATCTTATGGTGTCTGTAGATGAAGAGCAAAAAGGAAGAGAGATGATGAGTGGAAGAAGCAGTAGAATGGATTGGAGCTCCATGATCAAGGAAATGGAAAGTTCAGAGCATGGTTCATGTTTTTTTATTGCTTTGGACTCTTTTGTTCCCAAGGTTGTGTTTGTTTGGGTATTTTACTCGAGAAATTAAAGAAGACAAGTAGAGGATGTTTCTGTTTTCTTTCGTGCGAATGATCCACATGGAGCACTGTTCAGAGATAGACTTTTTTCACATCAAACAATCCACGTAAAAATCCAAACCAAGAACAGGGTTTGACGGGGGAATATATTGGATGGAAAAGATACGGTCATTGTGGCGCCAACCACCTCAAAAGAGTAATAATATATGACCTAGTAGGTTAAAGTCCATTTTTTATAAATGAATGCGGAGTATCCTAACCTTAATTCATGATTAAATGGGGATCGAAAATCCCCAAAACACTTACATGTACGATTTCTAAACAAATACGATTTCAATCCCAAACCAATTTTTCAACCATACAGAATGTCCATCAACGTAGCTCTTGTGCTCATATTCCAATCCACGCGATTGACCGTTAAGTTTTGATGGGGACCCAAACGCGGCCGAGTTATTGAATACTTCTCACTTCTCAGTAGACTTCAGTTGGTCGACTGATTTGGCGTTTCCCCTAGTCAGTCAATGATGATTTGTAGTCCACACATATTGTGTGCTATTAATTAATGTAGTGACAAATTGTCGGGGATGAAAATGTGCTCACCAAAAAATATGAGGGGGGAGAGGGATATTCTAGAGGAACTTATTTGTTACTATCCCTCTCATCTGATGGTAATGAATCACGTCCGTGGATATTTGCCCGAATTTGTTTAATATGATAGAAGAAAATTCAAATTCGAAGAATTTTAGTGGGTATGAGTAAAATTCGAATAAGAAATACAAATGATGATGAATGAGCATGATTTTATTTTTGCACTATCGCGGACTCAAACTCGTCCGATTATACACTCTCATATGTATTTTGTTTAATTAAAGATCATTGATATTTTTTTTCCAACGTATTCGATATTTATTATACATATATAATAATTTCATGAAATTGTGTTGTTTTTAACCGATTTCTCCGTTCTAGTGATTTATTGTTGTATATTTTTACTTATTTAATTTTAGTATACGTTTGATCGTTAACGTGTTAGGCGAAGTTATAAAGAAGAATTATTACTTATGAATGTTCGAAATCTAATCAAATATTCATATATTTATAATATTTTACCCGATTATTATATGAACAAAAGTATACTTCGAGAGTAGTAAGATAAATGTACATGCACTTCAGTCCCGACCCGCCGTTATCATCCCGACATGAAATTGTGGATTTTTATTGCCAAATTTATTCGAAAATTTTCTATTGGATCCTCCCATTTCTATTTCTTACAATTAGAATCCTTCTTGTCGGCCATCACAACAAGAACCTGCATGCGCTGGTCACAAATTCCGCAGGATCTATGGTCCACGCGCTCTGAAATGTTGTTCTTTTCATAAGATGGACTTACTGGAAGAAATTGTTTATCAGGAAAATTCAAGAACGGTTATAATTAATTTCTCTTGATATTTTATGTAAGATTATGGCATGTGTACTCACATGAAAATAAATATATCGAAAAGTGATTGAATGAGAGCAATTGTTTTAAAGGTTGGTCAGTTTGGAACCTAGGGTCATTTGGATAAGAAATTCTAATGGATCAATTTAATTATTTTGTTTTGAAATAATCTGGTCAAATCGAACCGTTTTGAACCATAAAATTTTGATGGAGCAATTTGACCCCGATCTATTCTTTCACAATTGGTCCAGCATAGGTAAAGTTCACATTTTGGCAACTAATCATAGTTTCCTGACAAGCTATGTTTATCTAGTGGTCCGTTTGGTATTTAATTGTTAAATTGGTAGCATTATAGATTACTCTTTGATTTTTATGGTATTTTAAGGGTATCAAAAAGTGATGTCACATCATGAATGAAATATCACCTAATTTTTAATGTAAGACATTCACTATATCAACACAAAATTTCCCACTAGGGTTGCAAATGAGCCGAGCCGAGCCGAGTTTTATCTCAGCTTGAGCTCGGCTCGTTAATAACAAGTTGAGTTCGAGCTCGGCTCGTTTATTAACGAGTTGAGTCGAGTCGAGTTCGAGCTAGCTTGCTAACTAAAATCTTGACTCGTATTTGATATATTTATTTTGTAAGTCATGTATGATACATGTGTTAATGTCAAGATAAAATTAAAAAAATAATAGTTAAATGTTCAATATTAAATCTCATGTTATACTTTATGGTATCATATTATTTAGTTAATAAATTTTAACTAGTTAAAATTATATTATTTCATAATAACGAAGCAATCTATAATACATAAAAAAAAATTAAAATTAAATAAGACATATTTTATCACGTAATCTACGTGTAAGATACATAATTTAGCAATTCTATGAATTATCAAAATCAAACTCATATAAATCAATTGGCTCATATGTCGGTAATCGAGTTGTCTCTCTAGCCACAATGTTGAGAGTCGAGACATCTCATAAGTTCTAAAAGAGCCAGGTCACGAGTTGAGCTCAACAAGTCAACGAGTCGAGCTAGCTAAGGAGCTCCGCGAGCTGCAAAAGGGTTTGTTTGAGCTCGGCTCACTAATAGACGAGTCGAGTTTCGAAAGAGTTTTTTCTAAGTCGAACGTCGAGTCACTCGAAAGCAGCTCGACTCATTTACATCCCTAATTGTCATTATCATACATCTGTGGAAGAATATGTCCCCTAAATTAAGCAGTTTCGAAAGAATATATGACTTAAAAAGCCATAATCTAGCACAAACATTCTTCAATAAGAGCCAAAAAGCTAACAAAACTTAGTTTATGGAACACCACTAAAATGGTCTAACAAGTGAAAAGAGCCAAAAAGCTATAAAAAAATTAAGTCCATTAAGCATTAATTTGTGAAGATTTTTTTTTCCAGATTTCAAATGGATACAATCACAGATTTTGAGCAATAATTTTGAAATATCATTTTCCTTGCATTTTGAAGGCAACTGATCATGAATTCGGCCTGAGAATATTCTCCATCGATGATGATGACGACTATTAATTGCATATTTGAAGGCTATAGATCACGGATTTAGCTTGAGAGTATTCTCCAACGATGATGAAGTCTATTAATTGCCGATTCGTCAGATTTTTCAGAGGGCATTTTTTGTAAATTTTTGGGCGTTTTTTTTTTCGGAAGTCCATTTTTCTTGAATTTTGAAGGCTACATATCACGGATTTGGCCTGACACTATTATTCAAGGTTGATTAAGTCTTAAGCACCGATTTGGGCAAATTTTTTCCGTGTCCATTTTTGACATATTTTAAAGGGGTACCATCATAGTTTTCGAGCTATTTTTTTGAAAAGTCATTTTCATTAAAATTTGATGGCTTCATATTAGTGATTTGGCCTGAGACTATTCTTCACTGATGATTAAGTCTATTAAGCACCAATTTAGGTGAATTTTTTGTGTCCATTTTTGACAAATTCTAAAGCGGTAGCAGGACAAATTTGAGCGATTTTTTCGAAACACGATTTTCCTTTGATTTTGAAAGCAATAGATCACGGATTCTGTGTGAGGCTATTCTCCATCGATGATGATGTCCATTAATCACAGTTTTGGGCGTATTTTCTAGAGGGCATTTACGTAATTTTTGGGCATTTTTTATTAGGGCATTTTTCTTGGATTTTGAAAGCTACAAATCAAGGATTCAGCCTAAGGCTATTCTTCACTGATAATTAAGTATATTTAGTATCAATTTGGGCAAAAATAATCCGGGGTCCATTTTTGGCAGATTACAAAGGGGTATCATCACAAATTTCATACGATGTTTTCGAAAAGCCATTTCCTTGGAGTTTGAAGGCTACAGATCAGTGCTTCGATCTAAGACTATTCTTCACCAAAGGTTAAGTCTATTAAGCACCGATTTGGGTGGATTTTTTTCTGGTCCATTTTTGGTAGATTCTAAAGCTGTACCATCATAGATTTCAACAGATTTTTTCAAAAGGCTATTTTCCTTGGATTTTGAAGACAATAGATCACGGATTTAACCTAAGGCTATTCTCTATCAATGATGGTGTCTATTAATCGTCGATTTTGGTGTATTTTTTCTGATGGCATTTTTGTTAATTTTTTAAGCATTTTTTTCGAAAATGCATTTCCCACTTATTTTGAATGCTACGAATCACCTATTCGGCCTAAAGCTATTCTACGCCGATGATTAAGTCTATTAAGCACTAATTTGGGCAGATTTTTTCCGGGTCCATTTTGTCAGGTTCATAAGGGCACATATTTCGAACAATTTTTTCGAAAGACTATTTTCTTTGGATTTTGAAAATTACAGATCACGAGTCGCCCTGAGGCTATTCTCCACCAATTATGAAGTATATTAATCGCCGATTTGGGCCTACTTTTTAGGAGGGCGTTTTCATAATTTTTCTGTGTTTTTCAACTTCGTTTTCCTTTAAATTTTGAAAGCTACAGATTGTCTTAGTTTTTGTATTTTATTCATTGGCAATGTCATACTTAATATGTCATTTTAATTACTTATTAATATCTGTGTAAAAACTTGACATAATTATCTAAATAAAGTTATGAAATTTACACTAAACTAGATTGTGTAAAAACCCAAAATGGAAAGAATTGACACTTTGACGTTTCCATTGGTGCAAAACTCTTTTCTAAATACCAAAATATCAAATCTAACACTCATCTTAGCATTTTTACATTTACCTGCTTTTCAATCAAAAAACTTACTGGGAAGCACATTTTTACTAATTAAGAGGAATAGTAAAAGTGAAGTGTTTCGTGTGTAAAGAAAGTATTACAGTATGTATAACTTAAGATGCAGAACCTGATATTACCAAGATTATGTTAAAAGAAAATAACATCATATTTATTTTGATAACAAGTGTGGTTGTCTTCTATGTATTATCGAGCTATCAAAGTGGTTATTGACGTGTGGTTGTCTTTTGGAAGCAAACACACCGCACATGTTCACAAAGAGGGGTGAGTTGTAAGAGGATGTGAGTAGCCAATTAAGATGTTCATAATGTAAGGATGTGAAACATGAAGTGAACATTATTTTCACAAGAGAACGATACACAAAAATGGCTAGTTAAGATTTTGATGTGTTTAGGGCGTGCTACCCGACCATCAAGAAATAGCTGTGAAGAGGTTGTCTCTGACTTCAAGACAAGGACTTCAAGAATGAAGTACGACTAGTCTCCAAACTCCAACACAAAAATCTAGCAAGACTGTTTGGCTGTTGTATTCATGGAGATGAGAAGATGTTGGTCTATGAGTACTTACCAAACCGAAGTCTCGACTTCTTCATCTTTGGTAATTTTTTTCTCCTCTCTTCTTCAATTTAGTCCATCATATTTTGTCTATATGTTCTTAGTTATTGGAAACAGTTTGAACTTAGAGCCAACCAGATTATATATTCCTTAAAGTTTGTTTTATGACAAATTGATAGTTTGATATTGTGTCCTATTGACCAGATAAAACAAAAGGGTTGCAATTGGACTGGATGAGACGATTTGAAATCATCATTGGCATTGCTCGAGGTCTTTTATATCTACACCAAGATTCAAGGCTGAAAATCATTCATAGGGATCTAAAAGCAAGCAATGTTCTACTAGACGCTGCAATGAACCCTAAAATTTCAGATTTTGGGTTGGCCAAGTTATTCGGAGAGGATCAAACAGAGGGCAATACATACAGAGTCGTCGGAACCTAGTAAGAAAAGAAAGTGGGGTTTCCTCTTTGACAGATTACATTAGACAAGTTCTGATCCTTTTGTACATGAACTTAATTGTTGCAGCGGCTACATGTCACCAGAGTATGCAATGGAAGGTCTTTATTCAACGAAATCAGATACTTTCAGCTTTGGGGTTTTGTCACTCGAGATCATGAGTGGCAAGCGGAGTAACCAATGTCACCAAAAAAGTCCATCAATAAGCTTGATTGCTCATGTAAGTGCTCTTTTCCAATTTCCACCCAATGAAAGAAGTGATCATGACGTCTTTCACATGAGATTAATTTCTTGTTAGGTTGGAAAGCTTAACTTGACAGTAAGTACTCCTATTGTTGAGTTTGATTAACCCCATCCATTATTAGTGACTATTTGTCTGTAACGTATTCTAGGTGTGGGAGTTGTGGAAAGAAGGAAGAGCATTGGACATAGTGGATTCATCAACAATGGGAGGACTAGACAGTGGGGATGAAGTTATGATGAGGTGCATTCAAATCGGTCTTTTATGCGTCCAAGAATCTCTCGATGATCGACCTACCATGTCAAATGTCATCTTCATGTTGGAGAATGCAACCACCCTTCCATCTCCCAAGAAGCCGGCATTCATACTCCAGGGAAAATATTATGATATGGACACCATCACCACCGGATCATCAACGACCCCTTCAACAAATCACGTGACACTATCTACTTTGATAGCTCGTTGACACATGTATGGCTTCTGTATTAAAAAAAAGTCAGCACATCTGTCTAGCCTTTCTTCGATGCACCGGTCATTTTCCTTTTAAAAAAATAATGTATTATTTTGTTAGATTTTAATGATTCCGTTTTTGGTATTTCAAAAAGCGATATCACTTTACGAGTGACATATCATTTTTGTCCTTCTTTATAATGTAAGAAGGCAACAACATAAGAAGTTCGAGCTATAACTGGAATTTAAAAAAAAAAAAGAATCAACAATATCAACATTAACTTTCTCAACAAATCTCAACTAAAAACGTAGATTTAACCATCACTAAAACTGGAGACAGTCTGGGTAGCCACAGGGGGGTGGCTGGTTGGCCCCGTATCATTTCCAATGGGCTTATGCTGCTCAGCCCTTTTCTCCTTAGTGGCCTTGTTCGAAGGAGAAACCGGAATGAAACTCTGGCTGTCTTCTCCCATGGGCCTACTGGACGAGGCCTCCATCGGATGCGGCCCAAGAAGGCCTTCGCCCAACTTCGAATTGTGACCCAAAACCTTACCCTTCCCCTTGTTATCTCCCTTACCATTCTTTTCATTGTTCTTGCCCTTTTTGTCCGCCTCCAGTTTGTTCTCAGCAGAGACCCGTTGCTTTGGCTGAATCCTTGAATTATTTTGAGAATATGACTTTCCCATGGAAAGTGCTTCTTTCCTTTCCTCAATTCTAAGAGAGCCGTTGCTAGTTTCCATCTCTGCCTCCAACCTTCCATGTTTGATCTGTTCTCCTTGGTTCCGCCGCGATTTTCGCGTGACCACCATCCACGGGCCGTATCCCGCGTTCGATTCCGCCTTCGTGTCGCCGTTCGAAGCATCTCCTGCCGGCAAGGCCACCGTCTTTCCTTCCTCCCCTTGTCGCCGATTAAGATCGGGGCAAGATAGGTTAGTGTGACCCACCCTGCCACACTCAAAGCACACCATAGGCAGATTTTCATACTCTACCTTCTGCCAATACCCATCTAATCTGATTCTGGGAACCAAAGGTTTTGAGAGATCCACTTCTACCGCCATTCGCGCAAATTTGGCTCGTTGTTGATTTTGCGTATGAAAGTCAAGCTTGATGGACCTCCCAATAAGATTTCCGAGGGTGAAAAGAAGCTCCTTGTGATAAAAATGCACTGGTAGACCTGGAAACTATATCCAGACGACCATGGAACGCGGCAGACTGTTCATCATTCTGAAATTCGGCGTCCACTGGTTAACCAGAAGATAGTGGTCAAAAATAACCCAAGGACCTTCAGTAAGCGCTTTGAAGTAATCCTGATCATTGCCAAGTTTAACCAGGAAGCACTCGGCATCTAAAGCAAAAATTTCCATAGCACTTGTAGGTCTCCAGAGCGCTCGGATCCTACTACACATCATTGAGTATCCAATAGATCTCCCCAGCAAGCGCACGACGAGCGTTCGCTGCCACGGTTTGCTGAGTTGCGCCCTGAACTTGTCCGAGACTCTGAGTTCTGGTTCGCGCGAACGAAGAAGAGTCGTGGAAGCCCAGCCCTACACACCACCTCCGCCACGGGTCGTCGACCCGGAAACTCCATCGGCAGTCGCGCGAACGAAGAAGAAGAGTGGGGGAAAGAAGGAGCGAAACAAAGGGATGCTCACTCCAAAGAAAGGGACCCCAATCCGCCACAACCCAGGGAAACCGCTGCAGATTTGGACACCAATCAAGGAAAGGAAGGGACGGAGTAGAGATAGAAGAGTCTCCCTCACCTTGAAGCAGATCCAGGATTGGACGGAGATGGCAAGGGCGGGGGGTGATGGGGGTTCGAGTTTAGTCATCCCTGCCCGAGAGGAAACGATGAACACAGAGGCCACAGGGAACGCGGAGGCCACTGATCGTCCGTCCGGATGATTGCAGTCGTCTTCGCTGCTGGCGCCGAGTTTTTTCTCCCCCTGTTCTATCCTCTTTTTATCCCCTTTAATGTCTGATTCTTACAACTTTGATTTTAAAATTTTTTCATGGAATGTGGGTGGAGCGGGTAGTGCTGCTTTCTCTCGATCCTTGAAGCTAGCGCTCCAGCTCCACAAGCCTGATTTCGTAATTCTTCTTGAACCTCAGGTCAGCGGCGAAGTGGCCAACAAGGTCTGTGAGAGATTGGGATACCCGGATGTTCTGCGAGTGGAGGCTACCGGGAGAAGTGGTGGTATCTGGTTCTTCTGGAACAGCCAGAAATGGAACGTAGAGGTGGACTCGGCTGGTCCTCAACATCTGACTCTCTCGATCACTGCAGGTGCCACGCGTAGCTGGAAGTTGACGGCAGTATATGCGTCGCCCCGCCAGCAGCTCCAACGTCACTTGTGGCACAATCTCATTGAGCAAAGCAAAGCCATTTCCTGCCCGTGGATCCTCACCGGCGACTTTAATGCCATCCTTTCCCCAGCCGAGAAGTCAGGAGTGCCTTCGCCTAGAACTCTGAGTCGTTGCAAACGATTTGGGGATTGGTTGAATGAAGCTGAATTAGTGGATTTGGGATTCTCTGGTGCAAAATATACTTGGAGCAGGGGCAACCAGAATCAGACTTTTAAGGCTAGCAGGCTCGACCGAAGTCTCTGCAACCTCGAGTGGAACGAATTCTTTCCCAACACGACTGTTCTTCACCTAGCCCGAATTAGTTCGGATCACAATCCGATCTTGACCAATGTGGCAAACCAGGGAGTCCACCATACCTCTTCTAATTACTTTAAGTTCGAAGCAGCTTGGCTTACTCATCCGGAATTTAGTGTCTTTCTTAATGATAATTGGAATGGTCAAGCTAACTTCCCTGCTGCCCTGCAGGATTTGTCGGACAGGTTGAAATCGTGGAACAAGAACGTTTTGGCAGCGTGTTTCAACGGAAAAAAAGGCTGGTGGTGAGGCTCGAGGGCATCGAGAAAAGGCTAGCTTACGCTTTCGATCCTGGCCTGGCTAAGCTGCACTCCAAGCTAGAAGCGGAACTTGACAGGACCCTGGAGCAAGAAGAGCTCTTTTGGTTCCAAAGATCTCGGGAAAGCTGGGTCAAGTTTGGAGAAAGAAATACGACTTACTTTCATCAGCTCACCAAGCTCAGGCGCCGGTCTAACAAAATTGAATGTCTGAGAAATGAGAATGGTGAATGGGTGTTTGAGAAGCAGGAGCTTGCTGATATGGTTTTTGAATTCTACTCTAAGCTGTATTTGCAGGATTCAAATCAGTATGCAGATTTGATGCCCAAAGGGGTATTTCTGCACCTTGGCCAGGAGGATTGGATGCGGCTTCTTCGTCCTTTCACGATCAGGGACATTCATCAAGCTATTTTTGACATGAAGGCTCTGCAGGCGCCCGGACCGGATGGATTCCAAGCTGCTTTTTACCAACGAGGTTGGGCAGTGGTTGGAAAAGCACTCGCAGACATGGCTATTGCTTTCTTTGAGAATGGGACGCTTCCAGAAGCCGTGTCAGACTCGACGGTTGTCCTCATTCCCAAAGTAGAAAAGCCAGAATTTGTGAGTTAGCTTCGCCCCATCTCCCTAAATAATGTGAGCTTGAAAGCTATCACCAAGGCTATGACGAGTCGTTTGAAATCGATTATGAATAAGCTGGTCTCGCCGAGGCAAAGTAGCTTCATCCCTGGCCGTCAGACTTCGGATAACATTATCATTGTCCAAGAGGTTCTTCATTCGCTGCGGAATAAGAAGGGAAGGAAGGGTGGGATGGTTGTCAAGATCGACTTGGAGAAAGCGTATGACAGGCTCCGCTGGGATTTTCTGAGAGATACTCTGGTGGAGGTGGGGTTGCCAAGTTCGTGGATCCGATGTATCATGTATTGCGTTGAACAAAATAGGATGCGCATACTTTGGGACGGCAAGCTTTCTCAATCCATTACCCCCTCTAGGGGAGTGCGACAGGGAGACCCTCTTTCTCCTTATCTTTTTGTTCTATGCATGGAACGTTTATCTCATAGAATTGATCAGGCAGTCCGCGAAAAGCAATGGAAACCCCTTAGCATTTCGCAGGGCGGGCCGGCTCTAACTCATCTTTTCTTTGCAGATGACCTGGTGCTTTTTGCAGGAGCGGAGGGAAGACAAGTTAAGATCATTCGCCAGTGTTTAGACGAGTTCTGTGAGAGCTCCGGGCAGAAAGTCAATTACACTAAATCTATCATGTATGTCTCGCCTAATATCTGCCAAGCCAGAGCCCAACGCCTTAGTGATAAAGCTGCTATTCCGTTGGCGAAAGAGCTGGGGAGATATTTGGGAATTCAGACCATTCATGGCAGAGTCACCAGGAGTAGATACCAGGAGCTCATCTTGAGGATTCGGAGGAAGCTAGCTCCATGGAAAGCCAGACGGCTATCGCTGGCGGCGCGACTGACGGTTGCTCGTTCGGTTTCCCTTGCTATTCCTACTTATACTATGCAAACTGAGATGATTCCTGTGAATGTTTGCAATTCGATTGATAAGATTAACAGGGATTTCATCTGGGGCAAAGAAGAGAATCAAGGGAAAATGCATCTGGTGGCGTGGGACAAACTCACAGAGCCAAGGAGGCAAGGAGGAGGAGGGCTTCGACCTCTTCGCAAAGCTAACCTGGCCCTCCTTGCCAAGGGTGGTTGGCGCATTCTCCAGGAGAAGGAGTCCCTCTGGACCTAGGTTATGAGGGCCAAGTACGGGAGGAAGAGGGAAGATTTGAACCTTTTCCATTCTTGTCAGGGAAGTTCTTTCACTTGGGCGAGTATTATGAAAGCGTCCAGTTTGTTGAAAAAGGGCTGTGCTTGGAATATTCATAATGGGAAAGGTACTAACTTTTGGCTTGATAACTGGCTTTTGCAGAGACCGCTCCTTGAGGTGGCTACACAATCTATTCGGGAGGAGGAGCGAGGACTTAAAGTGGCGGACTACCTGGATGAGGATGGAAACTGGGATACTGGGAGGCTCTCCTCGCTGCTGCCGGCTGATATCTTGCAGAAAGTAACGGCGGTGTTGGTGGATCCGACGACAACTGAAACAGATAGGCTCTTCTGGTCTGCTTCGGCGGATGGTCGTTTCTCGACCACAACCGCGTACCAGCTGCTGTTAGAGCCGCGGTTAGAGCAAGACGAGCCTTTCTGGAAAGGGATTTGGACGCTGCCCACCATTGAACGGGTGAGATGTTTCATGTGGATGACCTCGTTAAATCGGATTGCTACCAATTCTCTTCGTTTTTACAGGAAGTGTGCCGGTTCTCCAGCCTGCTACCGCTGCGAAGACAGGCCGGAGACAGTGTTACATGCGCTTCGGGACTGCCCACCGGCTCAATACTGCTGGTCGAGATGGGTGTCGAGCAATAGACAAGGGGACTTCTTCACGAGTGATCAGGATACCTGGATTCGCAGCAACCTCAGCAACGAGGATACTATGGAAACCGGAATGGACTGGCGGACTTTCTTCAGCGTGGCATGCTGGCTGATTTGGAAAAACAGGTGCACAGCTTGTTTTCAAGGGAGCTCCAAGGCTTTCTCAGCTCCTACTCTGGCTCATGCGATTCAGCACAAGGCGTTACTTGGGCATAGAGCCTGGCAGGCCCCTTCACTCTCCACGGGCAGACCAGCAGCCGAGATTGAGAGGGTCTCAGCCCATATCCAGTGGCATGCGCCCAGCAGAGGATGGCTGAAGCTGAACGTCGATGGCGCTTCGGCAGGCAACCCAGGCGTGGCGGGAGCTGGCGGGGTGATCAGAGATGAGAATGGGAACTGGATTGCAGGGTATGTAGCTAAGATTGGGGAGGCTACGGCGGCCCAGGCTGAGCTGTGGGCGATCCACCATGGTTTGAACCTTGCTTGGAAGTTGAGGTGCGTGAACTTAATTGTTGAAACCGACTCGCAGCTGGCTATTCAGTTGATCAACGGTCGGCGTGATCCTATTCATCCGTATGCTGCGCTTCTGGACTCTGTTAGGAGAAAGCTTGCTCAAGACTGGCTAGTTAGAGTTGTGCATACATACCGAGAAGGGAATAGAGTCGCGGACTGGCTCTCGAAGCACAGTCTCGTCTATCCCTACGGTATGCATGAACTCTCTGACCCGCCAAGAGAGCTTAAGTCTTTTCTTCGTGATGATTGTATGAGTGTTTCCTTTGAGCGCCAGATAGTGGTGACTCCTACTATGTAACCCCCTCCCCTCTGTTTCTTTTTCTTGGATGTTGCCTCCCTTATTGCAAAAAAAAAAAACCATCACTAAAACTGAATAATTCTTTCCGTCACATTAAAAATATTATTATTAGTATAATTAATCGGCAAGCATACTTAAGGGGTCCAGTAGCATGTGCGCAGGTACACTGTAAGTCACCTGCGGACCACCCTAAATTCAGGCGATTTTTTTCCTCCGGCCGCTTCTCCGATCCCCCTGTGTTGACAGACTGACGGCGAGCCAAGTTGCGGCTTGCAATTTGATGACCCGTCCGTCGATCCGCTGACGGTTGGCGGAGCTGAGCTCTGAGTCTGACTTTTGTTCACCCGTACACGTTTCTTCCCCCTTTCCGCCCTCCGAGAATTGGCCGACGGCTGGCCAATTAGTTTCGTCGACCCACCACTTTCTCTTTCCTCACAAATCCCTTATACAGCCGTGCCTTTACGTTGTTCCGATTAGTGGTAAGTTTGACTCTTCCTTCCAATTCGGTTCGCCGGTAGACAAAGGAAGAGGGGAGAAGCGGTAGAGGTGGCAATTAGAATCCAAATCCATGAATCCAATCCAACCCATCCATCAAATTATCCACCTAATCTAATCCATTTAAATCCAATCCATTTGATCCAAATCCAATTGGATTGGTGGATTCATGGATCAATCCATGGATCCAAATGGCAAATTATGATTTGGTACCTATATTTTTTATATTTTACATTTTGGTACCTAAAATTTATATTTTTATACGAAAAATATCATTGGAAAATTACATTTTGGGAAGCGGTAGAGGTGGCAATTAGAATCCAAATCCATGAATCCAATCCAACCCATCCATCAAATTATCCACCTAATCTAATCCATTTAAATCCAATCCATTTGATCCAAATCCAATTGGATTGGTGGATTCATGGATCAATCCATGGATCCAAATGGCAAATTATGATTTGGTACCTATATTTTTTATATTTTACATTTTGGTACCTAAAATTTATATTTTTATACGAAAAATATCATTGGAAAATTACATTTTGGTACCTAAAAATTTTCATTATGACATTTTAGTACCAAAACTTTTCAAATTTTGCATTTTGGTCCAAGCCTTGGATGTCATTTGGATTCATGGATCAATCCACCAATCCATTTGATCCAATCCATGAATCCACCAATCCATTGGATCCAATCCATTTGATCCATGGATCCACCAATCCAATCCACGAATCCACGAATCCGATCCAATTGCCACCTCTAGAGAAGCCAATTATGAAAGCTTTTTCCACTTAAAACCTTCAATCCTTGAATCTCGACGCTGTAATGGGGTACATGCAAAAAACATCAGACAATTATAATGCAGAATTGAAAGAAAAAAAAAATCCCTCTTGCCAATCTAAAGTCGGCAGAAACTCACTAAACCACCATAGTCAACGACCATGACCGGTGCCGATCGAATCCAAGCTACAATCGCCCACCCTAAACCAGGGTTATCGGAGAAGTCAAGCTAAAATCAATCAAATGGAATAATAGAAATGCGCTCCATTATTCTCAATTGATCCGACCATTCTCCCATCCCAAAGCTCTAATGATAAAAGTCAATTACCGTGTGAAGTCCTTAAAACTATGACCCAAAAATTAAGAGTTTCACCCATTGCCATGATCAAATTTTTCAAGGTAATGTGCTCATGACCCAAAATTTACATTTAAAAGAATTTCATAATTTGAAGCTAAATTACAATTAGTACAACCTTTTCTGTCTAGAATTCCGAAATCATAGTTCCAATTAAATAGTTATTTGGTGAAAAGGATTTATCAAGAGAATCTTAGAATCATAGAGACGATTCTTAAAATTTATTTATGGAATTATCTACTTCGAAACTAATTAAAAGACTACACCAATTTTTAATTTTGGGCTTAGCATATTTCAACTCAAAATTTTCTTGAAAAGCTTCCCTGTGACAGTTGATTATTATAACATTCTACTTATTATGATCATTAGTAATTATCTAATTGTGGACTTAATTACATTAACTTCCTCAATTGGCGATTTATACTCATTTTCATCCATCCCGCGGCAAACGCGTGGGCCATTTTTCTAGTACATATATTATTTGTGCATAAAAATAAGAATAAATATCATTATAAACAATACACACATTAAGTTATCAAACCACACCTCATTTTCTATTTCATGAGATAAGATTGACTCAACTATCAAATTCCTCCTATCTCTTCACATATGCCATTTTGGTGACCACACATTCTTCCACGCATTTGTGAATTCTGATGTAGGGTCTATAAGGTAAACGAAACTAAACGCCATAAACAATTGACTTGGGGAAGAATACCACAATGGGATAATCCAAAATCTGCTGAAAAGTATTCAAGCACTTGGGCCTTGTTTGGCTCCAATTAAAACTTGATGGGTCGGATGAAATTCGTGATTGCATGCAACCAAACAAATACATCTTTGTTCGACACTTTTAATGTATGCGAGTACAGCTGAACTAACTTAATTAAGACGTCGATTTCATCAATCTAATGTTATCTCGATTACTTGGGAGTAAAACAACATTTAGAAACTCATTCTATAAAGAGTAGAAGTGACTGCCACATGTTTATTTCTCCTTTTTTTCCCATAATAACATGAATGTATAACAAATAACTTGCAAATACACCAAAGTCAAAGAACATTTATTATTTAAAAAAATCTAATTTAGCCCTTGCCTTCAGTGGACCGCTTCTTTCACATCCAATATTGCCACGTCAATCTTCCAACAACAAAAAAAACAATATTGCCACGTCAAACATTCTTCTTGGTTTGACTTGTGTGTGTATTGGAATGTGTTATGAGGTCTTTCTTCCTTGAGTAGAAACTAGAAACCCTAAAAAAGCAAACATGAACCATACTGTGGGGTTTTCACTTTGCTTGATTATAGAGTTCCAACCCATCCTCTTATTTCTTCGACTGATCATTAAAAGTGATTACAAATGAGCCCCATGTCTTCCTCAAAAACTTTCGGAAGAACACGCGGAAAAAAAACTTCGAATGGTACGTTCCTACATCGCCTCAAAATGAAACGACGATTTCGTAGTTCTTGGTTAATAAAAGGGTTGCTTCGACGTTGTAGCGTCTGGTACTCGAAGATTGGCTCGATGCATTTTCTCTACCCTTACCATAATTTTCAACACAAATAGCTTGCAAGCCAAGAACTTCTAATTAATCACCATGCATATGCCGTCGAAAGACCGTGTGTTTCTCATCCAATACTGCCACGCCAATCACTCTTCTGGTTTTGGACTTGTATGTAATGGAATATTGATCAGTTGATTTCTTCCTTGAGTAGAAAACCAAAACAAACACACACATACCCTTTACTCAAACAAGAGATAACCATATTGCGGGCTTCCCATTTTGCTTGACTATGGAGCTCCAGCCCATTTTGTTGCTTCTTCAACTAATCACATTCATAACCCTTCCTTTCAGTTCTTCATCTACAGACACCATAAGTATCAACCAATCTCTTGCAGACGGTCAAATGCTGGTCTCCAGTGGAGAAAGGCACACTCTGGGTTTCTTCAGCCCCGGGAACTCAACCAATCGCTACCTCGGAATCTGGTTCACCAAACTTCCAGACCAAATCGTAGTCTGGGTCGCCAATCGAGACAATCCGATCAACGACACTTCCGGATTGCTCTCGATTGACCCCCAGGGCGGCATGCTCTTGCACAGCAAGAGCACTGCCGCTCTGTTCTGGTCCACAAATGTCTCCGTCCTAGGAACCCCATTGGCCCGACTACTAGACGAAGGAAATTTCGTCCTGCTTCAGCAGGACGGTGCTGACGAGACGGTTCTGTGGCAGAGCTTCGATTATCCGACCGACACGGTCTTGCCCAACATGGTGCGCAAGACGGGACCGGACCACGCGGTCCGGTCCTGGAAGTCGAGTAACGATCCCGCGACAGGGGATTGTTACTACGTCCTGGACCCGAGGGGTTCGCCCGAGCTGATTCTGTACCGAGGCCGGGCCACCAAATTGTGGCGGAGCGGACCGTGGAACGGAATCGCGTGGTCCGGGATTCCTGAGATGGCTCGGATTACGTTCTTCAACGCCACCGTGGTGATCGACGGAAGCGACACGACTTTCGTTTGGGGGCTTCGTAATCCTGACATGATCGCGCGATTCTATCTGGATCCGACGGGGACGCTGAACCGGGCCGTGTGGCAGGATAAAGTCGGGAGGTGGAACTTGATCGCGTACTATCCCAAGGAGCAATGTGATTACTACGGAAACTGCGGGCCGAATGGGAACTGCGACCCTTACAGAGTTGCAGGGGATTTCCCCTGCACCTGTCTCCCCGGTTTCGAGCCGAGGTTTCCGAACGACTGGTACTTGAGAGATGGCTCGGGAGGGTGCGTCAGGAAGCGAACAGGGAACCTGAGTTGTGGTGGGGATGGGTTTGTGAAACTGGAAAATGCGAAAGTTCCTGATACGACAATGGCACGATTGAATGTGGATATGGATTTGGATGTGTGCGGAGAAGAGTGCTTGAAGAACTGTTCTTGTACGGCTTACGCGAGCTCTAATTTGGCGAGTGGAGTCGGGTGTGTTACTCTGTACGGGGACTTGGTGGATACGAGAGTGTTTGCAGGTGATGGGCAGGACTTGTACGTGCGAGTGGACGCGACAGAATTAGGTATGCGCGCACGAATGTTGGCACCAAGATTCGAACTATTCGCATTTGGTCTTGAAACTGATGTATGATTTGTGATGTTGTAGCGGAGTACATGAAACGGTTGAAAGGAGACAAGCAGAAGAAGGTGTCTTTAGAGATCGTATTGACCTCTGTGGGTGCGGTCATTGTTTTGGGGGTTTCAATGGTGTGCTGCCTCCTGAAAAGGAAAAGAAAAGGTAATTAAGCGAAGACTGAGCTAATCATTTCTCAAAACATATGGTTTATTTGGATGTGGTTAGTGCATATAGATGTTTTGTAAGCATGTTTGTTTGTGGGTCCTGCGAATGCACAACTATCGAATGCGAGTTACGACAATTGTATAGTCATATTCATTCAATGATTGTGGATCGTGATCGTGAAATACCCGATTCTTAGTTTTGAACCCCCTTCTGAAGACACTAACCAAATTGAGATTGTTTAGTTTGTTGAGCTCTTTACTCTTAAGTGATGCAGGAAGCAGAGGAGGCATTGCTCATACTATTCTGAGAACAAATTCTGATTCTCAAAGAGAAATTTTGTACGAAGACAAAGATTCATCGGTACCAATTTTCGACGTAAATGACATATTTGATGCCACGGGAAATTTCTCTTTGGGTAACAAGCTTGGGCAGGGTGGTTTTGGCTCTGTTTATAAGGTACGTAAGAATTTATTCTTTTCTTAGAAGTTAGAAGGGCAATGTTGTAACTTGTAAGTGAATATTTTTCAGTGATATGATTCAAAATATAAATACTTGGAGTGGATAACTAGGTTCTAAACTTCTAGAGAGAAAATGAGCACCAATATGTTTGTTTTGTCTTTTGGAGGCAAATACACCCCACATGCTCACTAAGAGGGGTGAATATTTTAAGAGGGAGTGAGTAGCCAAGGAAGATGTTGATTTTGAATATACTAAGAAGGAAAGATGTTGATTCAAAATGAAAAGGGTAAGGAGGTGAAACATGAATTCAAAATTATCTTCACAAGTAAAGAAAGCTGTACATTAAAAGGCTAGTTAAAAGATTTGATTTGCTCAGGGTGTCTTATTCGATGGTCAAGAAATAGCAGTGAAAAGATTATCTCAGACTTCAAGACAAGGAATCGAGGAATTCAAGAACGAAGTACGCCTAGTCTCCAAACTCCAACACAAAAATCTAGCAAGACTATTTGGTTGTTGTATTCATGGAGATGAGAAGATGTTGGTCTATGAGTACCTACAAAATAGAAGTCTCGACTTTTTCATCTTCGGTAAATTTTTCTTCCCTCTTCAATTTCGCCCATGATATTTTTCTTTCTGTATCTTTTTCATAATAAATTTCCAGGGGAAATTTTTTGAACTTAGGGCTAGTCAAATTAGAAGTTCCTTTGAGTTTGTTTTATATGACTAACTTACGGTTTGATGTGTGCTATTGGTTCAGATAAAACTCAAGGATTACAATTGGACTGGCCAAGACGATTTGAAATCATCATTGGCATTGCTCGAGGTCTATTATATCTACACCAAGATTCAAGGCTGAAAATTATTCACAGGGATCTAAAAGCAAGCAATGTTCTACTAGACGCTGCAATGAACCCAAAAATTTCAGATTTTGGGTTGGCTAGGTTATTCGGAGAGGATCAAACAGAGGCGAATACAAATAGAGTAGTTGGAACCTAGTAAGAAAAGAAACTATAAAATGAGGTTTACTCTTTAGGATATTACATGAGACAGTTCCTTATCCTTGTACATGAAAATGTTGCAGCGGGTACATGTCGCCGGAGTATGCAATGGGAGGTCTTTATTCAACAAAATCGGATGCTTTCAGCTTTGGAGTCCTGACACTCGAGATCTTGAGTGGCAGGAGGAGCAACCAGTGTCACCAAGAAAGTCCTTCAATTAGCTTGATTGCTCATGTAAGTGCCCTTTCCCCTATGGAAAGAAGAAGTCATGACATCTTTCATATGGAGACTATATCTAGAAATCTATTATACATTAATCCCAACCATAATTAGGGACATTTTTTTGTAATGTATACTAGGTGTGGGAGTTGTGGAAAGAAGGAAGAGCAATGGATATAGTGGATTCATCAACATTGGGAGGATCAGACTCTACAGATCAAGTCATGACTAGGTGCGTCCAAATAGGGCTTTTATGCGTTCAAGAATCTCCCGTAGATCGACCGACCATGTCAGATGTCGTCTTTATGTTGGGCAATGCAACCACTCTGCCATCTCCCAAGAAGCCAGCATTCATACTCCAAGGAAAGTACGATGATATGGACACCATCGCCACTGGATCATCAGCAATCCCTTCAACAAACCGTGTGACACTATCCACTTTGGTACCTCGGTGACACATATGATGCTCCTGAATCAATCGATGTATCGGAGAAACAAATTTGATCACACTAGTTTCTAAAGTTCAGGTGTACTTCATATCTTTAATTGTCCTTTTTCATGATGAATATTGTAGACCTTAAGATACAGAAGTACAAAGTTGAATCCTTAGTAGTTATAGGAAAAATATCAATCTCAAGTAAAAAAAAAATGAATACAATTTCCCCCTAGTACATACGGTTGCTTTATGTGTATTATCGAGCTTCTAAAGTGGTTATTGACATACGGTTGGTATATGGAATTTCTAATCTAGCATCTGCATCGGTTAATGTGTTGGAATCATCGTATTGTCTTAAGAGTATGAATGCAGGCTTCTTGGGTGATGGAAGTGGGGTTGCATTGCCCAACATGAAGACAACATCTGACATGGTCGGTCGATCTGCTGGAGATTCCTGGACACATAACAGGGCTATCTGAATGCACCTCAACACTTGATCTGCGGAATATGTTCCTCCCATCATTAATGAATTCACTATGTTTGATGCTCTTCCTTCTCTCCACAAGTCCCACACCTTGTATGCATAAAAGAAAGAAGAATGAAAAACTTCAGAGTGCTTACTATCAAGTCAAATTCTCCTAACTAACGAAACTCACATTCAAGGATATTACTTTACTTTGTTTAGGTTAAGAAAAGATCACTTACATGACCAACCAAGCTTACTGATGGACTTTCTTGGCAAAAATTGTTGCTCCTCCTGCTACTCACTATCTCAAGTGTCAGGACTCCAAAGCTAAAAACATCGGATTTTGTCGAGTATAGACCTTCCATTGCATACTCAGGCGACATGTATCCACTGCAACATTTCATGCATCAAAGATTAGAACTTCTCCCTTGCTATCTGAAGCGTGACTTGGTAGAAACTTATTTTCTTACTAGGTTCCGACGACTCTGTTTGTGTTGGCCTCCATTTGGTCCTCTTCGAATAACCTGGCCATCCCAAAATCTGAAATTTTAGGGTTCAATGCAGCATCCAGTAGAACATTGCTAGGTTTTAGATCCCTGTGAATTATCTTCAACGTTGAGTCTTGGTGTAAATACAGTATGCCACGAGCAATTCCAATAATGATATCAAATCGTTTCTTCCAGTCCAACATCAAGCTCTTTGTTTTGTCTGCATCAAACAAGCACGCAACATCATTTCTCGTGTCAATAACTAACAAGCACCAAACAACCGAAAGATCATAAAGATGGGAAAGAATGAAAGAGGTGAAGAAAATATGAACCAAAGATGAAGAAATCAAGGCTTCTGTTTGGCAAGTACTCGTAGATCAGCATCTTCTCATCTCCATGGATGCAACAACCAAATAGCCTTGCCAGATTCTTGTGTCGGAGCTCGGACACCAGCCGTACTTCATTCTTAAATTCCTGAATCCCTTGTTTCGAGGTTTGGGACAATCTTTTAATAGCGATTTCTTGTCCATCCGATAACAAACCCTATCACAAATAAAGATATTCACTATAAGAAAATGGTGTAAAATTCATTAGTGAGCGAAGACCGTTCTTATGTATAGTTGCATACCTTGTAAACAGAGCCGAATCCGCCTTGACCAAGTTTGTTGGCCAAAGAGAAATTTCCCGTGGCAGAAAATATCTCATTCACATCAAAAATTGGTATAGGAGATTCTTCATCTTCATACTCCCCTGCAGGGCTAGTATTGTGTATCCCTCCACCATTTCTTTTCCTCTTGAGTAGGCAATACAGAATGGAAATCGCCAAAACGATGCCTCCACCTACAGAGCTCAAAACAATTGCTAATAGCTTCTTCTTCCTCGCATCTCCTGTCGACCTTTTCGTGTGTTCAGCTAAATCACATTCAACAAGTTTGGTATCACACATCCTATTCAAAACAATGGTGTAGAATGTGGAAATTAGTAAAAATTTTACCTAACTCGATTGCATCCACTCGAACGTACAAGTCCTGCCCGCCATTGATAAACACTCGAGTATCCATCAGATTCCCATACATCGTCACGCACCCAATCCCACTAGACAAATTCGAACTCGCATAAGCCGTACAAGAGCAGTTCATCAAACACTCTCGTGCGCACACTGTCAGATCCATGTCGACATTCAGTCGCGCTGTTGACGTGTCTGGAATCTTAGCACTTGCCAGTTTCACAAAACCATCACCATCCCCACACGTCGAATTTTCTCCTGACCGTCGCTTCCTAACGCACCCTCCAGAGCCATCCCTGAAAAACCAATCGTCCGGGTTCCTCGGCTCGAACCCGGGAAGGCAGATGCACTCTTGGTCCCCTGAACTACTATAAGGGTCACAGTTCCCGTTCGGCCCGCAACGTCCGTAGTAGTCACACGGTTCGGTCGGGGAACTCCCCAGCTCGACCCACCGACCGGTCTGATTGTTCCACGTGGTGATCTTCACGAATCCCGACGGGTCCAGGTACATCCTCGATATGTCCCCGGGGCTCCGGATCCCGTAAGAGAAAGTCGTCTCACTGTTGCTACTGACCACACTGGTGTTGTAGTTAGCAATGATGAACATGTGTGGGACCCCGTTCCACTGGATGCCGTTCCACGGTCCGATTCGACGTCTTATGGTCCGACCGTTGTGCAGGATCAGCTGAGGCAGCCCGGCCAGGACGACGTCGTAGGACCACTCCCCTGTTTCAGGATCGTCGGCGGACTTCCAGGACTGGACCGACCGGTTCAGTCCTGTCGTAAGGTCTAACCCGAACTTCATGTTCGGGAAGATCGAGTCGGTTAGATGATCAAAGCTCTGCCACAGAATCGTCTTACCGTCGGAATGAAGCAGGACGAAATTGCCTTCGTCTAGTAGCCTAGCTGTGGTCGAGATTCCTCCTGCAGAGACATTTGTGGACCATAGAGGAGCAGATTGATTCCTTCTCCCACGTTGCAAAACGACATCGCCTCGACCGTCGAAGGAGAGCAACCCGGAAGTATCGATGATCGGGTCGTCTCGGTTGGCGACCCAAACAACGGTCTGGACCGAAACTTTGGTGTACCAAATTCCAAGGTACCGATTGCTTGAATTCCCAGGGCTGAAGAAACCAAGAGTGTAGCTTTCTCCATCGGAGACTAGCACTTGACCATCTGCAAGAGATTGGTTGAGGTTTAAGGTGTCTGTGGATGAAGAAGAACAGAGATGAAGAGAGATTACAAGCTGCAGAAGCAACGAGATGAGTATTCTTTCTGCAAGATCCATAAGAATTTGCAGAGAAGAAAGGAAACCCAGATAAAAATTCAGAGCCTTTATTATTTCTAAGCGTTGAATAGTATTCAAAGGGTTGGAAAAGAAGATATTTGACATTTCATTAATTGAACTAACTATTATTTTCAGAACACAAGTATGTGGTTTCTAATCATCGTACGTTGCATTGTCTTTTATGTCACATCGCTAGCTAGTGGGAAAGACTTAAGATCTTTCCTTTCATGGAGGAGACAGATAATGATTAATCAGACAAAGGAGATATTTTCCAAGCATGTTCATTCCTTCGTGAGGTACATTTGAATCTTCTAAGCCACTTGGATTGACTCTGGGATCTAGAGGAATTTTGCTATTTTTATGGCTTGAAAATGATGGAGTTAAAATTCAAATCATGACCAAGTACTCCGTGTGCATGTGAGCACCATAACCGAATTGATTAATTTACGCTATTAGGTTGGTTATGACCACTTAGCATAACCCGAGAAAAAAATAGATAATTGTCAGACAGATTGCTTGTCAAGATTGAAGTTATGAACAACGAGAACTAACTGTGCCACGTCTTTACTATGATTCAATGTTGCCTGTACTGCTCCAAAAATAGCAGAATCCTCAATTGATCTATCTATACAGTCACACTCACATTGGTCACAGGACCTCTAAACCACTTCCTGGCACTGAAAACCCATCCACTAACAACCAGCAGAAACAATCCCCCCACCGCTACTGGTGTGTAGTTGAGTGTCTCGATGGTGATCGGGTAGGCTACCGGCAAAGAGAACAGAACCGAGATAGTCACGACCCAGATCACAGCGATCCAACCAACAACGAGGCCATACCGTCCCAAGTGGAATGGGCCCCGAACAAACCTCTTGCGAGCCAATGTCACCCTGAAGAAGATTGGCAAGGCGTATGCAATGTAGAGCCCGATGGTTGCTATAGACACCATTGCTTGAAATGCCACTTCGCTTCCGAGATACTGCATTATTAAGTCAAGAGTATGATCAACTTGTCGCCATTAGTAGCAAGATAGGAATGACATTGACAGAGATGTATTGAAAAGCATTATAACCGTTAATGCCATGCAGAAGGATATGACGACAGATAACCAAACGGCATTGATGGGAACTTCTTGATTGTTGACTTTGTGCCAGAGCGGAGAGAATGGCATGGCTCCATCTCTAGAGAATGCATAAACCATCCTAGAGTTGCTAGTTACGGAACTCATACCACAGAAGAAGATGGCAACTGCAACAACCCCTAAGCATATGATTCCCCCAACTCCACTTCCATATCTTCTTCTGAAAGCTTGGTAGAATATTTCGGCAATAGCATAGCCACCAGCATCGTTGTTTTCACTCAGAAGAGAAGGGATATCGGTGACAGCAAATGTGATTCCAAGTATGTACAACCATCCAAATATGACTGATATCCCTATGGAACTTATTATTCCCTTTGGACCATTCTTGTCAGCATTCTTCGTTTCCTCTGTCTATACAATCAATTTGTTGGTCAGTGAGCTGCCATACCAAGAAGCAATCAAAACGAAAGCGCGCACGAGAGAGAGGGACATTATATATTACCATGTGAGCAGACGCATCATATCCTGTAAGGGTGTACTGGCTCATCAGAAGCCCCAGAACAAAGATGTAAAGCTTGTTGTTGATTCCATCCCCGTTATCAGTATTGAAGTGGGTGAATACAAACTTAGCACTCGCTCTTTCAGTTGCAACAGTTGGGATGAGTATCGTCAGAAGTACAACACCGAGAAGGTTCCAAATAGCAGCCAGCTGGCCGAAGAAGGACAGCATGGAAATCGGTAGACTGTTTATGACAGCATGGAGGAACAGGATGCCACCATGCAATGCAATGACTACATACTTGGATGCTTGATATCCACCACCATTTTGACCACCTGTGCTCAGCAGAATGATCACCTGAATCATTTGTGCAAGGGAAAAGTCCACGCTCGTCGTTACAGCCCACTGCAACAAACCAAAAAATGGTGGAATTATTGTTACAGCTCATGCTCATGACATTCTTATTACAAATTCTGACATGAAAACTCTGAGTTGATCACACAGACCTGGCCAACAATGTTGAACCTGCAGGGTAGTGACAAACAACAACAACAACAACAACAAAGCAAAATGTGCTTGGCATTAGAACAATTGATAACAGGAAAAAACAAGTTTTGAATTCTGAATTTCTGATGCAGTGTCATTTAGCTAGCTGCTAATCATTTGTCAGTTGTCTAACATTGTTCACGTCAAGACCAAGATGGCGACTTTGTTGTTAATCGTTAGGAATTAGGATCCTTTTGGACAATCATAATCATGTCATCATGTTTCTAATCCAGAAACTAAGTTAAAAGTCCAAACAAGTTTTCCATGAAACAAGAAACCAGATTAGGAAAGCACACAAAAAAAAAAAAACCGAAGTCTTCCCCATTGAAACAATCTACTTAATTGAATCGGTGGGAGCCATACCTATTGTCGCAGTTCTTAAATGGGCAAGCAAAAAAAACATTCAAGGACACTCATGAAGGACATAACAAACAGCAACCCACCACCCTAAATCAGCAACAAGAACAGTACAATCCGACAATAGGCCCCCAGAGGCACACCCACATTTGAACTAAATGCACACCTGAATCTTTATAGTCTAGTCTCCTACTTCATTAAGAGTTGATGAATTAGAGTGGCAGAAGTTCTTATGTAAATTTCCTGAAGAATGAAGATTTGCATACCAGCCAGTGATCCAGGAGGCAAAAGGCGCCCAAGAAGGCCCGGCAAGCTTCGCGCTCCAGTAGTAGAGACCACCGGAAGTCGGGTAGGCAGAGCAAATTTCGCCCATTGCAGACCCGACAAACATGGTGAACAAACCGGCTATCAACCAGCCATATAACAACGAGACCGGCCCTCCGAAGGTCAACCCAGTGTTGTAAAGAGTGGTTACTCCGGTGAGCACCGAGATGATCGAGAAGGAGAAGGCGAAATTAGAGAACATCCTGCATCGGAGAGGGAAGCAGGTTGGATTGAAAACAGGAGCCCAAGTGAAATTTTGCGGAAAGAAGAAATTAAAAAGAACAAACGGAAGTATAAATTGGTGGGTTTACGAGAGGTCCCGCTTGAGCTCTTGTTTGTAGCCGAGCTGCCTGAGACGGGCGGTGCCGGAATCTTGAAATTCACCGTCGCCGACGCCATTTGCAGCTGCAGGGTCGTTGTGAAATGGCAAAAGCGAGGTGTCGGCTCCGGCGGAGACCATGTTTGCTTGTTTGGCGGAGGAGGAGGAGGGAGCTGTTGAAGAGTGTGCTGTGAAGTGTGAATGAATGGGAAAAGATTCGGAGAACAGCTATCAAAAGAAAGAATCGGATGCCTTTAATTTGATTTATTATTTCACACCAGTCCGGTGAATTTGTTTATTATTACAGGTGTCGAATCAAGTTGGCTGGTCCGGTCAACAACGTGCTCCTCTTGGTTTCCACAAAGCTAGATAAGGAGAGCTAGCAAACACCGCCCACCAGCCGTAGATCATGGTTACGGGCCCACCGGAGCCCAGGCCCACCGGAGCCCAGGCCCACTTCGTATAACATGTTGAAAGTCGTCGCCGGGATTACCACCGTCGTCGCTGCCGGTGAGAGGAAACTGGGGGTAGACGGCGGCAGCGGCAGCGGCTTGTTGTTGTCCTTCTTCCTCTGCGTCTAAACGCCTCCAACTTCTTTTCATTGATAACCTGGACTGCTGGGTTCATATCGTATAGCAAAGTGGGCTTTGGCCCACAACTTAATTGGGTGCTAGTTTTAATAGAGCCCAAAGGTTTGCAACGTGAATGAAGAAGAGCCTTAAGCAAAGCCCAAAGGCTATTGCTCACAAAAATCTCACACCTAAATATCATAGAGGCAAGGTTATCATCGTAGCCCCAAAATCCTTGACCAACGTGATAGTCGAAGGTGATTCCGAAATGGTGGTCAACCAAGTCCGTCAAGGCGTCATTGAAGACTCGATTGGTGGTCTGGTGTTACGAGAGTGTCTTCAGATCCTTAGCTCTTTGTCTGTTTGTATAGAGTTTAGGGCGGTACCTAGATCCGCCAACAGTGCTGCCCATAGAGTGGCGCGTAAAGCGCTGCTTTTGTCTCGTGTAGAGCTAGATTCTTTTGATTTTTTTGGGGTGGCTTCTTTAGAATCTGTTAGGGGTCTTGGGTAGAATTGTAAGTTTAACTATTTTCTTCCATTGATATCACTCAGGAAAAAAAAAAAGGTTATCAACCCGTGGGTTGACCCGGACCCGGTCGAGCTAGTGGGTCAAGGGTTAATGGGTCACCCGGTTTAGCCCGTTTTAGCCCGGAAATATGAAAAGAGTCATTATATTGTACTTTACTTGATAAATTATATCAAATGTCATCTAACATATGAGTAATAACATATAACATTACACCAAAGTAACATGTCGTACTTAGATCCAACATATAGTGAAAATTCACACACTCTTATATAATATCAATATTCAAAATTTCAACTAAGGATTCCAAAGATTGAGTTAGGCGAAAAGAAAAATCGGAAAATAAGCGCATTTCGCAAACTAAAAAAAATGACATAATTTGACCTCCAACTCGATACCTTATAGCGGTCGACCCGGCGGGTGCGTACGACCCGTTTTTCTCATCGGGTCAGGGTCAAAGTGGGTCAACCCGTGGGTCGACCCGCGGGTTGACAACCTAGAGGTGATCATGTCAAGGATTCTATTCCTTGACAAAGGCCCTCGAAATTCTAAAATTCTAAAATTCTGAAGTACACAATTGAATACATTTTATACATTATCGTCCCTCGAAAGTGGTAAATGACGCACTATTCATCGAAGGAACTGTATGTGTAGCATTTGTCGACGAATCTGCATTATAGTTTTGTCTTACCAGTATGAATGCAGGTTTCCGAGGAGATGGAAGAGTGGTTGCATTATTCAACAAGAAGACAACAGTCGACATGGTCGGCCGATCTTCTGAAGATTCTTGAACACATAAAAGCCCTATTTGAATGCACCTCATCACTTGATCGGTAGAATATGATCCTTGGACTATGGATGAATCCACAATATCCATTGCTCGCCCTGCCCTCCACAGATCCCACACCTAGTGAATGGTCCAAACTCATGATATGAGTTAGTTTTACATTTCAGAACGATTTATTATCAAGTCAGTCAAAATCTATTTGGGTGATTTTCATGTGACTTACATGGCCGATCAAGCTCAATGATGGATTTTCTTCGTAACAATGGTTGCTTCTCATACCACTGACAATCTCAAGTGTTAGTACTCCAAAACTGAAGACATCAGATTTCATGGAGTATAGACCTCTCATTGCGTATTCTGGTGACATGTATCCGCTGCAACATTTAAACACACGGTCAAACAAATATAATCACTTTATGTTTCCAATATTCGAAAAGACAATTAACATTTTTATGATTTATCTTACTATGTTCCCACCACTATGTTTGTATTAGCCTCCGTTTGATCCTCTCCGAATAACCTAGCCATTCCAAAATCTGAAATTTTGGGGTTCATTGTAGCATCCAATAGAACATTGCTAGGCTTAAGGTCTCTATGTATGATTTTCAACCTTGAATCTCGATGTAGATACAGCAGACCCCAAGCAATTCCGATCACAATATCAAATCGAGTCTTCCAATCCAATAACAAGCCTTTTATTTTATCTGGAGAAAAAACACAAAGCAACCCATATTGTTATTAGCTTACTAAAAGGACACCAGCCACTAAGAGAAAATTTGTACTTGATTGAACTAATATGAGAAAATGTACCAAAGATGAAGAAGTCGAGGCTTTTGTTTCGCAAATACTCATAAACCAACATCTTCTCCTCTCCATGAATGCAGCAACCAAACAACCTTGCAAGATTTTTGTGCTGGAGTTTAGAAACTAGCCTAACTTCATTCTTGAATTCCTGGATTCCTTGCCTTGAAGTTTGAGACAATCTTTTCACAGCAACTTCTTGCCCATTGGGTAGCAAACCCTGACCAAATTAAGGGTCATAAATAAAAGGTTTAGATATCTTTCCATGTACACTTTTGAGTTTTTTCAGACATTTTTTTTACCTTGTAAACAGAGCCGAAACCACCTTGTCCAAGCTTGTTGTCCAAAGAAAAATTATTTGTGGCGACAAATATGTCATTTACATCAAAAACTGGTACAAAGGAATCGCTCTCTTCGTCGAGATCGTTTTCCTTTTGAACGTCATACTTTATTCCCAGGCTAATATGATTGGTGACTCCTTTGGTTCCTGCATCACATACTCCCCAAATTGTGTAAGTTATTTCCACAAGACTTAACTGTTGAACCAGCTAATAAGATTATGCCTTCTTTCTTATGTGAAAAGGGTGTCATCAAGAGAAACCTTTTGGTGTAAGGGTTGATTCCAACCTAGAACCTCCATTAGAGTATCGGGGAAGGGGGGAAAACAGGATAATTGGGAAAGAATAGAGAGTCAAAATAGGAAGAACGAAATACAAAAGAGAACTAGGTCAATTGAGGGAACAAAACTACAACAAGAAATGGGGTTATTTTGAACCAATTTGATGAAGGATTGATTGACAAGAGGAAGAATTAAGAGAATCAGGGAAGGACAAGGAGTCAATGAGATGAGAATTTAGTAAAAACATGATTAATCGTTTTTTTATAAAAGTGATATATACTTTATTTTTAGTTAAGTGTTACTAAAAAGATTCGAATTCGGAGATCTATAGATTTGAGACCAGTGATATTATTATTAGACCAATTTTGATATTTGACATAATGATATTGGAAGTTAAAGTAGAATTATATGGGCATGAGCCTAATAATCCTAACAACTAATTTTAACACAAAATAACATGAGTTTGTATAAATTTCAAGATTATGTTTTGACTTTCTTTCTAGTTATTGAAATTAATTTGTTCTTTAACATTATTTTCACTAAGATAATAAGCTCGCTACGAGTTTTTTTTACCTTTTCTTTTGCAGTTTAGCACGCAATAAGCAATGGAAATCCCCGCAATGATGGCCGCGCACAAAGACATCACAACTATCACCAACACCTCCTTCTTCCCCTTGTGTCCTTTCGTCCTTCTCATATATTCAGCTGACAATAGCAATAGTAGATTTATGCACATCTCCAAATCTCAATATTGAATAAACCCTCTAGTCTAAAATCTTGATACAAGACTCAACATTTGACATACCTAACTCGATTGCGTCCACTCGTACGTACAAGTCCTGCCCACCGTCATTGAGCACTCTCGTATCCATCAAATCTCCATACATCGTCACGCACCCAGGTGACCCACTGGTCAAGTTAGAACTCGCGTAAGCCGTGCAGGAACAGTTACCCAGACACTCCTGCGCGCACGCCTTCAGATCCATACCGACATTCAACCGCCCTGCCCCCGTGTCGGGAATCTTCATATTCTCTAGCTTCACGAACCCTTCGCCGCTCGTGCAGGTCGCGTTTCGCGACCTGACGCACCCTCCCGACCCGTCTTTCGTGAACCACTGGTCACGAAACCGGGGTTCGAACCCGGAGAGACAGAGGCACAACAACACCGGCTCGGTGTAAGGGTCACAGTTCCCGTTCGGTCCGCAACGCCCGTAGTAGTCGCACGGTTCCTTCGGGGCGGAATTGAACTCAATCCACCGATTGTCCTGATCTTGCCACTTGCCAAGGTACAAATGTCCTAATGAATCCACGGACATCTTTGACACCATGGCCGGATTCAAGATCCCCCAAGTGAAAACAGACTGATTGTTGTTGCTCAAGTAGGTGGAGTAGAAGTTGGAGGTGATGATCGCGTCGCGGATTGTGTCCCTGTTCCGCGGTACGTACCGCCATCGCTTGGTCCGGCGGTCGTTGTGCAGCATCATCTGAGGCACCCCGTTCGGGTCCCAATCGAAAGACCAGTCCCCCGACGCGGGATCGTCGGGGGACTTCCAGGACCGAATCGAGTGGCGACGATTCGGTCCGGTTCTGCGGTCCATCCCAAATCTCATATTTGGGAAGATCGTGTCCGTCAGGTGGTCGAAGCTCTGCCACGCAATCGTCTTGTTACCATCCGAACGGATCAGGACGAAATTGCCATCGTCTAGGAGCTTGGCAGTCGAATTCTCGCCGGCGGTGACGTTAGCAGACCATACACGAGCGGAATGCCATCGTCCCCGTCGTCGCAGAACGATATCGCCTCGAGGGTCGAGCAGGAGCGATCCGGAAGTATCGTTGATCGGATCGTCTCTGTTGGCGACCCAAACCACGGTTTGAACCGAGACCTTGGTGTACCAAATTCCGAGGTAGCGATTGCTTGAACTCCCGGGGCTGAAGAAGCCGAGGGTGTACCTCTCTCCATTCGAGATTAGTACCTGACCATCTGCAAGGGATTCGTTGAAGCTTATGGCGTCTTTAGATGATGAGCAGAGTTGAAGGGAGATTGTCAGTTGAAGAAGCAAAATGATGATGAGGTCCATAATCTGCAGAGAAAAAAAAAATTAGAGATATATTTTGGCGTTGTATTCACAAGTCTGAAGTTCTGTTTGACATATATTTTTTTTAGTGGAAATGATTTGACATATTTTTCGCATGGTCCATGAAACCGTACCGTACCGGCGGTTCAACCACAAAATACCAGTATCGGAGGCTAAACCGGTAGGCGGTATTTAACGATCTAACGGTTGAACTACGGTTAAACCACGGTTTTATCATAAAATATCATACCACTCACTTTTCCGGTATGATATCCGGTACGGTTTAATGGACCATGATTTTTCGCACACGCTCCCTCAAACGAAAGCCAACCAATGAGTTTGAAATTTGCAGAGGCCGACCATATATCTTGTAATTTAGTAAACTGTTAATATTGGGGGTTGTGTAGATTCGAATCCACAGACATCTTTGACACTCATAAACCAGTTGGTCCCAAACTCCCAATAACTCGAGTTATTGGAAGAAGGTTATGTTGGATCTTATACCACACTCTAACAGATGTCACGTGTTCAAATCCTCCATGACACTCAATATTAACTGAGGTCTTTAAATCACGTGGTACAATGAACATGTGCAAATTTCAACCTCATTAATTGGCTTTTATTTGAGTGAGCGTGTAAAAAAATAATTAATTATTATATATCAATATATCTCAACAACTCAAATTATTAGAAGCCATTGATTTATGAGAAGGATAAACAAGGAAAAGTCTGAGGTCTAGTTTCATTGTCCTTTGTGCTAAGCAACTGGTGGCCGAGTGGTAGCCTTTCATTCATATCAAAGAGGTGATAATCAAATAAGTGAGACATTTTTTTCCACTGCTTGTTTAGTTGCTTTCCTTTGTTTGACAACTGACACATCTGAATTTTCAAAGCAAGACTTATAGTATCGAGTCTTCAATCAACAATTTTTTTTTGGGTGCGTGGGTTGAAGATCTTGAGTAGTTGAGTATGAATGAACGGATATCATTGTATAAATCACTTACTTTTCTTTTACTTTTAACAAATTATATAAAGTTTCAGTTTGGATTTTAAGCTTTGATATATTTAGAAAATGATATTTACTTGGATATGTTTTTTTTAACATATTAATATGGTTAATATATTTCATAAATGTAATACCCATAAAGACTCATTTGGCTCAACCCAAGGGTTAATCGATAAGTTTGTCGGTGAACATCGTTGACTAACGGTCGACAAACCATGTCATTGTTATATCATCATAAACAAACATTAAAAATAATTTTCATCCATAAAATAAACAAAATTTAGGAAAATCCATAAAATGGTAAATTTGTGGGAATTGGGAATTTTTCGTTAGGTTATTGCCGACTAGGCAATGACATGGCGGGTTGGTTGTTAGTCAATGATTTTCACCGTCAAATATAACGGTCAACACTCGTCTTAGGCTAGATAATTAAATTTTGATAAAAATTTGAGCCATGATGTTAATTAATGAAATGATTGGCAGAATGTTAAAAAAGGTAAAGTTCAGGTCATATAGGTAATATGAAGATTTTAACCTAACAGTTGACCCTATCTCTGAGTTTTTATTTTATTTTTTATGAATGATGTTTTATTAGAAATTCACTTTAACCCAAATGCAAACTACAAAAAAAAAAAAAAACCTAACCAAAAAGAAAGAAATTGAGGACCTAAACAACGTCAAATATAACCCACAATTGCAATTAATTTCCAATCTAGCCATTAGCAATAATAAATGTGAGTTCATAAACTTAAAAATATCCATATCTCGTAAAAAGAAAGAAAAACATTAGATCATTTGCCTCCTTAGTAGTTTTTCACTCCGTTTGCCTTACCGCGCTTCCATTGTCGTCATTGACACACGATTAATGGAAGGAATTTTAGATCTAGCAGAAGCTTGTGAATCATCATGTTTGCTTTGAATGATGAATGATGGCTTCTTGGGAGATGGAAGACTTGTTGCATTACCCAACATGAAGACAATGTTTGACATTGTTGGTCGATCTGCTGTCGATTCTTGAACGCATAAAAGACCTATATGAATACACCTCGTCACTTGATCTTCGGAGAACGATTCCCCCATGTTGGATGAATCCACTATCTCCAATGCTCTTCCTTCTCTCCATAAGTCCCACACCTAGAATCCACATAAAATCCATGCATTTAGTAGGATTCAAACCCGACCAAAGAGTAATTACTACGTACCTGATAGAAACTTATATTTTCGTACTTGATTAATTGTCGGTTTATTATTATTCGGATTATGAGGACTATTCGGGCATAATTGATAGATTGGGTAGTGGTAGGAAATTAGTCATTTTCTATATAAACTATTGTAAACTAGAGTTAGGGTTGAGAAAAGGATTAATCATAAACCTAGTATTCCTAATTGCATTCTCTTCCCTTCCCCTCTGCCGACCCCACTTTCCCCTCTCCCTTCCCTGCTGCGCGCAGCACTTCCCCCAACCCCTTTCTTCTTCTTCTTGGCAGGCGACCAGCCGCCTTTCCCCTTCCCTCTTGTCATTCCAAAAATCCCCAATCCCAATTCTCTTGCCCCTTCCTAAACCCGGATCAAATCCCTAGTTGATCCTAATCCCTAAACACCGGTAGAGCTCTCCTTGAGTACTATCATTTGGTATCAGAGCCCGGTTCTTTCTTGAGATCCGGAGCAAGCAAATAACGACGAACGCGATGGTCTCGACGAAATCGATGCAAGCAGCTGAGAAGGCCGCCAAGGCGGCGGCGCAAGGACAAGCCACGACCGCGGCAACGGCGGGTGAGGGCGGTCATGAGGTCCCGGTTCAGCGGGATGGGGAGATGGTGGACGAGACGCTGGGAGAAGAGCTCCGCACCGAGATGGCCAAAATGGCGGAGGCCATGGAGCAGGAGCGCCGGTCCCGACTGAAGGGCGAACGAGCCCGGGAGGCGGAAGCGCGAGCTCGGGAGGCGGACGCGCGAGCCCGGGAGGTGGAGTCGCAGAGGGTGTGGCTCGCCATTGGGGAGCTGAAGGCGATGGTGGCTGAGGTCTTAGGGCGAGCAGGAGGGGGCGGCGGCGGCGCCACTGGGGGCGCGGGCTCGTCGGCGGGGGACGGGGCAGGCGGAGCCGGCGGCGAGGGCTCGGCGGCGGTGGTCCCGGCAGGTGGAGGCGGCACGGCCGCCGAAGGAGGAGTGGCGGCGCCGGGGCTCGAGACGGCGGGGACGGCGCCGAGCGGGCGGGCGACGGCCGAGGGCGGGCCGGGAACCGGCAGAGGTGGTGCGGGGACAGGCCCAGTGCAGGTAGGGCTAGGCGTGGGCCCGGGTCTGCTACCGACGCCTACGGCCCAAGATGGCCGGGTATGATGTAGATGGGCCTCCGCCGAACAGTGGACCAGAGCTGATGGGTCAATACACGCAGGTCCATAACGGATTGGGGTGGTTGGATCTAGAGGATGGGCCCGAGTATGACGAACTTAGCCTGACAGACCGACAGGCCAAGTGGGCTGAACCGGAGATGGATCAGAAGGGGCCGGATGGGCCGAGGGGGCCCACAGAACCGGGCGGGCGATCAGGGGCGGGCCCCATGGGGCGGACCGAAGGGGGTCGGACCGGGTCCGGTCGAACCGGGATAGGTCGGACCGACGCTGACCGAACCGAAGGGAGCCGAACCGGACCGGGTCGAACCGGTCTGGGTCGGCCGGAAGTGGGACGAACCGGGCATCGCCGGAACCCGACGGCCCAGCAGTACAGGAGGGTGGACTACCGGGAACCAGCTGGCGGGGAGATTCCGTACGGGGCAACTCACGTGCCAGGAGGGTACCCACACCTGCAGGGCAACTACCCAAACCTGCAGGGCAACTATCCGGGAGACTATGGCTATGAGAACCCGAACCAGATGCCGGGATCTTCTTTGGGGCCGCCGTGGAGGACTCCCGGAAATGAAAGGTATGGGTCTCGCTATATGAATTATGAAGGAATGGATGGAGTGGTTTTTCGAGCTAAGCCTCCGACCATTGAGTTTCCCAAATTCAATGGGCAAGAGGATGCAGGTCTTTGGTTGTATGCAGCAGAGAGGTGGTTTAGAAATCATCCGGTCCCGGAGGAGAGAAAGGCCTATCTGGCGTCGTTTTATCTGGAGGGAGATGCGCTCCAGTGGTGGGAGTGGATGGAACGATCCTATGCCGCGGCAGCCACCCCGATCACCTGGCCTATGTTTCAGGAAGAGCTCCGTTATCAGTTTGGAAAGTCAGAAGGGTGGGCGCCCGAGCAGTTGGCAAAACTGAAGCAGACCGGCACGGTGGCTGAATACCGGACAGAGTTTTTCAAGTTGGGAAACCAGTGTAAGGGGGTCCCAGAGGACACCTTGGTGGGGCTGTGCATGGCGGGTCTTAAGCCCGAGATAGCAGCGGCAGTCTGGGTGTTCGAGCCTGATTCTCTGAAGGCGGCTTTCCGTCTTGCAGGTCATAAGGAGGAAGAGCTCGCTAGTTGGAGGGGCGCCATTGGCCGGTTTCCGAAGTCGAGCAGTGGGAGTAGTGGAGGCGCAGGAGGAGCGGCGGGGGTAGGGCCGACCGGGGCTAACACTGGCAGTGGAGGCCCCGCTCCGGTAGCCAGGATGGGGCCGCGGGCCATACCTAAGGGCTTCGCGCGGCTGTCACCAGCTGAGATTGAGCAGAAGAGGCGTGAAGGCAAGTGCTTCAAGTGTGATGGTCGGTTCACCATTGGGCATCAGTGCCCCAAGGAAGACTTGATGATGCTGGTGGGACGATGGGAGGATGACGCGGAGGACTATGCTGAGGATGCCGGAAATGGTGAAGAAGAGACCTAGTGAGCTAGAGGATCAACCTTGGGGACAAGGTTGATTTTCGAAGGAAGCGGGGATGATAGAAACTTATATTTTCGTACTTGATTAATTGTCGGTTTATTATTATTCGGATTATGAGGACTATTCGGGCATAATTGATAGATTGGGTAGTGGTAGGAAATTAGTCATTTTCTATATAAACTATTGTAAACTAGAGTTAGGGTTAAGAAAAGGATTAATCATAAACCTAGTATTCCTAATTGCATTCTCTTCCCTTCCCCTCTGCCGACCCCACTTTCTCCTCTCCCTTCCCTGCTGCGCGCAGCACTTCCCCCAACCCCTTTCTTCTTCTTCTTGGCAGGCGACCAGCCGCCTTTCCCCTTCCCTCTTGTCATTCCAAAAATCCTCAATCCCAATTCTCTTGTCCCTTCCTAAACCCGGATCAAATCCCTAGTTGATCCTAATCCCTAAACACCGGTAGAGCTCTCCTTGAGTTCTATCAGTACCAGATACCAGGTTGGTGTGATATTAAACCAAATTACTTACATGATCAATCAAGCTGAATGATTTACTCTCTTGGTAAGAGTGGTTGCTTCTCAGGCCACTAACAATCTCAAGCATTAATATACCAAAGCTGAAGACATCTGATTTCGTTGAATATAGACCTTTCATCGCATACTCTGGCGACAAGTATCCACTGCAATACACGAACAAAAAAACATTTAGTATTTCAAAAAGTTTTTAAGAGATTGACATTCTCAATGACTAGTCTTACTATGTTCCAACAACTCTAATGGTATTGGCTTCTGTTTGATCTTCTCCAAACAACCTAGCCATTCCAAAGTCCGAAATTTTGGGGTTCATTGCGGCATCAAGTAGAATATTGCTAGGCTTTAGATCTCTGTGGATGATCTTCAACCTGGAATCTTGGTGTAGGTACATCAAACCCCTAGCGATTCCGATAATGATATCAAACCGCTTCTTCCAATCCAATAACGAGCCTTTGGTTTTATCTGGATTAAGAACATGCAATTTCACCCAACATATATTGTCACAACATGACAAAGAATATCTCATCTAAATTGGTCTTAACTTCAAACTTTTAGCATGATGATTCTAAAATGAACATAAACAAATGAAAGAATACTAACCAAAAATGAAGAAGTCTAAACTTTTGTTTGGCAAGTACTCATAGACCAACATCTTCTCCTCTCCATGAATGCAACAACCAAGAAGCCTTGCAAGATTCTTGTGCTGGAGTTTGGACACTAGTCTCACTTCATTCTTGAACTCCTGGACTCCTTGCCTCGAAGTTCGTGACAATCTTTTCACAGCTACTTCTCGCCCGTCGGATAGCAAACCCTAGCCAAAAACCAACATCTTACCTTCATGTGGACTATACATGCTTGTTTTAATTGTAGATACAATACTACATTGTACCTTGTACACAGACCCAAAGCCGCCTTGTCCAAGCTTGTTGGCTAAAGAAAATTGTTTTGTTGCAGCAAATATGCCATTTACGTCGAAAATTTGTACGTGTGATTCCTTGTCTTCATACAAGTTTTCTTTCTCATCGTCATACTCCGTTCCAAGGGTAATATGATTGGTGTCTCCTTTAGTTCCTGCCACATTTAACATTAGCACCTCCCAACAGTTCAAGTCATTGTGCACATAACCATTTTTGCTTACCTTTTCCTTTTGTCTTCCTTCTCAGCCGACAGTATGCAAGTGAAATCACCAAAACAATGGCCGCACCAATGGAGGTGGTCAAAACTATCACTAACAGCTTCTTTCGTTTATGCCCTTTCGACCTTGTCATGTATTCAGCTGAATCACAATTCATTGTTACATCCTCTTCAATATAATGTGAAGGGAAACAAGCTGAGTAGAACTTTGAGGTCAAAATTTATTTACGTACCCAACTCGATTGCATCCACTCGCACGTACAAGTCCTGGCCACCATCAGCAAACACTCTGGTATCCATCAAATCTCCGTAAAATGTAACGCACCCGACTCCACTCGTCAAATTAGAACTCGCGTAAGCCATACAAGAACAGTTCATCAAGCATTCCCGTTCACAAATATCCAAATCCACACCATCGTTCAATCGCCCAAACGATGTATCAGGAATTTTAGCATTTTCCAACTTCACGAATCCTTCGCCATTACCACAAGTCGAATTTCCTGACCGTTTCCTGACGCACCCACCCGAACCATCCCTTACGTACCAGCTGTCCGGATCCTTCGGTTGGAACCCGGGGAGGCACCTGCACTCCAGCTCCCCTGCATTGAAAGGGTCACAGTTCCCGTTCGGCCCACATCGTCCATAGTAATCACACGGGTCCTTTGGAGCGGACCCGAAATCGATCCACCGACGATCCTGATCTTGCCACGTGGCGAGTTTCGTGAACCCCGACGAGTCCACGTACATCCTCGATATGACTGCCGGGTTTTGGATCTTCCAAACCACCGTCGTCTCGCTATCCACGTCTACAACAATTGTGTTGAACTTGAAAGTAGTGGATGTCTCGTGAACCCCATTCCAGCGGATGCCGTTCCATGGTCCGAACCTCACCCGTTTGGTCCGACCGTTTTGCAGGATCATCTGAGGCACCCCGGTCGGGTCCAAGTAGTAGGACCAATCTCCCATGGCAGGATCGTCGGGCGACTTCCACGACCGAATCGATCTGTTCAGTCCCGTTCTGCGGTCCAACCCGAACTTCATGTTCGGGAAGATGGTGTCCGTTAGGTGATCAAAGCTCTGCCATATAACCGTCTTCCCATCCGGTCGAACCAGGATAAAATTACCTTCATCCAATAGCTTAGCCGTAAAATTCCCTTCGGCAGAGACATTCGTAGACCACAGAGGAGTAGAGTTCCTCCTTGCCCGTTGCAGAACCACGGCCCCTCGAGTATCGATCAAGAGCGATCCGGAAGCATCGTTGATCGGGTTGTCTCTGTTCGCGACCCAAACCACGGTTTGTACCGAAACTTTGGTGTACCAAATTCCAAGGTATCGATTGCTTGAATTCCCAGGGCTGAAGAAACCAAGAGTGTAGCTTTCTCCATTGGAGACTAGCACTTGACCGTCTGCAAGGGATTCGTTGAAATTCAAGGTGTCTGTAGATGAAGAACAGAGATGAAGAGAGATGGTAAGCTGAAGAAGCAATGAAATGATTAATCCTTCAGCGAGGTCCATAATGATCTGCTTCGAAGAAAGAAGAGAAGAACGACAGGGAGATTTTTTGGGAACTCTTTTGCCCTTTTACAAAGTCTACGGTTCATAATCTTTCGTTGCATTATCCTGTCAAGTCACATCACGAGCAGTAAGCTTCGCTTGCTATTTGCATTCATTACATCGGGTCGACGGGGAAGGTGAGAGGAAGGTAAGAGAAGCATGACAACCAAGGTTGTCAAACCGGTTTATACCGTTGTGCCGGTTTGGCAAGTAGAATGGTACGACCGGTGGAATAACCAGTTTGTGCTGATTCATACCGGTTTTAAAAAAATGTGAAAACAATTAATATTCATTGTATTTAATCATAGGGCAATGTCTATTTTTTACCCAAATCTTTTCAAAATTCTTTTATTTTATCCAAACCTATCAAAATTCTATTTATTATCCAAACGTATTATAACTAATCAAAGTTTGGGCATTCATTCTGTTACCGTTAATTTTTTACTAACGGATCTCCACGTCAGCGTCCACATCAGCATCCACATCAGAAATTAAAAAAAAATCATAAAAAATGGCAAAATCTCTCCTCCACAGCGCTGCGACCGCTTTCTTCATCTAAAAATCAGAACTAGTAAACAAATTAAAACCCATAAAAGCAAAGATCAGGCTGCAGAGGTCGATTACGACGAGGGCATGGAGTATACCCATCTTGTTTTTTGCAAAAGTATAGGGTGGGGGAGAAAGTCGAGGCGGCGGCGTGTGCGAATGGATCTATTGGGGGATATGGAGAATCGGTGGGTATTAAAAGATAGGGTTCAGTTCAGTCGTGTTTTGCTATTGGACGATCAATTAACGCGAAACCCTACGGGGAGAGAGAGAGAGAGAGTTACATACAGGGGAGAGTGAAGGTGGACATGGAAGCGAAAGGAGAGGAAGCGAGGCGGGAAGAGCGGCAAAGGGTGGTGGTGGAGCCGACGAAGACACCGCCGACGGCGAATTGGGGACGACGGAGAGGGAGGTTGAGGAGAGCTGGGATTTGGAATGGCTTGAAAGCGATCGTCCAGCTCGACATTTTCGTCGGTCTAGCTCCTCCCTCTGGTTTATTTCCTCTTTCTCTCTCCCAGCAGATTTTCCGTTGGAGTAACTGAAGAAGAATTTGCAGCGACGAAAGTTAGAGCAGCAGCACTCCGACGTTTGGATTCAAAAGCACGATCCCAAAGAATTTGCAACAGAGCGACAACACAATCCCAAAGCTTCCCGCTCCGCCTCCTCTAATCGCGTAGTAGAGCTCTCCAAGCTGAGCGCCGCTTTGGACCCACGGCATCTCTTTCTTGACTGTTTGCTGTCCTCAATTGGAACTTGGATGCGCTCAACTAGGAAGAAAAATAAAAATATAGGGGGAAGATTGGAGAAGATTTGGGGGAGAAGAATAGGGGAAAAAGTTTCGACCAAAAAAAAAAAAGAATAGGGGAAAAGGAAAAATCTCTGGGGAAGATTGGAGAAGATTTGGCGGAGAAGAATAGGGGGGAGAGAGTGGGTTTAATATTTATTTTTAAATTTCTTTTTAATTAAAAATAGAAATTGTCCTAGCCTGCCACATTGGCTTCCAACTCAGACTGGTGTTGCTCAGTCAACAAACATAACAGAACAATTAACGGTGGGTTAATGGTTGGATAATAAATAGAATTTTGATAGGTTTGGATAAAATAAAAGAATTTTGAAAAGATTTGGGTAAAAAATAGACATTGCCCTTAATCATATATAAAACATATTTGTGGACAATTTAGTTACAATCCAATAAATATCATCGACTTTTAACTATTACATACATAAAATAAATAATAAATTAATTTTTGTATTCATTAAATTCATTAAAATGATATCATTTTACTTAAAATGCGTAAGTCGATCATACCGGTTATACCGATGGTGATGACCATGATGACAACTAATGGGCACAAGACTTTTCCACTCTAGGCCCTACACCAAGCCAGTTCATATATTCGCGCGCAATCTTGAACACTTTTCTTTCCCGCTCCTTCTCATACAGGCGACCCGGAAATCAAATCTGAAACGGACCATGGATTACAGCCTTCATCGTGCACTTGAACAGCTCGACGCAATGTCTGAACAGCCTCGTGCCCTCTCGATTTGGCCTGGGAGACATGTTTCGCTTCGCCGACAAACTGGCAGCTTAACGGAACAAGTGCAAAACAAGGGGAGATTGGATTTGGATTGGATCAGATCAAAGCAACCACGTGCACAGAAGGTTCAGAATTTAGCTGAGCCAACGATAATGCAGTGGCATCTCATTGCGTACCAGGGAAGATTCATAAGTCAGGCAAAACTGGACATCGACTGCGTTTTCCCAACTGCAGCCACAAAGAATCAGCGTGCAACAACTCCTGACAGAGTTAGCTCGTTTATAGAACATGATCTGGTAGGTTGGCGGTTGGAGCAGCTTCCGTCACTGGCATATGCAGGCTGTTTGGGACGAGGAAGAGGCATCGCACTGTTCAACATGAGAACCACTGTCAGCATATTGGGTCGATCCTCGGCATTTTCCTCCATGCATAACAGGCCAATTTGGAAACATCTCAATACTTCCTCCGCATTGTATGATCCCATCACCATTGATGAATCAACAACCTCTATCGCTTTGTCTTCCTGCCATAGCGTCCACACCTGTATCGTTATTGAGAGAACAATTAGTCTTGATCACTCGATGCATCAGAAGAAAGCTGAAAGTCACATGAACACTTACGGTGCTTATCAAGCTCTTGTTTTCAGCTCCTTCCATTAGTTTATTGACCTTCATGCCGGTAACCATTTCGATCAATATGACCCCAAAACTGAAGACGTCGGATTTTTCTGAATATATGCCAAGCGTTGCATACTCTGGGGACATGTAACCACTGCACAAATAAGATAAATCCCAGACATTATAATTACAACAAGTTGGGAAGCAAACTGATTTTCGCTTACAGAGGGTGCATAGTGACTCAGAATGCTCACAAAGTTCCTGCAATCTTGGCTACCTTCCCACGATATTGGCCGGTTTCAAGAACCATAGCTAAGCCGAAATCTGAGATTTTGGGGTTAAGCTCTGCATCTAGGAGAATGTTGCTGGTTTTCAAGTCCCGGTGGATGATTCTGAACCTCGAATCCTGATGAAGATACAAGATTCCACGTGCAACACCAATTATGATATTGAAACGTATTGTCCAATCTAATGTTGCTCCTCCAATTTGATCTTACGAAACGAAACAAACCCATCATTTGCATTAGAGAGTTAATGGAGAAACAAAGAACTGTAAGCAATTTTATAGAAGGACAGCCTACCGAAAATAAAACGGTTCAAACTTTTGTTAGGCAAGTACTCATAAACCAGAATTTTTTCTTCTTCCTCAACGCAGCATCCATAGAGCTTGACAAGGTTCCTATGCTGGAGCTTTCCAATCAACAATGCTTCATTCCTGAACTGTTCCAGTCCTTGCCCAGAAGTTACACTGAGCCTTTTCACAGCAACCTCTTGCCCACTAGGTAGTCTCCCCTGAAATATGGAAAAAAGTGCTCTGCTCAACTGTTACAGACACCGCCAGTAATCCCATTTCTTCTACTTGTAGTTACTAGTTAGTCAAAAATCAAAACTACCCCAATTCTAATTTTATTTCCAGCACATTTCAAGTTGTATAACGCAAGTTTCTTCTGCTCCATTACCTTGTACACTAAGCCAAACCCTCCCCGTCCAAGCTTGTTAGCGAAAGAGAAATTGTTGGTAGCAGCTCGAACGGTGCTGATGCTGAAAAATGGCAGCTCTGGAGACACTGAGCTTCCATCCGTTTCCTCTGTCATCACAGAAACCACGGATCGAGTTGAACCATCATTTGGATGGAACAAATTTCTGATCCTTCTCCTCTTTGCTGTCCTTAAACCATAACAAAAAAGATAATCTTTAGGACAGACATTAGACCAAAACCTTCATTCAGAGTCAGAAACTAACAATAGACATGGTAACTTAATTTATACCAGTCCTGTTTCGCCATCTCTTGAGCCAAAACAAGCAAAAAGCAACAAGGACAAGCCCTGTTGAAGCAACAGCTGGCAGGACAATGCTCAACTTCAACCTCAGCTCAGCAGAGGCTTTTGACCCAGCCTGATAATAAGCTGCAGGAAAGATAAAACATCAGAAGCTAGAAACGATGTAAAGATCCAATCTTTTGATCCTCCAGCCTCCAAAATCATATCTAGAATCGGCTGATACAAAGCACCACACCATAACTTACCAAATTCAGTTGCATCAACTCGAACATACAAATCCTGGGACGTAGCAGGGAAATACATTGCATCCATCAAGTCTCCGTACCATAACATGCAAACACTCTCATTCCCAGCACCATCCATATCAGCAAAGGCAGAACAAGAACAGTTTCTCCTGCACTCATGCTCACAGCTCACTTCACTGCCGCCAACACGCCTATCAATCCAAACGGCTTCTGAAGTATCAGGAACCTTTATCTTGAGCATTCTCACGAACCCTTCTCCCAGCCCACAAAACCCATCCGAATTTCCCGATCCCTTCTTCACGCACCCGCCAGACCCATCAAACGATCGCCAGCTTCTCATTGACTTGGGTTCATATCCAGGCAAGCAAGAACACTCGAAAGCGTTGCCATTACCAGGATCGCACACACCATTGGGGCCGCAGCGCCCATAGGAATCACATTTCTGCGTCGGCGTCGCCCAATACTCCTTCCAATCCTCGTAACCCTGTGCCCAGATCTTCTGACGCAAGACTCCATTCGGATACATAGCTACCCATAAGAGAAAAGAATCTTCTTCGGCCAAGAAGATGGAGAAATAGACCTCGTCTTCGTTGTTGATGAACGAGGCGTTGAAAAGGTCGGGGAAGCTTTTCCATGGCCAGGGAAAGCTTCTGGCATAAGGGGTTTTTCTTCCTTCGCCTCGGTAGTGGAAGACTTGCGGGGCGCCGTTCGGGTTGACCCGAAACGAGAATTCGCCTGTTGCTGGGTCGTCGTCGGATCTCCACGAGGTTATGAACCGATCCAGACCCGATTTCCGATCCAACCCGAGCTTCGATCCCGGTAGGTATGTGTTCGTCGGGTAATCCACGCTCTGCCACAGAACCGCCGTCGAATTGAAAAGCGCGAAATTCCCTGAATCTGAAATCCGCGCGAAGCGCGGGGAATCGAACTTCGCCGAAACGTTGGTTGACCAAATCGAAGTTCGATTTTGTGAATGGAGGACAAGGTTGCCGGTGCCGTCGATTGAGAGGATTCCGTAATCGCCGGCAGCGATTGGGTGATTACGGTTGGCTACCCAGACGACGGATTGCTGGCGGATTTGATGGAACCAAATGCCGAGGTATCTATTGGTAGACCGGCCGGGGGAGAAGAATCCGATCGCGAATGTGCCGGTTTTGGAGACCAAAACGTCGCCGTCTCTGAGCGGTTGTGATGGTGTCACTGTATCATTTGAAGCGGCAGCAGCGGGACGAAAGAGGACAAGGAAGAAGAAGAAAAATGGCGGGAGAAGGAGGCGATGAGAAAGTTCCATGGAACGAATCTGATTCCAAGACGCCGCCTTTTGGGTTTTTGTCGATGATAATGATGATGACGGAGAATACAAGAGAAGGGTCAAAACGTGGACCTTTGTCCACCCTTTCGTTTCACGAATCATGGAACCCAGTCAGTCACCGGCCGGTTTCCATTAGGAGGACCTGCAGGAATAGCTGTTGAAGTCACTCGATTTACTCATCAGAAGCCATAGAAAAAGAATTGCAGAGTGATTTAGGTTCCGGGCGCCATATTAAGAAAACTAAAACTCATTCATCGTTGACCTCAAGGTCATTAATTTACAGTTCTTTCATCTCACAGTCCCAGAGTTAATAGGTGAGAGCAGGAACAGCTATCAGGACACGTGCTGGCCGGCAGCCGAAAATTGATCTTTCAGATCAAGTTGGGAGCTGGCTGTCATAGGTTCACTCTGAAGTCTAAAGCTGCAGTTGACATTATCTTTTCTAGATGTGAACACTAATAGTTGACCTTTCCATATCATTATAATGCCTAATATATATATATATATATACATTCTTCTATAAACTTTCTTGCATGTGCATGATAGTGTGAAGACGAGGAAGGTCGGCATGACAGCATCTCAGCATCTAGCCCTTCATTGCCTAAGATAGAAAGTACAATTCTGAACAAAATCAACGTCTAGTCTATCCTCATTAGCTGGCTCACCTATCGCACCAAAGACGCGCAAACATCATTCCTTTCATACTATGGCAACCAAAGCACACTGTAAGAGACAGCATGTAACCCACCCACGCGTACCTGGCGAGATTCCCTTGTTCAGTCTCTCGTAGTATCATTGTCAGCGTGTCACAAGCCCGGTTAGAGTCACATCGTTTAGCGAGCATGATCCTCCAGTTACTTTAGGTATGATGCTGCAGCCAGTGCTGGCAAATGAGGGTTGTTTAGGAAGAGGAAGAGGCATCGCACTGCTCAGCATAAGAACCGTCGTCAGCATATTGGGTCGGTCTTCCACATTTTCCTCCACGCACAACAGCCCAATCTGGATGCATCTCAACACCTCCTGAGTGTCGTAGGATCCCTCCTCCATCGATGGATCCACAATCTCCAGCGCCCTGTCTTCCTTCCACTTCATCCACACCTGTAATCGCATTGCAAAATAATTTAGTGAGTCACGTCAGGTTAGATTTTATACCCTTCTCTCAATGGGAAATCGGGGGGAAATGAAAAATTCTATCAATAGGCTCACATGGGTTATCAGGTTGGAGTTTTCTTCATCTTGATAGATTCTACTGATCTTCTCGCCGGTTATCATTTCAAGCAATATGACACCAAAACTGAAGACATCGGACTTTTCTGAGAATTTCCCAAACACTGCATACTCTGGTGACATGTAACCACTGCAGAAAAGAGAGATCCCCGGACATTATTACAATGTTGAGTGAATCAATCTGACTGTTAGACTCAAATACATACTAAGTCCCCCCAATGCTGGTTGTCTGCCATTGAACTTGGTTAGCCTCCAGTATCATAGCCATGCCGAAATCTGAGATCTTGGGGTTCAGCTCTGCATCTAGGAGAATATTGCTGGTTTTCAAGTCTCGATGGATAATTCTGAACCTTGAATCCTGATGAAGATACAGGATGCCACGTGCAATCCTGACTATGATATTGAAACGTCTCATCCAATCTAACAACGTTCCTCCTTTTCGATCTTTAAAAATGAAAAAGGAGCCATCTTTGCATTAGAGATCAGTGCATGAAAGGAACAACTAGAAAACAACTGCATCAGAAATAGAAAGATTCCTACCAAAAAGAAAGAGGTCCAGACTTCTGTTGGGCAAATACTCATAAATCAGCATTTGTTCCTCTTCTTCGATGCAGCATCCATAGAGCTTCACAAGATTCCGGTGTTGGAGCTTTGCAATCAACAGTACTTCATTCCTAAACTGCTCCAACCCTTGCCTGGAATTTTCACTCAGCCTTTTCACTGCAACCTCTTGTCCATTGGGGAGTCTCCCCTGAATTTGCAGAGGGGTTTAGTCAATACCATCTTGTAATTAGTCAAAGGTAGTGAAAACTCAGAATGCTACCTAAAGTTCCTCATTTACCTTGTAAACGGAGCCAAAACCTCCTCTTCCAAGCTTGTTAGCTGGAGAAAAATTGTCAGTAGCAGCCCTTATGGCATTGAGGCTGAAAAATGGCAGCTCGGGATATACTGAACCTCCCTCCATTTCCTCTGTAACAACAGAATCCGTGAAGTGGTTTGAACCATGATTTGGATGGAACAAATCTCTGATCCTTCTCTTCTTCGCTGTCCTTAAACATACCAAAACAAGATCATTAAGAACTCAATCAAGCTTACAAAACCTTCATTCTGTGGCAAATCCATAGAGTGCAAATTCTATACCTGTCCTGTTTCGCCACCTCCTGAGCCAACAGAAGCCAAGCACGATCACAACAAGCAATACTGAACCAATAGATGGCAGAAGAATGCTCAACTTCAGCTTCAACTCAAAAGAGTCATTCGATCCACCCTGATAATTAGCTGGATAACAGCATCAATTTTAAGGAAGAGAGATGTAAGATCCAATATTGACCTCACCCAAAAAGTGTACGGTATTGCAGCAGCGAATGAGTTCATGATCTGGAGTTATCTTAGCAAGTTGCTTCTTGATAGAAAAGCATTCATATGATCACTATCAACAATTGTCTTAAGCTGAACAAGAAACTATGAATTTGCAAACTTAAGCCCCAGTGATCAGGATTCATTCAAGAACCAAGAACAAAAAACTAAATTGTCCTAAGCAAAGGGTGTTCCTTACCAAATTCAGCTGCATCAACTCTGACATACAAATCCTGGAACGTTACAGGGAAATACACAGTATCCACCAACTCTCCAAACCATAACAAGCAACCTTTCACATTCCCACCAGCACTTTCCATTTCAGCATACGCAGAACACGAACAGTTCTTCCTGCACTCATCTTCGCAACTCAACTCGCTGCCGCTCTTCTTCCCAACCCAAACAGCTCTTGTGCTATCAGGAACCTTCACCTTCTGCACTCTCACGAACCCTTCTCCCACCCCACAAAATCCATCAGGCGTTTCCGATTCCGATGATTTTCTAACGCACCCACCAGACCCGTCGAACAATCTCCAGCTTGTCGGCGACTTTGGTTCATAACCAGGCAAGCAAGAGCACTCAAAAGTGTTGAAATTGCTCGGATCGCACAAACCGTTCGCGCCGCAGCGTCCGTAGGAATCGCATTTCTGAGTCGGCGTCGCCCAGTACTCCTTCCAGTCGTCATAACCCGTTCGCCAGATTTTCTCCCGCAGAATTCCACTCGAATCCAAGACTTCCCAGAAGAGAAGAGAATCCTCGGTCACAGTGATGGTGAAATAAACTTCGTCTTCGTTGTTTATGAAGGAGACGTCAAAAATGTCTGCGTAGGTGCCCCATGGCCAAGGAAAGCTTCTAGTGTAAGGGGTTTCTCCTCGATAGTGGAAGACTTGAGGGGAACCCCTCGGGTTGACCCGAAACGAGAAATCCCCTGTTCCTGGGTCGTCCTCGGATCTCCACGAGCTTAAGAACCGGTCCAGACCCGATTTCCGGTCCAGCCCGAGCTTCGCACCCGGTAGCAATGTGTTAGTCGGGTAATCAACGCTCTGCCACAGAGCCACCGTCGAATTTTCGCTGAACAAAACCCAATTCCCCGAATCCAATAGCTGGGCGAAGCGAGAGGAAGAAGAACCCAACTTTGCTGAAACATTGGTTGACCAAATGGGAAATTTCGTTCCATCCCTCCGTTCGTGGAGGACGAGGTTGCCGGTGGAGTCGATTGAGAGAATTCCGGAATCGCCGGCGGCGATGGGGTTGTCCCGATTGGCGACCCAGACGACGGTTTGCTGTGGGACTTGGTGGAACCAAATGCCGAGGTATCTGTTGGCGGAACGGCCGGGGGAGAAGAAGCCGAGAGCGAATTTGCCGGTAGGGGAGACCAAAACGCCGCCGTCTTTGAGCGGTTGGGTTGGGGTCACGGTATCGTTTGAAGCAGAGGCGGCGCGAAGAAGGAAGAGGAAGAAGAATAGAAATGGCGCGCCCATTACAGTGAACGAGAAGCCTTGGCGCCAGTTTCAATCATGGTGATGGCGATGGATAGGAAAGAAGAGGGATCTTGGTCAAGGAGGTCTTCTATGGCGGCTGGATTTCTGGGTTTTTATCTTCTTGTTATTCAGATGTGATTTATGGAACCGATGCTCCATTGTTGCTAAGTAGAAGGCGACCATAAGACTAATAAGAGCTATCGTCATTCGTCAAGAGCTTTTATGGCGGGTGATGTGGGCTGCGGTTTACCTGCCCAGGCCATACGGATGCTTGCTTTTGGGTTTACGGCGGATTTTGGCGGGTTAGGGTTGTTTCTAAATAGTCAAACTAGAATTAGTGGTGGATAGGGACGGCAATCAAATTTGCGTCAGCAGATACTCGATCGTGTTTGACCTAAACCTAGTTAAAATGGAGAACTCGTGTATTGATTAGGTATGCGATGAGTGTGGATAAAATTTGTAAATCATTTAATAAAAATAATATGGAGACAATTTTAGATGTTTGGTCTCATAATCATAATCATATCCACTCCAAAAAAGGTATATATTCATAGAAAAATAGGGTTAATAAAGTATAGGGACCATAATATAATCTATCAATGATTAGAAAAATTAATGAGCTTGGTGGACCCTAAGAAAATTTTATTTTATTGGACGGAAACAACCCCACCCCGAGGTCACTCCGGCCACCTCGGGCTCACTCCGGTCACTGGGTCAAATACCTTGGGTCACCTTGGGGTCACTCCGGCCACCCCAGGGTCAAATACCTTGGGTCACCTTGGGGTCACTCCGGCCACCCCGGGGTCAAATACCTTGGGTCACCTTGGGGTCACTCCGGCCACCCCGGGGTCAAATACCTTGGGTCACCTTGGGGTCACTCCGGCCACCCCGGGGTCAAATACCTTGGGTCACCTTGGGGTCACTCCGGCCACCCCGGGGTCAAATACCTTGGGTCACCTTTGGGTCACTCCGGCCACCCCGGGGTCAAATACCTTGGGCCACCCCGGGGTCACTCCGGTCACCTTGGGGTCACTCTGGCCACCGCGGGGTCAAATACCTTGGGTCACCTTGGGGTCACTCCGGCCACCCCGGGGTCAAATACCTGGGGTCACCTAGCCCACCCTGGGGTCACTCTGGTCACCCGGGTCAAATATCTTGGGTCACTTTGGGATCACTCCGACCACCCCGGGGTCAAATACCTTGGGTCACCTTGGGGTCACTCAGGCCACCCCGGAGTCAAATACCTTGGGTCACCTTTGGGTCGCTCCGGCCACCCCGGGGTCAAATACCCTGGGTCACCTCGGCTACCTTGGGCTCTCCGCCCACCCCAGGTCACCTCAACCTTTAGCCACGTACCCCCGCAACGTGTCCACCGACCAAACCACCAAGCTCTCGAAGGAGACACGTACTCCCTTCATGTTCGCCTGGGAGCCTCTATAAAAGGCCACTTCGTCTCCAGATTGAGGTAAGAAAAAATTCCCCATGCCTAGACTCGTGAACTCGCACTATGATTAGCGCAGATATTCATTCTCAACTCCATTCCCTCATCTTTCTTTTCGAGGTCATATTCCTCTCCACTCAACACCCTCACTAACTTGAGCGTCGGAGAGTGTCCCCGCCGAGATCGGCCGGTGGACCCTTTTTGCAGGAGACGACCAGAGCTAACATCACGAGTGAAGTTCGAGGTGAAAGGTGGTCGTCGACCGACTCCGGTGCCCAGCATAAAAAATTCGACGTCGGCTACAACCCCGGCATCAACAATTGGCGCCCACCGTGGGGCCCCGGAGCAAAAGGTTGAAGGAAAAAAAAACATATCGCCACTACTTCGCTCATGATGGAGTCTCAAAGCTCCCTACACCCCCAAACTGGCGGCGGAGTTCGAGACAAAGAGCCAGCTTCTCCACCGTCTGTTGAAGAGCTTCAAGCCCAAGTTGAGCAGTTGAAAGCCCAAGTCCAAGCATTGACATCAGCTCCTCCTCCAACCCATGGGCTGCATGCCAGCTCTAGCCACCAACCGGAGACCACCGGAGGGTCAGCCCACCCCAATGGGACGTCAATCCCTCCTCCGCCTCCCCAACCAGGGGATCTCTCATACCTTGAAGCCCACCTAACTCCCAGTTTCATGGCGGACCCTGGGCACGGCAAGCCTTTGGCCCGTTCAATCCTGGATCAGCCCAACCCCCCGAACTTCCAAATGCCTCACCACCTTCCAGAATACTACGACACTTCCGACCCAGAGGATCACCTCAGTGCCTTTCAGATTTTGATGCCTTTCGTGGGGGCATCTGACGCTACCATGTGCAAACTCTTCCCCACCACCCTCCGGGGAGTGGCATTTCAATGGTATACTCAGTTGCGAAATGGCATAATCACCAGCTTTGAGGAGTTCGCCACCCTCTTTCGAGCCAATTTTTTGCCCAGAAACGGCCAAATGTGGACGTGTCTCGCCTCATGAGCACTAAACAAAGAGAGTACGAGACCCTTAAGGGGTATTACTCTCGATTCAGCACGATTACTGTCGGGGTTACCAATCTAACCACGAAAAATGCAACTCATGCCCTCGTATTTGGAACAAGCAACTCTCTTCTCCGAGCGTCACTCATAAAGCGGCGTCCCCGCAACATGATGGATCTCCAGGAACGGGTGTCCAAATACATCGCCCTCGATGAAACCTTACAAGAGGCAGCTCCCCCAAAGCGTGCTCGGTCACCGCAAAAAAGGAAACGAGAACCCTCACCTCCACATCGTCCAGACTCACCAAAGTCTCTTGACCATCAACAAGGTCGTTCTCCGTCTGGCCAAGGCAGGGGGCACGTCGAGACAAGCGTCGGGAGGAGTCAATCCCTAAGCCTGACCAGACTTTCACCCCACTAACGGAGTCCCGCAAGACCATTCTTCAGATAATCCAAGAGAAGAAGATCCCCATATCCTGGCCAAACCCCATAACAAAAGAACCTCGGAAAGGGAAACACAAGTACTGTGATTTCCACCGGGGATATGGCCATGACGCCGAGCGATGTTGGACATTAAAAAAATACATCGAAGACCTGGTACAGGAAGGTCACCTGCAGAAATACATTGGGAACCCGGAGAGCCGCCCTCAAGAAGTAGCACCGGGGATCGAGGAAAGGCACCACAGGGCGGTGGGATACTCGGAGTCGTGGATGTCATCCACAGGGGCGCTGGTTTGAGCAATGCTAACGAAAAGCCACTCTCGACCTGCGGTCAACATCCTCTATCGCGGGGACTCCCACAATTTCCTTTGATGTCAAAGACTTGGACGGAGTCACCCACCCCCATGATGACCCGCTAGTGATTGAGGCTGTGGTTGCAGACTACAAGGTCAAACGAATCTTGGTGCATGGAGGTAGCTCGGCGGATCTCCTGTTTTACCCTGCTTACCTCTCCCTGGGGTACCGCCCAGACCAATGTCGGCCCGCCAAAATTTGCTTGGACAGTTTCTCAGGAACTCAGGTACCCGTGATCGGGACGCTCCCACTACGTGTTCGTGTTGGAGAAGGGGACCAAATTGCAGAGACTGTCACCAACTTTCACATCGTAGATTGCCCATCAGTATACAATTGCATTCTAGGGCGACCTTTTTTACATCAACTCCGAGCAGTCCCCTCACATTCCACCTCCGCCTTAAGTTTCCAACAAACACTGGCATTGGATGTGTTTGATAGAAACCAACTTCCGTTCGGTTTCTATAATTATTATTATATTAGAGTAATTAGTCTTTTAGTCGTATTAGATTAATTGTTAGGGTTTTATGGTTCTTTTCCTATATATGTATGTTGTTATTCATCTATTCAATCAATAAGAAGAATATTAAAGAAAAGCTTCCAAACCCTAATCTCTATCCTCTCAATTCTCATTCTAAATCCCTCTGAGGCCTAGGCCGATTCTGTTCTTCTTTCTCGATTCCCTATCTTCTTCTTTGTTTCTATCAGTGTTCGGGGAGATCAAGCTCTTGCCAAACAGTGTTGCACACTTTCTTTACAAAAGAAAGTAGTTGTCAACATTGACGCCCGAGAAGAAGGCATCCGTCCCGTTCCCGTTGACCCCGATGAGGATTTTCCTATCTCCGAGGGGCACACTGTCCGCATATCTACAGCATGGCCTCGTGAGGCACTCCAATCTCTTTTGACACTTCTCCAAGAGTTTGAAGAGGTTTTTGCCTGGGGACCAGAGGACATGCACGGTGTCGACCGCCGGGTGGCAGAACATGCGCTTGGAATTGCTCATGGCAGCCGCCCCATACAACAAAAGAGACACAATTTTGCTTGGGAAAGACGCCAAGCAGTGGCGGAAGAAGTCTCAAGGCTTCTCAAAGCAAAATTCATTCAGGAAGTTCTCTATCCAACATGGCTCGCAAACGTGGTAATGGTGAAGAAGGCAAATGGCCAATGGCGAATGTGTGTCGACTTTACAGATCTCAACAAGGCCTGCCCCAAAGACCCGTATCCTCTCCCAAAGATTGACCAGCTGGTCGATGCTACTGCTGGCCACCGATTTCTCAGCTTCCTAGATATGTTCTCAGGGTATCATCAAATCCCCATGAGAAAGGAGGACCAAGAGAAAACTGCATTCATGACACCTGTGGGCAACTATTGCTACAAGGTGATGCCTTTTGGGCTACAAAATGTCGGCGCCACATACCAGCGAATGGTGGGCCGCGTTTTTGCCCGTCAGCTAGGAATAAATCTGGAGGCTTATGTCGATGACATCTTGATAAAAAGCGAGGGTGTAGATGAGCACCTAGAGGACTTGAGGGAGTCCCTCAACACTATGCGCCTATACGACCTTCGCCTTAACCCAAAGAAGTGTGTCTTTGGGGCCACCGCTGGGAAGTTTCTTGGTTTCATGCTCACTCAAAGGGGTATCGAGGCCAACCCACGTCAAATTAATGTCATTCTCCAAATGTCATCACCAACCAAAGGAAGGGAAGTCCAAGTCCTCACGGGATGGATCGCGGCCCTCAACCGATTCATCGCCCGTTCCGGAGATCGGTGCGCTCCTTTCTTCGCTACTCTCAAAGGGGCTAGTAAAACCTTTGTATGGACACCTGAGTGTGAGAAGGCATTCGAAGAATTGAAAAATTATCTGGTCACCCCTCCTGTACTATCCACCCCTCTGAATAATGAAGTTCTCTATCTTTACATTGCCGTGTCGCCTAAGGCGGTTAGTGCAGTCTTGGTGCGGAAAGACCACGATGGGCGAGAACACCCTGTATATTACACAATCAAAACGCTCCTGGATGCTGAGACAAGATACATGCCGATTGAGAAAGCTGCTTTCGCCGTAGTTGTTGCCTCTCGAAAACTAAGCCCCTACTTCCAGAGTCATGCCATTTGTTTCCTAACACACCTCCCTCTTAGACGCCTTCTCCAAAAAATGGACATCTCCGGACGAATGGTCAATTGGGCAGTAGAGTTGAAGCCTCTAACAAGTTTGGTGCCGGGGCGGGCATCCTGCTAATAAGCCCATTGGGTGTCGCTCGCGAGCTCGCCATCAGGTTCACCACCCAAAAAACAAACAATGCAGCCGAATATGAGGCCTTACTAGCCGGGTTATCCATGGCACAAGAGCTGGGGGTGCAACGGGTACTTGTCCAGTCTGATTCAGCACTTGTGGTCAACCAAGTCATGGGGGGCCTTTGAAACTAGAGAACCTACACTTGCCGCCTAAGCTGGGGGCGGTGCGAGCGGCACTTGCCGACTTTGCTCATGCCCAAATCATCCATATTGCTCGTGAAGATAATCCCCATGCTGATGCGCTCTCCAAGTTAGCAACCGCTAGAGATTTCGTAGATGAGCGACAAGTGGTAGTGGAGCGTCGCCCAGCGTTATTGTGTGCTCAGACAGAAATGGGTCCCCTCCAACATGATTGGCGTAGACCCTTCCTAGAATACCTCCGCAACGGAATCCTTCCCAGTGACCCAAAGAAGGCCATTCGCCTGAAACAGAGGGCCCCTTTGTACACATTGATTGAAAATGACCTTTATCGAAAAAGTTTTGCTGGCCCTTACCTGAGATGTCTTAGTAAAGGGGAAGCCTATTTTGCCCTTCAGGAAGTCCATGAGGGATCATGTGCCATGCACATCGGTCCACGAAGCCTGAAAAAAACACTCCTCCGTCAAGGTTATTATTGGCCAACGCTTCGTCGAGATGCCAGTGCATACGTCAAAGCATGTCCCAAGTGCCAGGTGGCGGCCCATGTTCCTCATGCGCCAACCGCACCCATGCAAGGTAATCTCAGCCCTTGGCCTTTCTCCCAATGGGGGATGGATTTTCTTGGCCCCTTCCCTAGAGCTCCCGGCAATAAGAAGTGGCTTATAGTCGCAATCGACTATTTCACTAAATGGATCGAAGCAGAAGCTCTCACGGGAATGACGGCTCAGAAGGTACAGAAAATCCTATGGAATAATATAATATGTCGGTTCAGCCTCCCTCACACAATTGTGCTCGACCAAGGCACACAATTTCAAAGTGATGAGCTCCAAACTTACTGTGCTCGTTACGGAATCCTCCTCAGATATGCTTCTGTTGCCTACCCACAAGCCAATGGTCAGGCCGAGTCTGCCAACAAGAGCATCTTGTGGGGTTTAAAAACCCGTTTGGATACTGCTAAGGGAAGATGGGCCAAGGAGCTCCCGCATGTTTTATGGGCTCACAGGACCACCTACAAGAACGCCACCGGTGACACGCCTTATAAGCTCACAGATGGTACCGATGTTGTGCTACCAATCGAGATGGAGTTAGCCTCATATCGGATCTTGTCCTTCAACCCAAGCACCAACCTACAAGAGCTCACGCACAACCTGGACCTGACAGAGGAACGACGTGAGGACGCCCAACTCCGCCTCTTTGCTTCCAAGACTGAGTTGCAAGATACTATAACTCCAAGGTGAAGCAGCGCCCGCTCCAAGTGGGTGATTGGGTTCTAAGGAGAAACTTCCGCTCTGATCCCCGACAGGGAAAGTTCACTCCCAAGTGGGAAGGACCATATAAGGTGAGGGAAGTTGTCGGCCCCAACACCGTTAAACTGGAGGACATTGAAGGCAGTGATGGTCAACTCTCAATATTCGTGAGACATTAACCTGGCACAATTTCCACCAAGTCAAACACCATAACCATTAATGTGGTGAAGAAAACATTAATCATCTCATCTTCCTCCACTAACTTTGATAAACCTTTACCCCCTCCTACTAGTAACGGTGTCAACAATGATCTCCGCTCAAGATACCGAGCCTTCGCTCGTGATACCGATCCACGAATTGGCTCGGACCCCATCAGATAAGGAAAAGTGTCAATAAAACATGGACCCCCATTAAACCGCTGGCCTAACAAATAACAAAAGGATAGAATTGCCGATGGGAAATTTCGATAAAATTGAAATTCCCACCGGCAAGGGGGGCAACTGGTGGACCCTAAGAAAATTTTATTTTATTGGACGGAAACAACCCCACCCCGAGGTCACTCCGGCCACCTCGGGCTCACTCCGGTCACTGGGTCAAATACCTTGGGTCACCTTGGGGTCACTCCGGCCACCCCAGGGTCAAATACCTTGGGTCACCTTGGGGTCACTCCGGCTACCCCGGGGTCAAATACCTTGGGTCACCTTGGGGTCACTCCGGCCACCCCGGGGTCAAATACCTTGGGTCACCTTGGGGTCACTCCGGCCACCCCGGGGTCAAATACCTTGGGTCACCTTTGGGTCACTCCGGCCACCCCGGGGTCAAATACCTTGGGCCACCCCGGGGTCACTCCGGTCACCTTGGGGTCACTCTGGCCACCGCGGGGTCAAATACCTTGGGTCACCTTGGGGTCACTCCGGCCACCCCGGGGTCAAATACCTGGGGTCACCTAGCCCACCCTGGGGTCACTCTGGTCACCCGGGTCAAATATCTTGGGTCACTTTGGGATCACTCCGACCACCCCGGGGTCAAATACCTTGGGTCACCTTGGGGTCACTCAGGCCACCCCGGAGTCAAATACCTTGGGTCACCTTTGGGTCGCTCCGGCCACCCCGGGGTCAAATACCCTGGGTCACCTCGGCTACCTTGGGCTCTCCGCCCACCCCAGGTCACCTCAACCTTTAGCCACGTACCCCCGCAACGTGTCCACCGACCAAACCACCAAGCTCTCGAAGGAGACACGTACTCCCTTCATGTTCGCCTGGGAGCCTCTATAAAAGGCCACTTCGTCTCCAGATTGAGGTAAGAAAAAATTCCCCATGCCTAGACTCGTGAACTCGCACTATGATTAGCGCAGATATTCATTCTCAACTCCATTCCCTCATCTTTCTTTTCGAGGTCATATTCCTCTCCACTCAACACCCTCACTAACTTGAGCGTCGGAGAGTGTCCCCGCCGAGATCGGCCGGTGGACCCTTTTTGCAGGAGACGACCAGAGCTAACATCACGAGTGAAGTTCGAGGTGAAAGGTGGCCGTCGACCGACTCCGGTGCCCAGCATAAAAAATTCGACGTCGGCTACAACCCCGGCATCAACAGAGCTAAAATGTAATTGAGTAGTCACCCAAACCAAATTTATTTATTCCCCATTATTATCAAGATTATGTTTGTTATTCATTAGTTAGTAGATGTGTAGGAGTCTAAAGAATGTTTAGAATTAGATGATTTGAATTTTTATAAAAAATGCAGTATACTTTGGTCGATTTAATGATTCATTAGGTTCATGTTCATTTAGTGTTACCCTTGAATATCTACATGATGAATTCTAGATATAGTAATGTTATACACAAGTCGGGTATTATCCATTGAAAGCCATGGGATGGCGATGTGATCTACTGAGAGTAGGGTTTGGGAACCGCCATTGAATGAGCGGAGCTCTAAGCTCCAGTTTTGGTCAATCCTCACTAACTTGCTTCAACCTTCATTAGCTAGCTCTTATGTCGAATGATCTGCCACCAATACTTCGCTCTTGTGTTGAAAGTTGGAGTAGATATGCCGCCTGGGTTGTTAAGGTCTGACATGGCATTTACGTAGCTCAATATGGTGACTAAGAGGTGACGTGAGTGTTGAGGTGGTGTCCATCTCAGTTTCATGTTGACAACCCTAAACGATATCTCTAACGTCGTCAACATTTTCAACGAAAATGACTGCATTTGTTAAACACATTTTCATAATCTAAATATATTTGTGTTTTTTTTACAGATTGTATATTATTATTTTTGTATTTTGCCTACAATATATTAATCAAACAAAATCAAAGCTTGACTAATTTGGTTAATTGGTCAATCAAATTAACCAATCAGGTTACCTATTATCCCAAAGGCAATGAATTCGCCAAATCGGTCAAGACTCGCATAGACCCCGAGTCTCTTCAAAGATCACATCTTGAATGAATTGCGCCAACTCTGCTGAATCACCACCTTTTCGTCACCTTCAAGAACCACTTCCTAGCCCTGCAATCCCAAATCAACGCACCATCTAAAAGCATCGGGAAGAGCTACCAACTTCTCATGGAAATGGTCCTTGATCATCCTTCAACACCAGATCTAACGCAGAATGAGATCCTGCACGAATTGCACCATCAAACGAACAAACAATGGATGCTATTTCCAAGCTCGTGCCTATTCCGACTGAACCATCCACCCGTACCAGAGCTCAGTCACTACAAGCAGGCACCCCGATCCATTCTCGCCTCTGTCCATGAGAAGATTTAGGGATTTAGATGAATTTGCCAGAGAAACAAATTGGGGAAAATCGCTCACACTGAGCTTTTCCATTGACAGCAGCATATATACACTTCGTTAATCTACCATTTACACTAACTGTGCACTAGCCGTTAAACTAACTTTCTAACTAACCAATGAATGCTATACACGTGGCTGATTAAACAGTAAAACTTGAAACCAACGACTCAATCCAAAACGGTGCGTTGCTTCTCTTCTTTCCTCTTGCCCTTCTGCACGACGTCGTAATCTTCTTCTTGTTCTGCTGCATTTCTTCGACTGCAGGGCAACTCTGCATCTTCATCCTTGAGGTCAGCAACTAAGGTAGGAGCTCCTTCACATTCACTCGAGCTCCTTTTCACCCTCCCACAAGCTGGCGAGTATAGATTATATACTCACAGCTTGGACAACAACATGATAAAGCGATCAATCGACAAGCTTTTGGTGAAGATATCTGCTAACTGCAACTCAGTAGGTATATAGTGTAAAGAGATCATTCCTGACTGCACTCTTTCTCTTATGACGTGACAATCCACCTCAATGTGTTTTGTCCTCTCGTGAAAAACTGGATTGTCTGCAATATGCAATGCAGACTGATTATCACAGTATACTGAAACAGAATTGTCATGCTTAATTCCAAACTCTGAGAGCAATCTGAGTAGCCACTGCACTTCACAACTCAGACTTGCTAAGGCCCTATACTCCGCTTCTGATGAAGAACGAGACACAGTTGTTTGTTTCTTACTCTTCCAGCTCAATAAACCAGTTCCAAGAAAGGTACAATATCCTGTAATTGACCTTCTTGAATCAGGGCAAGTAGCCCAATCACTGTCACTGTATCCCTTCAACTGCAAATCTGAATCACAAGAGTATAGAAGACCTTGTCCAGGAGACCCTTTTAGGTATCTCAGAACTCTGTGTAAGGCTCGAAGATGCTGTGTGGTTGGCTTGTCTTGAAATTGACATAGCTGTTGAACAGCAAATGTAATATCAGGCCTAGTGGTAGTTAAGTACTGAAGTTGTCCCACTAAGTGCCTGTATTCACCAACATCTTCAAGTGGTGTACCACCTTCTGAAGATAGAACTTCTTTAACAAAGATTGGAGTTGCTGCAGGTTTGCAATCTCCAAATCCTGATTCTGCAATAACATCCAGACAGTACTTCCTTTGGGAGACTGTAATTCCTTGCTTCCCACGAGCTATTTCCAAACCAAGGAAATAACTCAATTCTCCTAGATCCTTCATTTTAAAGTCAGTATGCAACATTTTCTTTACTGCATTGATTGAATCCAGACTCAAACTTCCTAGAACAATGTCATCCACATAAACTATCAGCACTACCAACTCATTCAGAACATGAGCAGTGAAGATTGAGTAATCACATGTAGACTGCTTAAAACCATGATTAACCAAAGAATCAGTTAACTTTGCATACCATTGTCGACTTGCCTGCTTCAAGCCATACAAAGACTTCTTCAATTTGCACACTTTCCCTCTGTGTTTTCCATCAAGATCCAAACCAGGTGGCAACACCATGTATACTTCCTCTGTCAAATCTCCATTGAGGAAGGCATTGCTGACATCCATTTGATGTAAATGCCATCCTTTCACTGCTGCAACTGATAACAACATTTTCACTGAGGCCATCTTGGCCACTGGTGAAAATGTATCACAATAATCAATCCCATAAACTTGGGTGTACCCCTTTGCAACCAGTCTGGCCTTAAATCTGTCAACTGTGCCATCAGATTTCAACTTCAATCTAAACACCCACTTGCACCCTATTGCATTCTTATCAGCTGACAAATCTGTGATTTCCCAAGTACCGTTATCAAACAGTGCTTGTAGCTCTTCTCTTATAGCTTCATTCCATTCAGGATGTTCTGAAGCTTCAATGTAAGTACTTGGTTCCATATGAGTGATCAAAGAATTAACAAACTTCTGGAGTTTAGGTTGCAAGTGGCAGTAAGAAACACTCTTACTTTGAGGATACTGTATATCATAATCAGAATGCCAGACAGGAGGTTTTGATTCTCTTGTTGATTTCCTGAGAGGTATGGGTGGATCTTCATGGGGAGAAGGACATGGGGAAAAAGTGTATGTGGAAGAAGAAGGAGAAGGAGAACTGGAAGTAGAAGAGGGAGTTTTAGATGGAGATGGTGAGGAAAGAAAAGGAATAAATGCATCAGAACCAGTGGAATCAGGAGAAGGAGAAAAAGTGATTTCATGAAGCTCATCAGGATGTGAAATGGAGGGAGAAGGAGTGTCCTCCTCAGACTGATGAGGGAAGGAAGTCATAGGATTGGGAGGAATAACTGGTGACTGAGCATGAGAAGAAGAGATTTCAGAAAAGAGTGGTGTAGATGAAGTATTTGTAGGTAGAGAAGTAGGATTTTTGTAGGGAAGAATGTGCTCATAAAAGACCACATCTCGAGAAACAAAAACTTGTTTAGTATCAAGGTTCAACAATTTAAAACCCTTGATGCCTGCTGGTATACCAAGGAAGATGCACTGCTTGGCTCTTGGATCAAACTTTGTTCTAGGATGGCCAGCTGTGGCTGCATAAGCCAAACAGCCAAATACCTTTAAACTAGTATAATCAGGAGGCAGGTTGTGAAGGATCTCAAATGGTGTTTTGTTTTGCAGAATGGGAGTAGGTGTTCTGTTGATCAGGTAAGCTGCATGAAGGATGAAATCACTCCAATACAGCAGTGGGAGACCTGACTGGTATTTTAATGCTCTGGCAACATTAAGTAGGTGTTGATGCTTTCTTTCAACCCTACCATTCTGCTGTGCAGTGTAAGCAACACTCATTTGATGGATAATGCCTTCAGTGTTATAGAAATCATTCATATTGAACTCCTGACCTTGGTCAGTTCTGAGTATTTTCACATTGGTATTGAACTGTGACTTCACCATAACACAGAATGATTGGAGGAGAGGTCTAGCCTCATCCTTAGATCTCATAAGATAGGTCCACACACATCTAGAATGATCATCAACTAAAGTCAAGAAATAGCTATAACCATTGTAAGAAACTGTGTTTAATGGACCCCAAATATCTGCATGTAGTAATCCAAAAAGAACAGGACTAACAGATGAACTGGAAGGAAAGGGAAGCCTTTTCTGTTTGGCTAAGTGACAAACATCACAATGAGTAAAAGGGGAAGCTATTACATCAGGAGAAACTTTGTGAATAGCTTGTAATCTAGAAACATGTGGGTGTCCTAATCTGGCATGCCAGAGATCAAACTGGTGTGGCTGGAAGTTGTGAGAAGTGGCTGCTAGACACTGAGGTGATGAGTTGAGAGATGGTGTCTTGGTGAAAAGGTAAAGTCCTCTATCCACTTGGGCTAAACCAATCCTCTTCTGTGTAATAAGGTCCTGAATAACACAGACAGAGGATTGAAAGGTAAGTGAGACAGGGTTCTGTTTGGTTAACTTGCTTACTGAAACAAGATTGTAGCTAAAAGAGGGTACTAAGAGAACTTGTGAAAGGAACAAGCCACAAGGAAGCTTAACTACACCTATGTGTGTGGCCTTTACTTGTTCACCAGTAGGCAAAGTAACAGAAACACCATCAAGGACCTTATATTTACTGAAAAACTTAGAACTACAGATGATATGATCTGTAGCTCCAGTATCCAAAACCCATAGTGGTTCACCAGAAGAAGCAATAAGAGCTGAGAGTGCTGTGGTACCTGAGCTGGATGGCATGTAAGCCAATTGAGGAGGTTGCCTGTTGACTGGAACAGAACGAGTAACTGCATTTGCAGTGTGCACTGATGGAGAAGTAGGAGGAGATGGAGAAGGAGATGGTGACTTGAAGAGCATTAGTTTCAACTTCTCCATCTGCTCATGAGTAAAAATGCTATCCAGACTCATACGATTGTCAGGGGAGGCAGTAGAATTCTCATAAGGAATGGAACTCTCCACTGAACCAGCAAAACCAGCTTCTGCCTCTCTGGCCTTTTTGTTTTTCAGTCTATAACAGTCCTTGATAAGATGACCTTCTTTCTTGCAGTAGTTGCAAATTTTCTTACCATCCTGACATTGCTGCTGTTGCTGGCCTCTTCCCTTAAATTGATTGGAATTAGATGATCCTACAGCCAAGGCAAGAGAATCAACACTAGGACCTTTGTTAAGAGCTTTCAGTTGTCGTTCAAGATGTAGGATTTGCTTGAACACTGTGTCAACATGAGGTAAAACTGGCAGCATCAAAACTTGAGTCCTAGCTGATTGATAAGAAGGGTTTAGCCCTTGGAGAAACTTGATGACAAAATCATTGTCCTCGTACCTCTTCAGAGTCTCATAAGGACCAGGTACACAAGGACACACTGGAATAGGTCTGTATCTCTTGAACTCTTCCCAAATTACAGTGAGATTGGTGAAATACTGACTCACAGAATCATCACCTTGAACACATTTAGCCAATTGACCTTTTAGATCATAAACACGAATATTGTCCTCCTGGCTAAAGCGATTCTTCAAGTTATCCCATACATCCTTAGCTAACCCTAGTCTCATCACACTGTTTGCTATGTCATCTGACAATGAATTGTAAATCCAGCATCGAATGGTTCCATTGCATCTAGCCCAAGATTGATAATGAGCATCAGTTACCTGAGGAACAGGAATTCGACCATCGATGAACTGAGATTTGTTCTTCGTTTCCAGAGCTAACAGCATGACCTCACTCCAGGTATGGTAATTGCCATCGCCAAGCTTGATGGAGATGATTGTAGGTAGAGCACCATCTTGAGGAGGCAGGTAATAGGGATTAAGGTAAGGATCTTCATACTGGGATACAACAGCTTTGTATTTTGCAGAAGAGTCAGATCTAGATTCAGATCTAGATTCATTGTTAGGTGAAGCTTCCTGTGAGGCACCTTCACCTTCCATTGATGATGTAGATTAGTGACAGAAGTAGAAGAAGGAAATTGCAGAAATGGGTTTTTGATCGAACAGTAGAAAATGGATCTCAGCGCGATGAGCAGCGCTCTGATACCATGAGAAGATTTAGGGATTTAGATGAATTTGCCAGAGAAACAAATTGGGGAAAATCGCTCACACTGAGCTTTTCCATTGACAGCAACATATATACACTTCGTTAATCTACCATTTACACTAACTGTGCACTAGCCGTTAAACTAACTTTCTAACTAACCAATGAATGCTATACAAGTGGCTGATTAAACAGTAAAACTTGAAACCAACGACTCAATCCAAAACGGTGCGTTGCTTCTCTTCTTTCCTCTTGCCCTTCTGCACGACGTCGTAATCTTCTTCTTGTTCTGCTGCATTTCTTCGACTGCAGGGCAACTCTGCATCTTCATCCTTGAGGTCAGCAACTAAGGTAGGAGCTCCTTCACATTCACTCGAGCTCCTTTTCAGTCCATACAAATACCACCAAGTTTCGCGACTTCCAAATACGCCACAGTAGCGCGATAGAGCGCATATCCAGTGGAAAGGTGGACAAACAAACATCAACCATGTTTTCCCAACTGCAGCCACGAAGAATCAGCGTATCATGACTCCTGTCAGGGTCAGGTCGTTTACAGAACATGAGGCATGCGTTCCTCCTGCAGGTTGATGGTTCAAGCAGCTGCTGCCACCGGCAAACGCAGGTTGTTTGGGACGAGGAAGAGGCATTGCACTGTTCAACATAATAACCACTGTCATCATATTAGGTCGATCCTCGACATTTTCCTCCATGCATAACAGCCCAATTTGGATGCACCTCAATACTTCCTCAGCATTGTGCATTCCCCCCACCATTGATGAATCCACAACCTCCATCGCTCTGTCTTCCTTCCATAGCGTCCACACCTGTATCATTGACGAAACAGCAATTCGTCTCAATCACTGGATGCATCAGAAGAAAGCTGCAAGGTTTGCTTCAACACTCACGTGGGCTATTAAGCTCATGTTTTCATCTCCTTCAAAGCGTCTAGTGATCTTCATGCCGGTTACCATTTCAATCACTATGACCCCGAAACTAAAGACATCGGATTTTTCAGAGTATACACCTTGCACTGCGTACTCTGGCGACATGTAACCACTGCACAAATGAAAGAAATCCCAGGCATAGTAATGACAACGTGAAGCTGAACCAAGTTGATTTTTGCTAAAAAAATGGGTATATAGATGTATGCTCACATAGTTCCTCCGATGTTGGCTGCCTTCCCATGACAACGGTCGGCTTCAAGAACCATAGCCAAGCCGAAATCTGAAATTTTGGGGTTAAGCTCTTCATCTAGGAGAATGTTGCTGGTTTTCAAGTCTCGATGAATGATTCTGAACCTCGAATCCTGATGAAGATACAAGATTCCTCGTGCAATACCAATTATGATGTCGAAGCGTGTCCTCCAATCCAATGTTGCTCCTTGTTTCCGATCTTACGAAGCAAAACAAACCGGTACCATCATTTGTATTAGTTTCAATGGAAAAGAAAAAAAGAAATGCAAGTAATGTAACAGAAAGACAGCATACCAAAAAGAAAACGGTTCAAACTTTTATTAGGCAAGTACTCATAAACCAGAATGTGTTCTTCTTCCTCAATGCAACATCCATAGAGCTTAACAAGGTTCCTATGTTGGAGCTTTGCAATCAACAGTACTTCATTCCTGAACTGTTCCTGGCCTTGGCTTGATTTTTCGCTAAGCCTTTTAACAGCGATATCTTGTCCACTAGGTAGTCTCCCCTGAGATTTGAAACAAAAACGGTGTATGAATGTATGCTAATTTATACAGGTGCCACCAGCGCCAGTAATGCAATATTCTCCTTGTACTAAACCAAAACAACCCAAAAACCGAATTTACTTTAAGCCATCCTTCAAGTTCCACAACACAATATTATTCTGCCCCTTTACCTTGAACACAACGCCAAACCCTCCTTGTCCAACCTTGTTAGCTGAGGAAAAATTGTTGGTAGCAGCACGAATGGTGCTGAAGCTGAAAAATGGCAGCTCGGGATACGCTGAACTTCCATCCGTTTCCTCTGTCATCACATGAACAGTGGATCGACTTGAACCATCATTTGGATGGAACAAATTTCTGATCCTTCTCCTCTTTGCTGTCCTTAAAACATAACCAAAGGAAAATCCTTAGGGCAAACAGATAGACATTAGGCCAAAACCTTCACCAAACAAACAACGGACTATACAACTTCGTACCAGTCCTGCTTCGCCGCCTCTTGAGCCAAAAGAAACAGAACACCATAAAAACAAACCAGGTTGAAGCAACAGATGGCAGGACAATGCTCAATTTCAACCTCAGCTCAGCAGTGTCGATTACTCCTGCCTGATAATGAGCTACAAGGTACAAAATAAAAATCACCTCCAAAGCCATATCTCGAATTCTGTATTGGACAATGTACGACCCTCTAGCTTACCAAATTCAACTGCATCAACTCGAACATACAGATCTTGGGAAGTCACAGGGAAATACACAGTATCCACCAAGTCTCCATACCATAACATGCAAACACTCTCATCTCCAGCACCATCCATTTCAGCATACGCAGAGCAAGAACAGTTTTTCCTGCACTCACGCCCACAGCTTACTTCACTACCACCGCCACGCCTGTCAATCCAAACGGCTCCTGAAGTATCAGGAACCTTCACCTTCAGCATTCTCACGAACCCTTCTCCCAGCCCACAAAACCCATCAGAATTTCGCAACCTTTTCCTGACACACCCACCAGACCCATCAAACAATCGCCAGCTTCGCGGCGAACTGGGTTCATATCCAGGTAAGCAAGAACACTCATAAGCGTTGCCATTACTGGGATCGCACACACCATTGGGGCCGCAACGTCCGTACGAATCGCATTTCTGAGTCGGGGTCGCCCAATACTCCTTCCAATCGTCGTAACCCTTTCGCCAGATCTTCTCCCGGAGGATCCCGGCCGGATCTATAGCTACCCAGAAGAGAAAAGAATCTTCTTCAGTCAAGAAAATGGAGAAGGAAACTTCGTCTTCGTTGTTGATGAACGAGCCGTTGAAAATGTCGGTGAAGCTTTTCCACGGCCAGGGGAAGCTTCTGGCGTAAGGGGTTTTCCTTCCTTCCCCTCTGTAGTGGAAGACTTGCGGGGAACCCTTCGGGTTCACCCGGAACGAGAATTGCCCTGTTCCCGGGTCGTCCTCAGATCTCCATGAGGTTATGAACCGCTCCAGGCCCAATTTCCGATCCAACCCGAGCTTCGCTCCCGGTAGGTATGTGTTTGTTGGGTAATCCACGCTCTGCCAGAGAACCACCGTCGAATTTTGATTACTGAACAACGCGAAATTCCCTGAATCCAGAATCCGCGCAAAGGGCAGAGAATCGAGCTTGGCCGAGACGTTGGTTGACCAAATAGGAATTTTATTTCGTTCGTGAAGGACGAGATTGCCGGTGGCATCATCGATTGAGAGGATTCCGGAATCGCCGGCGGCGATGGGGTTGTTCCGGTTGGCTACCCAGACGACGGATTGCCGGGGAACTTGGTAGAACCAAATGCCGAGGTATCTGTTGGAAGAACGGCCAGGGGAGAAGAATCCGAGAGCGAATTTACCAGTTTCGGAGACCAAAACGTCGCCGTCTCTGAGTGGTTGTGTTGAGGTTACGGTATCGTTGCCAGCGGCCGCGCGAAAGAGGAAGAAGAAGATAAATGGCGGGAGGAGAATGATTTTCCCGCCCATTATAAGGAAGTTGCTTTGGCGCGAATTTCGACCATGGTGATCGATGGTTATGAACTGGAAAGAAGAGAGCTTTTGCTCAAGCAGGTCTTCTATGGCGGTGGGAATTCTGGGTTTTCCTTTCTTTTTGTTATTTTATGTATACGATAATGAATTATTGTGGATTGCAAAGGAGAAGAACAATCGTCATTCGTCAAAGAGCATTTATGGCGGGTGATGTGAAGCAGTGAAAGTGACGTTTACCTGTTCGGGAAATAGTACTGTTTGCTCGTTTTTAGCGGCGGCGGATTTTGGCGGGTTTCGAAAATAATCCAACTAAAATCCAGAAGCAAATAGTCAACCATGTTTCTAATCCAAATCGACTGAACAGTGACCTAAGAACAAAAATGAAGGTGAAAAGTCCGGATTTGTCCTCTGCTAATCAAGCAAATCAAGAAAATTTTAGATGCATCATTTACACATCACAACTGTGCATCTTCCTCAGCGTGTCATGACTGTCGTTAGAGTTACCTCGTTCACAGAGCATGATCCTTCTGCTGCTCTGGATTTGTTGAAGCAGCTTGTACCGTGAAACCCAGGTTGCTTGGGGCGAGGAAGAGGCATAGCAGTGTTCAGCATAAGAACCGTCGTCGACATATTAGGTCGATCTCGAAAATCTTCCTCTACACATAACAACCCAATGTGGATGCATTTCAAAACTTCCTGAGCATTGAAAGAACCCTCCATCGAAGAATCCACGACCTCTAATCCTTTGTCTTCCTTCCAGTGCTCCCATACCTGTATCATCACCAACAACTAATTCGTTTCATTAATTTCATCCAACCAGGTTTTCTATCATTTTCTCCCCATCTAGAACAAGCATGTAAAGTTATAACTTAAGGCTCACATAGGTTATCAAATTCAAGTTGTCATCTTCTGAGTAGATTCTATTGATCCTCTTGCCGGTTATTGTCTCAAGCAATATGACACCGAAACTGAAAACATCAGACTTTTCAGAAAATTTCCCGAACACTGCGTACTCTGGTGACATGTAACCACTGCATAAATGAGAATCCCCCACAGACATTATTAGAAAGTTAATGAACTACGGACTACATTTTGTTCGAAGTGAGTACAGAGAAACTAGAATACTTACTAAGTTCCACCAATGCCGGCCGTCTTCCCATAAACTTTGTCAGCCTCGAGTATCTTAGCCATGCCGAAATCTGAGATCTTGGGGTTCAGATCTCCATCCAGGAGAATATTGCTGGTTTTCAAGTCTCGATGGATGATTCGGAACCTCGAATCCTGATGAAGATACAATATTCCACGTGCAATGCCAACTATGATATTGAAACGCCTTGTCCAATCCAATACTCTGCATCCTGTTCGATCTGACAAACAAAAGGAGGATTCTTTGTATCAAAGTTCAATGGAACAACCATGAAGTAGTCACAATGGAATAGAAAGAGACCAACCAAAAAGAAAAAGGTCCAAACTTCTGTTGGGCAAGTACTCATAAATTAGCATTTGCTCTTCGTCCTCGATGCAGCATCCATGGAGCTTCACAAGATTCCGGTGTTGGAGTTTTGCAATCAATAGGACTTCATTCCTGAATTGTTCAAGGCCTTGCCTTGAATTTTTGCTCAGCCGTTTCACTGCAACTTCTTGTCCATTCGGTAGTCTCCCCTGAATTTGCAAAGGGGTTTAGTCAATTCCATTTCTTCTACGTACGCTAAAACAGCAACAGTCAAAACTATACTTAAAGTTCCTCCTTTACCTTGTGTACAGAGCCAAAACCTCCTCTTCCAAGCGTGTTAGCTGGAGAAAAATTGTTGGTAGCAGCTCGAATGGCATTGACGTTGAAGAATGGCAACTCAGGGTATACTGAATGACCCTCCATTTCCTCCCCAACCACAGAATCATTGAAGTGGTTTGAACCATTATCTGGATGGAATAAATTTCTGATCCTTCTCTTCTTTACTGTCCTCAAACACACCAAGGTATCATCTTTAAGAACTCAATGAAGGTTACAAAACATTCATTCAGCCACAAAGCACAATAGACTAGGGCAATCTCTATACCTGACCTGCTTCGCCACTTCCTGAGCCAAAAGAAGGCAAACACGATAACAAGAAGCCATGCTGAACCAATAGATGGCAGAAGAATGCTCAACTTCAACTTCAACTCAAGCGAATCGTTCAATCCACCCTGATAGTTAGCTACAACAAAAATCATATATCACAAGAGATAGAGAGTACAATAAGATCCAGAGTTTGTAGCCTGTCCTAAAACCCAGAGAAACTACTGCAGTGAACTAATTCTTGATACAATGTCATGGTCTTATATTTTGTAACTATGAACTATCAACAATTGCTTATGCTCAAGCTTAAAGCCCTCAGGAGCCACAAGCTTAACAAAGAGTTAAAACTGCTACTAATCAAGAAATGCACTACAATATGTCTTCTTCTCTTTTTAACACCCGTTACAACTAGAGTTATTGGCCGCGAATTGGATCACATTCTCATATAATCATTACCAAATTCGAAAATACGCGCAAAAATGAAAGACTTAGTGAACTTCGAAGCAAAAGAGTGGTTCACTTACCAAATTCCTCTGCATCAACACGAACATACAAATCCTGGGAACTGGCAGGGAAATACACTGTATCCACCAGTTCTCCATACCATAACAAGCAACCTTTGCCCTTCAAAGCAGCATCTATTTCAGTATACGCAGAACATGAACAGTTCTTCCTGCACTCGCGTTCGCAGCTCAGTTCCCAGCCATCTTCCTTTCCAATCCAAACTGCTCGTGAACTATCCGGAACCTTCACCTTCGGCACTCTAACAAACCCTTCTCCCGCCCCACAAAACCCATCCGAAGTTCCCAATTCCAATTCCAATTTCGATCCCAATTTCGATGGCTTCCTAACGCACCCACCGGACCCATCGAACAATCGCCAGCTTCTCGGCGACCTGGGTTCATAACCAGGCAGGCAAGAACACTCAAAAGTGTTGTCATTGCTCGGATCGCACAAACCATTCCCGCCGCAGCGTCTGTACGTATCGCATTTCTGAGTCGGGGTCGCCCAGTACTCTTTCCATCCGTCGTAGCCCTTTCGCCAGATTTTCTCCCTCAAGATCCCCTTCGTATCCAAGACTTCCCAGAAGAGAAGCGAATCGTCGTTCAGGGTGATTTGAAAGATCGCTCCTTCTTCTCTGTTGTTCACGAACGAGATGTTGAAGATGTCGCCGTAGCTCCCCCACGGCCAAGGGAGGCTTCTAGTGTAAGGTTTCCCGTCTTTGTACAAAAAGAATTGCGGGGAGCCCTTCGGGTTGACCCGAAACGAGAATTCCCCGGTTCCCGGGTCGTCCTCGGACCTCCACGAGGTTAAGAACCGGTCCAGACCCGATTCCCGGTCCAGCCCGAGTTTCGCTCCGGGTAGGAAAGTGTTCGTCGGGTAATCAAAGCTCTGCCACAGAATCGTCGAATTGGAACTGCTGAACAGCGCGAAATTCCCAGAGTCCAGAATCCGCGCCGAGCGCGGAGAATTGAAAACGAGATTGGCCGAGACGTTGGTTGACCAAATTGGAACCTGGGTTCTAGTTTGATTCTGATTCTGCTCGCCGCCGGCGAGGAGTACGAGATTGCCGGTGGAGTCGATTGAGAGGATTCCGGAGTCTCCGGCGGCAATAGGATTGTTCCCATTGGCTACCCAGACTACCGTTATCTCGGGAACTTCGTGGAACCAAATGCCGAGGTACCGGTTGGTAGAGCGGCCGGGGGAGAAGAATCCGACGGCGAATTTGCCGGTTTCCGAGACCAATACGTCGCCGTCTTTGAGCGGTTGGGTTGCGTTCACGGTGTCGTTTGAAGTGGTGGCGCGAAAGAGGGAAAAGAAAAGGAAAAAGAAGAGAAATGGCGGGTGAAGGAGCCTGCGACCGGCCATTATCTGAAATCTGGTGACGCAAGTTTTCATCATGGAGGTCAGAGTTGTCTGGAATGGCGGGCTTTCTGGAGTTATTTTTCAAATTTCCTATCATGATTTATGGAGAAAGGAATTTCCATTGTTGGTGAGAAACTGGACTGTAAAAGGTTATTTGACTGAGGCGCTGTTGTGGTGGGTGGCGCTCTATTTCGGCCGGCGGCGGATTTGGGCGAGTGGCGGTTGTTAGAAGTAGTAATCAACGGATACTAATCAACTTAATACTTAGTTAATTCGCTAAATGCCATCTTTTGATTTGGAAACTAAGGATTGTATCCCCTGTTTTCATTCTGCATCACCTGTATTAGTATACTATAGAGTGTAGACTAGGATGACGATTGGGGAAAAAATCCCAAAAATACTCTACCTATTAAAAAAAATTCCTCAAATACAATACTTATAAACTTTTTTCCCAAAATACAGCAGTTTCACCATCACTGTCTTTGTCCAAGACAGTGATAATAATCATCGCTTTGATTAAAAACGGGGAAGGTATCACCGCTTTTGAGAACAGCGGGGATAACATCACCGCTTTGAATCACAACAGTGATTGCTTCACCGCCTCGGACCACGACAGTGAATGCTTCACCGCTTTGGACCACAACAGTGATCGCATCCCCGCCTTTCACAACGACGGTGATAATCGATCTCTTCACCGCGTTTATGTGAAACGGTGATAGCATCGCGGTGGAGAAAAGCGGGGATAATTGACCACGTTTTTCTACCCTGGTAGGTGGAAAAATTAGGTCACAGCGACCTAGCTATCACCGCTTTGGACAACAGCGATGATGTGTTCACCGCCGAAGTCCAAAGCGGTGATTAGCAGCCATTTTTTCCTATAAATAGATACCAAAGCCCACTCCCTTCCTGCTGCTGCCTTACAGCAACCAAATACAACAAACCCTTTTTTTTAGTCGGTTTCTCAGCTGGTTTGGAGTTGGTTTACTGCTCAAGAAACTCGTCGGGATTCGGTATGTTAGAATTACGTATTGTTTACATTAATTTGTTTATATATATAGATTAATTATGATATGATAGATGTTAGTTAGTTAGTACTGAATTTAGATTAATTTGTTTAGTTTTCTCATGATAGATCGGGATTGAGTATGTTATAAGTATGTATTTTTTACATGTTGAGCTGTTAGTATGAATATGTCTGTTTTTAGTGAATCGCAGTTATTGGAAAATATGTTATGATATATTTAGATTAATTATGATATGATAGATGTTAGTTAGTTAGTACTGAATTAGATTAATTTGTTTAGTTTTCTCATAATAGATCAATTAGTTGCATTTTATTATGGGTTTGTTTTGTTTTTGTATCCATAATGTACTAATTGTATACTAATACTTAATTATTATAAATTGCAGACATGGGTAAATTTAAGAAGTTTCGGCTTATTATTCGGTGGAATGGTCGGGTGACAAACTCGAACATGGGGATCGACTATGAAGATGGCGAATCCAGTACGCTTACAATTGAGTCGAGGCCCTCGTGGCAAGAACTCCATGACAGGTGTGCAGAAAGGACTTGTACGGGCGGGCAAATGAGAGTTCGTCAAATTACTTACCGGTATCCCAACATGAGTGCTGACGGAGTCATGTACGAAAAAGTTGACATAAATGATGATGACGACGCGAACATGATGACACATTTCATATCTGAGAACGGCGTGCGGCTTGCAGAGGTGTATGTCGAGACCGAGCCGGTCGGTGAAACTCATTCTCACCAGTATTCTTATGATGATGGTTTTGCAGGAGGGTATGGCTGGGGTGGTAGTTCAAGTAACTACGGAGCAGGTTCTTCTGCCGGAGGGTATGGTTGGGGAGGTACTTCAAGCAACTACGGAGGAGGTAGTTCTGAAGGAGGTGTTGGGTGGGAAGAATACCTGCCACATGGTGGTGAGACTGCCGTCGATATCGTTCAGCCCGACGGTGATCAATGGCCTGCTTGGGGTCCAGAGTGGGGTGACATTGAAAACACCCTTCGAACTGGGCGTCCTTCGCATGACCAAGAAGGCGATGCTGGTTATGCTGCTAACGATGACCATCCTTCGCCGACCTATCCATTCGCCTCCAGTGACGATGAAAGTGAGGAAGATTTGAGATCTGTCAGTGAGGAGGAAGATACGGACGATAACGACGATATCGATGACAGTGAGGTGGCGTTCCGACAGGCACCAACTCCTTACTACACAGAGGTTCCTGATCAATTTTTATATGGTCAGAACGATGCCCCTGACTTTCGGCCCATGCCTGTGTATAATCCGACTGCTAATTTGGAAGTGGGTATGGCGTTCACTTCGAAAGCCGATGTGCAAGACGCTTTTAGCGAAGAAGCCATGCGGCGTAATTTCGAATGGAAGGTAAAATATTCTGACAAGGGACAACTGCATGTCATTTGTAAGAATGCTGGAGAGGGTTGTATGTGGCAACTTCGTGCTGCATATATGAAGAGAAAGGGGTCTGGGTCATGCGGACAGTAGAGAACAACCACAGTTGCTCCTCAACCATACTTTCACAGGATCACCGGCAACTGAAAGCAAAAAAAGTGGCAAGAACCATTAAGCACCTTATCGAGGCACAACCAGATATCAAGATAAAAGCTATCATGGCGGAGGTGAAGGATCGACACTCCTACACCATAAGGTATAAGAAGGCGTGGCATGGGAAACAGAAGGCCATGGCTGATGTCTACGGTGATTGGGATGACTCGTATGCTTTACTCCCCAGACTAATGTCCGCAATGGAGGAGTCCAACCCTGGGACGGTTTTCGTGCCTTGGTACAACAACGTAGAAACTGAAGATCAAGTTCGAGTACAGAACGAGTTGATGTTTCATCGTCTGTTCTGGACATTCAATCCATGCATTGACGGGTTTCCCTTCTGCATGCCAGTGATTCAGGTATATTACGGACTCAAAATATTGTACTATTTCATTACTTTACTAATTTCAATTTTTATTAACTCATTATTCATTTTAACAGGTTGATGGAACTTTCCTTACTGGGAAGTATAAAGGAACTCTTCTTATTGCCACTGGGGTTGATGGAAATTTAAGTATTTTTCCCTTAGCATTTGCATTAGTTGAAGGGGAGAACAACCTAAGTTGGGCATGGTTCTTTGACCAGCTACACGCCCACGTCACACAAAGAATGGGTATTACAATTATATCGGATCGACATGCCGGGATTAAACACGCCGTCCGTGGTTTCCCGGACGAATGAGGATGGACATGGCGTTGGTGTATTCGTCACTTCCTAGCCAATTTCCAACACAAATTTGGCAAGAAGAAAGACATAAGAGATCAATTGTGGAGTGCAGGTAATAATGTAATTCAGTGCTGATTCATGGTTTATTGTTCAAATGAAATTTCTTATGGATTAATTATTAATTATTCGGTCTTGTAGCGGTTGCACATCAACCAAAAAAGTACGAGCAGAAGATGAAGACGATCCGTCAAATACACCGGGCGGGAGCAGTATGGGCAGAAGGTCAAGATCTGCACATGTGGACATTTCACATGGACAACGGGGCTAGAATCGATATACAATCTAGGGTCGTATATCTCAGCACCCATCTATAAAAAAATATGAAATCAAATCAATTTAAATTTTAGCACCAATGTAAAAAAAAATCACAAAAGAATTAAATAAATTTACGTACTCTCAAAGCCTCTTCGTCCATTTTTTGCCGAAAAGCTAGCGAGAGTATCGACAAAAAACCAAAACTCTAGTAATTCTTTCTGATGCGGAAGATCGGACTTAGCCGCAACCACAGAGCATACTTAGAACGAAACTAGAGTGAAGTTGGAGGGAGAAAGAAGTATAAAATTTGGTGGTGTGATTTGGAATGAGGGGGGGGAGTGGTATTTATAGGGGGGAAGGGAGGGGAAGGGGACGCTGGAAATTTATGGCGGCCAATCACCGCTTTCCTCGCCTGCAGTGACAACACCGCTCCAGTCAAAGGCGATGATGGGCGGATCGCTGACGTGGCGAGGCGTGAGGCGTCGGATCGTGGAGAAAAACCACAATCCGCGCCTCACCGCATCGAACGGCAGCGGTGAAGGGCGCGGATGGCGCGGATCGCTGACGTGGCGGGGCGGGGCTATCACCGCTTTCGTCTTACGCGGTGAAGTCCCCGCTCCTCGCCACATCAGCGATCCGCGCCAACTTCACCGTTTTTGATCTCAACGGTGATAAACCTTCACCGTTGTTCTTATCAACGGTCAATCGATCACCGCGTTGGTTGAAGGCGATGATAGCTTCACCGTTTTGGACAAAAACGGTGATAGCATCACTGTTGTTGTTTAAAGCGGTGATACTATCACCGTTTTGGACCAAAACGGTGAACACCATCACTGTCTTGGACAATGACAGTGATGGTGAAACTGCTGTATTTTGGGAAAATTTTTTATAAGTCTTGTATTTGAGGAATTTTTTTTAATAGGTAGGGTATTTTGGGATTTTTTCCGACGATTGGCGGCTGATTTAAAGGAAATTATAGTGCAAGTTCTTCCACACAAGAAGATTCGTGCCATCTTTACACTTACAAATGTCACTTATACAAAATCAAGCAAGTCTAAGAATGCCTTTAAAAACAACTTTAGGGGATCTAAAACGAACGAGCAAACATTAAGGGGAAGATGAGGGAAGAATCCAGAAAAGCATTGGAGTGCATTATCATTTAACTAATCACAGGATATTATTAAGTGTACTTGGTTAAGGAAGCAAAGAACTTGACACGGATATTATCACATATTCACATTAAGAAGAAACGGTGAAAATCCCATTTACAAAATTAAGACTAGGTGAAAGAATCAAAGAAACTTCAAACCAGTACGTATACACATTGAAATGACATCTTCATCACTAAATTAAGGACTGACTTCAGCGACTATGGATTCCCGAAAATGACATCTCATTTACTGAGCAAGTCGCTTCTTTTGGGAATAGTACCTTGGATCTCACGCAAACAAATGCAGGTTGTTTAGGCAAGGGAACAGGAGCTGTTTTGCTGCTCAACATAAGAACCACAGCCAGCATATCGGGGCGATCTGCTGCGTTTTCTTCCACACACAGCAACCCGATCTGGATGCATCTCAGTGCCTCATTCGAGCATTTAAGTGAGAGCGATGCGTCGATTACTTCCCAGGCTCTGTCTGCCTTCCATAACTCCCACACCTGTCAAAGAAAGCTCCTCAATTACATAATGCAGCAACATGAATCAACTGAATTCTGCTGACCAATATTTAACCATTTACATGGGCGATCAAGCTCGAAGAAGCATCCTCCTCTGGGAACCCATTGCTCTTCTTCCCAGATACAGTTTCCAGCAAGATAACGCCAAAGCTGAAGACATCGGATTTCACTGAAAATCTTCCAAACACCGCATACTCGGGTGACATGTATCCACTGCAGAACCAACATTGAAATGATTATTAGAGTTCACCAATCCACATTACACCCGAAAACCTAACTCTTAACAGCTTATTCTCTAAATAGAAACTTACTAAGTTCCACAAATTCTACTTTCCTTCCCTTCAACCTGATCCTTGTCCAACATTCTAGCCATCCCAAAATCAGAAATTTTGGGATTCAACTCAGCATCAAGGAGGATATTGCTCGGTTTTAAATCTCGATGAATTATTCTGAACCTTGAATCCTGATGAAGATACAAGATCCCACGTGCAGTACCGGTTATGATCTCAAACCGTTTCCTCCAGTCCAAGATTGATCTTTTGTTCTGATCAACTATCAAAGATAGAAAAGAAAAAATGAAAATGAAAAGAATAATAACATCAGATTGGCAGACAAGATTCATTAGTCACACAATAAGACCATCAATAGGTACAGGAGCTTACCGAAAAGAAGCGAATCGAAACTGTTATACGGCAAGTATTCATAAACTAACATCTGTTCATCTTCCTCAATGCAGCAACCATAAAGCTTCACAAGGTTCCTGTGTTGGAGCTTTGCAATTAATAGTACCTCATTCTTAAATTGTTCTAAGCCCTGCCTTGAATTCTTGGACAATCGTTTGACAGCAACCTCTTGTCCATTTGATAGTTTCCCCTGAAATGTCAAGAGGAGAATTAAATGAGAGCAGCCATAATCAAGCTTCCAGACGTTGTTGCAAAGAAGCTTTACCTTGTAGACTAAGCTAGAACCCCCATGTCCAAGTTTGTTTGCCGGAGAAAAATTGTCAGTGGCTTCATGTATTGTGCTGAGGCTAAAAAATGGTAACTCGGGGTAGATAGTACTTCGCTTGAAATCTCTTGGGGCCAAAGAATCTTCCGAGTAAGTTGAACCATCACTGTAATGAAATAAATCTCTGATCCGTCTGTTCTTCACTGCCATTCACAGAAACAGCAGATTAATTGCGATAAATTAACAACTCAGAATTCACAGCTTTTAGAAAACAGATAAATTATGAAGACAATTAGGCACAAAGAACCGGTGAAGTCAGATCAATACCCCTCCTCATCTTCCACTTCCTCAGCCACAAATAGGCCAACAGGATAATGACAAGCCATACTGAGACAACGGACGGTACAATGATACTCAACTTCAACTTCAATTTGAATTCAAGAAATTTATTGGATTCCTTCATATAATCAGCTGTTCATCAAAAGCAAACGCAATCAGAATGCAAGAACAGAATCATTTGAATCCCCTCCTTTCTCTAACGCGTGAGAGAGTTAATGTTGAAGAGCATACAGGTACCTAATTCATGAGCATCAACACGAACATATAGATCATAAGCATCGACTGGCAAGTTCACCGTATCCATCAGCTCCCCATGCCATGTCCAACAGGAAGTCCCTTTCCCATTATCATAGGTAGCATATGCAGAGCATGAACAGTTCTTTCTGCATTCTGCTTCACAATTCAATTTACTCACGCTCAAGTTCATCCAAGCTGCTGCTGAAGTATCAGGAATCTTCACTTTTTCAACTCTCACAAACCCTTCTCCGCTCCCACATATAGAAGATGATTCTAATTGCTTTCTTACACAGCCACTCGATCCATCTCTTAATTTCCAGTTTCGAGGGTACCTCGGTTCATACCCAGGTAGACAAGCACATTCATATGGGAAAACAATGCTAGAATAACATTTGCCATTAGGACCACAGCTCCCATAGAAATCACACATCTGCTTAGGTGATGAAAAAAATACCTTCCATTCGCCATCACCGTGATCCCATGCCAAGAACTTCAACAAACCCAAAGGATCAATGACCACCCTCATAAGAGCAGAAGCATCCCCGGGAGTATATGAATAGGATAGTTCCAGTTCATTATTAACAAAAGAGTCATTAAATAGTTCATAACTTTTCCATGGAAATGGAACGTTACGCCAATAAGGATTTATACCTCGGTACAGAAACAACTGTGGCGAGCCGCTTGGGTTAAGCTTGTATGAGAACTGCCCTGTGCCAGGGTCATCGACTGATCTCCAAGATGTCAAGAAGCGACTTACACCTGTTGTCCGATTCAGACCAACTTTCATGCCAGGTAGAAAAGTGTCTGTAGGATTGTCAAAGCTCTGCCACACAGTAGCCATCTTACTCGTACCACCTTCCATCAACACTAAATTTCCTGAATCAAGTAACTGAGCCAGGCACGGACCTTTTGATCCCGCTAAAGCATTAGCAGACCATGCTGGAAGCCTGCTGCTACTGTTACTATACAGAAAAAGGTTGCAATATCCGTTAAGCGAAAGAACTCCTGAAGTCCCACTGATTGGATTGTCTCTATTTGCAACCCACACCACAGTGCGGTTTGGTATCTCGTGGTACCAAATTCCAAGATACCTGCCCCTGGAACGGCCCGGACTAAAGAACCCCAGAGCAAATTTACCACCTTTGGAGATCAACAGGCTTCCATCGGCAATGGATTCATTCGCAGCTATGGCAGCACGAAAGGCAGAGCATGTCTGTTGGCAAAAAAGAAGCAGAGAAAGCAGAACAAGTATTGCAACGTCCATGGTGGTGAATCATTACCTCCACACGACCAGCCGCCAGCCTAAGCTTCATTAAATGATAAACCCATCCATCAAAAAGTACAAAATTACCGAGAAGCTTCACTGAAGGCCAAAAAAAAAAAAAACTTTTGCCGTGGCAGGCTTGACTATTTAGAGACTCTGATTCAATTGTCCACCATTTTGTAATGCCTCCAGATACCTAACATCAATCGACGGCGCACCAAATTTCCATATCCATGCCTAAGTGTCCATGACTTTTACGTTTCTATGGACTGCAGCTGAGTAATAAAAAATTGTACCAACAGAGGACCGCTATCCTTCAGCGCTGACTCACGAGATCTGTACCTGACATGGACTCTTCCACCGAAGGTGGAGGGCCATAGTTATGCGTTAGTGATTCGGGTGGCGCGATTGATAGCGACTCATTTCCCAGGTTAGAGTTACGGGAAAGCAAGTGTGAACGCCATTCGAATACGAGATTTCCGCCGCAGGAGATAGAAATTGAGAAGGCACCTGATTGCAGACTCTCGCTAACGACGGAGAAATTGAACAAGTCACACCTGATTTGCAGGCAACTTGTCGGCGGCGCTGGTACCGGTGCCGCCGAATCAAGGATCGACGTATATCTCTCCGATTCATCTTCCAGTGAATCTTCAGCAAAAGTTTGAATTTTGCTCCTAATCGAGATTCAGATCGGAGGGAGGAAACATTAACCCTAAGTCCCTAACCCTAATCTTGGAGCATACGTCTAGCCCTTCGCCGTCCGGTTAGCTCACATTTCTAAGACGGACGGAGCGCGCGAAGAATACTACTGCATTTTAGGCTATCCAGCGGAAGGCTTTCGACCACCGAGGCGGGCGCTAAATGGGCCAGCTCTCCAGTTCGCTGGGCTTTTGGCCCACTCGAGTATTTGTCCGAGTCACGAATGGAGGCGAAACGGTTGAAGAAACGTAAAATTATGAAACGTTGTTGAAGCGAGAGCCGTTTCAGGCTCTTAAAAACTCAAACCGAAACGCGAGAAATAGACGAGAAAGGAAAATTGAATTGATACCACGATATGCATAAACATGACTGAATTTGGATGAATAAGGAAAACGAGTACAAGAAGACAAGAAGTCATTGATTGAGATTATAAATAATTCAAGAATAAATGATTCAATATATCAAATCAACAATCAAATACATATATTATGTTTCACTTCGAAACACAAAAAAAGATAAATTATGTACAACAGTACATGAATTCGTCAAATGCATCATTTACAATCTCAAACACCCAACAATGCCTATGGTACAGTTGCATATGTGTTAGCAAACACAATCCAAAGTGAATGATTGCCAACTAGCCATACTACATGGACATGAGTGGGTATTAATGCTTTTTTCTGTAAAACCTACACTACAATTAGTCATTTACATCATCAAAGAGGATGAGAAAAAGCAAGTAGATAGTCCATGGAGCCTTGAACCCGACGTCTGTAGCTGACACAATTTTCCGGGATACAATCAATTATATCAAAATAATATATCATCCGACTCAATTTTGAGTTTCAAATTTTTAAGTTGACTCAATCTCTTTGATCACTCTACTAAAAGGTTATGTTAGCAACTAAAAGTTCCTGAAAATCCTTCAGGGAACTAGACTACGAAGTTACGTCAACGACTAAAAATCCCCGAAAATGACATCTCATTTACCGAGCAAATTAGTTCTCTTGTCAGCAATACCTCGGATCTCACGCTAACAAATGCAGGTTGTTTGGGAGACGGAATTGGCGTTGTTTCGCTGCTCAACATGAGAACCACAGCCTGCATATCTGGTCGATGTGCTGCAGTTTCCTCCACGCAGAGCAGCCCAATCTGGATGCATCTCACTGCCTCGTTCGAGTCTCTAAGTGACAGCGACGAATCGACTACCTCCGAGACTCTGCCCGCCCTCCATATCAGGGAAGAACAGTGGTTCTTCGCGGCAACCAGTTCAAACAGAAGAAGCAGAGTCGACCGTTGCTCCCAACGGTGTCGTTCCAACAACCAAACAGAGAAGCCCCGCTGCCCTCGACGCTGTCGTTCCAAAGAGCAAAGTTAGGAGCTGGAGTGATGTCGTTTCTGGCATATTCCCACTTAGTCACTGATCTTTTCATTTCTGTTGCTTCCTATTTTGGTATTGTACTTGCTTAAGACACAAGTCTTGTCTTCTTCCTCAATCTGTCTGTAAACCCAAAACTATCAGCTATATAAGCTGGAAATCAATGGAACAGAACTAAGCTCTTTTCTCCTCAACCCTAAAAGGTTGTCATGGTATCAGAGCCTCAACCCTAGCCGCCACCACCACCATCAACAATGGCTGACGCTCAAACTGAAGCATCCACCCCACCCAATGTCGACCCAATGTCTGACCCCTTCTACCTACATGGATCTGAACAACCTGGCACCCAGCTCGTTGCAGAGAAGCTCACTCCCACAAACTACATAGACTGGAGCAAAGCTTTTCACAACGCCCTTGGAGCCAAAAACAAACTTGGATTTGTGGATGGTACCATTCCAGATCCAGGGCCTGGCCAACCCACTTCTTGGGCATGGACCAGGAACAACATCATGGTGCTTTCATGGATCCAACAAGCAGTGGATCCTGGCATTCGCAAGACAATCATGTCTTCTAAGACAGCCCTTGAAGCTTGGAGAAGCCTACGTGACAGGTATGGCCAAGGGGATATGGTTCGCATTGCAGAGCTGATTGAGCAAATCTGCACACTGAAGCAAGGTAATCTCTCTGTCACTGAATACTATGGAAACCTCATAGCATTAAGGGACGAACTCGACAACTACCAACCCCTTGAGCCTTGTGCCTGCTCCACCACTAGTCACAACACCTGTCGAGCCATGTTGCTGGTCTTAGGTTACAGAGACACTAACTATGTCATTCAGTTCCTAAGAGGTCTCAATGACAACTTTTCCACTGTGAGGTCACAAGTTCTATTTGGTGATGCTCTACCACCAATAGATCGTGTTTTCCAACGAATGCTCCAACATGAAAGACAACTAACCAGTTCTCAACCCAGCAAAACCCTCACCACAGAAAGCCTGGCCTTTGCTGCTCATGGCAACCCCAACTATCTTGGCAAAAATCCCAGACCCTATTGCACATTCTGCAAATTCACTGGCCACACAGAAGACACATGTTACCACAAACATGGGTGGCCACCAGGCATGACCAACCCCAAAAACTCACCTACATCAAACAGATCTATTGAGTGCTCTCACTGCAAGAAGCAGGGGCACACTGAGGACAAATGCTTCCAAAAGCATGGTTATCCATCCAGACCAAACTCCAAAGCCAAAGTCTCTGCCAATGCCACTACCACTTCTGCAGAAAATGATGAAGTCAGACTCACAAAGACTGAATATGAGAAGTTCTTGAACCTCATGAAAGAAAAGGACATGAACAAGAAGAACATCACCTCCAGTTCTTCCTTTTCTGCTGCTACATGGGTCAACCAGCCTCCCTCTGCACCAGGTAAATTCAGTTTAACTGTTCCTCCTAGTTCCACATCTCAGCATGCCTGGATCTTGGACACAGGTGCCTCAGACCACATAGTGTGTTCTCTGACTTACCTTGTTCAACCAAGACCTATATCACACATTCCCATTACTCTACCCACAGGAGACCAGGTTCATGCTACTCACATTGGCACAGTTACTTGTGTTGCCAACCTTGTTCTTGATAATGTCTTATTTGTTCCCCAATTCAACTTCAATCTCATATCTGTGAGCAAACTCACCACAAATCCCTCACTTCACTTAACATTCTTCTCTACTGTCTGTCTAATACAGGATTTGCAGTTGAGGAGGATGATTGGTTCTGCTAAGCTCACCAATGGCCTTTACTTTTTTGATAGGAACCTCATAGATCAACCCTCCCCTCATTTTGCTGCCACTTCCACACAGACTTTTGACCTATGGCACTATAGACTAGGTCATGTTTCACACTCCAAAGTCCCTCTTTTGAGGCAAATCTGTACATCCATAGAAACAGATGCTTCTATACCCTGTGATACTTGTCATTTTGCTAGGCAGAAAAGGCTCCCTTTCCCTTGTAGCAACACTGTTTGCACAAGAGCCTTTGAACTTATTCATGTTGATCTCTGGGGTCCAAACTCAGTCCCAAGTCATGATGGTTTCAGATATTTTTTAACAATTGTTGATGATTTCACTCGCATGACTTGGATTATTCTCTTGCAAACCAAATCTGAAACCAGTCCCAAACTTCAACACTTCTGCAACCATGTTGCCAAACAGTTCCAACTCTCAGTTCAGAGAATTAGGAGTGACCAGGGCCAAGAATTTAAAATGCATGACTTCTTTAACACAACTGGCATCCTACATGAACAATCCTGTGTAGAAACACCCCAACAGAATAGCAAAGTGGAAAGAAAACACCAACACATACTGAATGTTGCTAGAGCTCTCAAATTCCAAGCAAACCTTCCTTCTGGTTTTTGGTCTGACTGTGTTAAACATGCAGTCCACCTCATCAATCGAGTCCCCACCATTGTCCTAAACAACCTGACCCCCTACCAAAAACTCTTTCAAAAGCCACCTGATCTCACAGATTTAAGAGTGTTTGGCTGTTTGTGCTATGCCAATACACTCAACAGAAACAGAACCAAGTTTGATCCTAGGGCCAGGAAATGTGTTTTCTTAGGATTCACTACTGGCATAAAGGGATACAAACTATATGATCTGGACTCAAATGAGGTTTTCACATCCAGAGATGTACACTTCTATGAAAACAATTTCCCATTCCAAACCACTCCATCTTCTCCATCCCTTAACAGCCCTTACCCTCCTTCTTCCAACCCAGCCCTCTTTGATGACTTCAGCCCACTCTACCATCCTACCAACTCTCCCACTCCTGACCAAGACCAATTCCTCAATGACCTGCACTTTGAGACTGATTCTGATGACCCATCTGACTCACCAACCCCATCCCCATCTTCTCCACCACATCCACCATCACCACCTCCCCCCACCCAACCTACACAACCTCCTCTCAGAAAATCAACCAGAACTGTCAAACCTCCCAAACACCTACAATCTTACCATTGCAACCTGCTTCAGCAGACTTCTTCTACCAATCATCCTCCAATGCAGCAACATCCAGGTATTACCTATCCCCTCTCTTCTGTGATTGATTACTCAAATCTTTCACCCTCACACAAACATTTTGCTCTAAGCATCTCTACACTCAAGGAACCAGAAACATATCAGGAAGCTTTTCTATCAGATGAATGGAATGCTGCCATGAAATCTGAAACTCAGGCATTGGAGGCCAACAACACATGGGACATTGTTGAAAGACCCCCGAACACAAGAATCATTGGCAACAAATGGGTATACAAATTCAAATTCAATTCTGATGGTTCCCTTGAAAGAAGAAAAGCCAGACTTGTTGCCAAAGGCTATACACAACAGGAAGGAGTCGACTACCAAGACACCTTTGCCCCTGTTGTGAAGATGACCACAATCAGACTCTTCCTGGCTCTTGCTGCATCTCAATCCTGGTTTATTCACCACCTCGACGTCAACAATGCATTTTTACATGGTGATTTAGACCAGGATGTCTATATGAAGCTCCCACCTGGCTATTCTCCTCCACCTGGCTTCAAGCATCCAGTCTGCAAACTCAAAAAATCCCTCTATGGCCTCAAGCAAGCATCTCGACAGTGGTTTTCTAAGTTAGCAGACAAGCTTCACAACCAAGGCTACCAATCCAGTAAAGTGGACCACTCACTCTTCTTCAAAACAAATGGCAGCTCATACACAAGCATACTAGTCTATGTTGATGACTTAGTTGTTGGCGGCAATGACTTACAAGAGATCCAAAACATCAAATCATTTCTGCATCAGGCTTTCAGCATCAAAGACCTTGGGAACTTGAAGTTCTTCCTGGGAATTGAAGTAGCACGCAGCAACTCTGGCATTCACATTTCCCAGAGGAAATACACTCTTGAAATATTAGAAGATGCTGACCTCCTGCACTCCAAACCAGCCTCCACCCCAATTGACTACAAGACCCACCTTTCTGCTTCACACAATGACCCATTTCCAGACCCAGAATCATACAGGCGACTCGTTGGTAAGCTGATTTACCTCACCACCACTCGCCCCGACATCAGTTATGCCACTCAACAAGTCAGCCAGTATATGACCAATCCCAGCAATGCTCATTACAAGGCTGTTCTTCGCATTCTGCGATACCTCAAGACTGCCCCTTCCAGTGGCATCTTCTTTTCCTCCAACTCCAGTCTACATCTCAAAGCATTCAGCGACTCAGATTGGGCTGCTTGCATTGACACACGTCGCTCTGTAACTGGGTATTGTGTCTATCTGGGTGACTCTCTGATTTCGTGGAAAAGCAAGAAGCAAACAACAATTTCTCGGTCATCCTGCGAGGCAGAGTACAGAGCACTGGCCTTCACCACATGTGAGATCCAATGGATTCTCTATCTACTTCGGGACTTCAAAATTCCACACCCACAGCCAGCCACTCTCTACTGTGACAATCAATCAGCGATTTACATCGCCGAAAACCCTACATTTCACGAACGAACTAAGCATATCGAACTCGATTGCCACTTCGTTCGTGAAAAACTTCTTGCAGGCACAATCAAGATTCTCCATGTCTCTTCCAGCCACCAACTGGCTGACATCCTCACCAAACCACTTCCGCCGGCGATCTTTGCAACCCTTTTTTCCAAGCTTGGAGTCCACAATCTCTGCCCTCCAGCTTGCGGGGGGGTATCAGGGAAGAACAGTGGTTCTTCGCGGCAACCAGTTCAAACAGAAGAAGCAGAGTCGACCGTTGCTCCCAACGGTGTCGTTCCAACAACCAAACAGAGAAGCCCCGCTGCCCTCGACGCTGTCGTTCCAAAGAGCAAAGTTAGGAGCTGGAGTGATGTCGTTTCTGGCATATTCCCACTTAGTCACTGATCTTTTCATTTCTGTTGCTTCCTATTTTGGTATTGTACTTGCTTAAGACACAAGTCTTGTCTTCTTCCTCAATCTGTCTGTAAACCCAAAACTATCAGCTATATAAGCTGGAAATCAATGGAACAGAACTAAGCTCTTTTCTCCTCAACCCTAAAAGGTTGTCACTCCATAACTCCCACACCTGTTTGAAAAAGTTTCACCATTGAAAAACTATCAGACTATAAAACATCATTGGTAGCTTAATAGCTCTGTGACCATGTCCTCAACTAGACCACTTACATGACTGATCAAGCTCAACGAAGGATCTTCCTGGGAAAACCCATTGATCTTCTTCCCAGTGACGGTTTCTAATAATATCACCCCAAAGCTGAACACATCAGATTTTACAGAGAACCTTCCAAAGAGCCCGTACTCAGGTGACATGTAGCCACTGCACCAAGCAACATGGGAAAAAAAGTGTCATACTTCACAATTCACGAAATCAAGACGCATTTGAGCACCAAAGGTAGCTCTTTTCAAGCAGATATATATACATGAACTTACTACGTTCCGCCAATTCTGCTTGTCGTCCCTTCGACTTGGTCGCCGTTCAATATTCTGGCCATCCCAAAATCAGAAATTTTGGGATTCAGCTCAGCATCAAGGAGAATGTTACTGGGTTTCAGATCTCTATGTATTATTCTGAATCTTGAATCTCGATGAAGATACAAGATCCCACGAGCAATTCCCACGATGACGTTAAATCGTTTCCTCCAATCCAAAACTGACCTTAAGCTCTCGTCTACTGTCCAAAAATGAAATGAACAACAATGTCAAATCATCAGCGTCCCACCGTTAGGATCATCGTGAAATATGAGAGATCACTTACCGAAGAGAAGCGAGTCCAAACTATTCTGGGGCAGGTACTCATAGACCAGAATCTGTTCATCTTGCTCAATGCAGCAACCATAAAGCTTCACAAGGTTCCTGTGCTGCAGCTTTGCAATTAAGAACACTTCGTTCTGGAACTGCTCTAACCCAGCAGTTGAATTTATGGACAATCGTTTTACAGCAACCTCTTGTCCGCTGGGCAGCTTTCCCTGAAACACCAAGAAGAACTAAATCACAGCAGCCACAGTCAAAGTTTCTTATCTGAGACCAGAGTAAGAGATCTTACCTTGTACACTAAACCAAAACCCCCTTGTCCAAGTACGTGTGCTGGAGAAAAACTGTCGGTAGCTTCGTGTATGGCGTCGAGGCTGAAGAGCAGTAATTCAGGGTAGCTAGTAGTTCGGTTGATGTCTGCTGGAGCCGAAGAATCGTCCAAGTAATTTGAACCGTCACTCGGATGAAACAGATTTATGATCTGGTTGTTCTTCACTGCCATCCAAATCAAACAAAACAAAAATCACCAAAAATGTCCAACCACAGATAAAGAAAGTTTCAAGCTTTGAACCCTGGAGAAAAATTACCCTTGCTCTGTTTCTGTTTTCTGAGCCAGAAATAAACAGAGAGGACAATGACTGCACATATTATTGAGACGACCGACGGGATGATAATGATCAACAACATCTTCATCTTCGACTCAAGAATGCTATTGGATTCCTTCAGATAATCCGAAGCTGCCAAACGAACATAGAGATCTTGCCCGCCGTCCGGGTACTGCCGCATATCCACCAACCCGCCGAACCAAATCACACAACCCGACCCGCCGCCGGTGACATTCGCGCTTGCGTAAGCCGTACACGAACAATTCCTCGCGCACAATTCCCCACACTGCTTCAATCCCAATCCCCGGTCGACCGCCGCCGCGGCGCTCTCCGGCAGCTTGACATTCCTGGTCTTCAGAAACTTATCCCGGGGGCAATTCAAATCGGTCTTCCGGGCACACCCGCCCGACCCGTCTCTCAAATTCCAGGCTTCCGGGTACCTGGGTAGGAACCCGGGGATACACTTGCAAACCGGCGACGAATTCGAATCGCAGATCCCGTAAACCCCACACTCCCTGTAGTTATCGCACTGATCTTTGGGCGCGTACCAGAACGGCCTCCACTGGCCAATCTCAGGGATCCACGTGTACCGCCGGAGAATCCCGTCGGGAGTCACCGTCAATCGGGAGTAGATCGTGTGGGAAGACACGTGGAACGAGTAGTAGACCTCTTGGCTGCCGGTAACGAATTCGAAGGAGGCGTGATTGAGGGGCTGCATTTCGGGTACGCCGCTGAACCGCGACCCGCTCCACGCCCCGCTCCGGTACACGATTCTCGAACTGGATTCGACCAGAAAGATCTCCGGGAACCCGGTGTGGTTTAATTTGAAGGAGAATTTCCCGGTTCCTGGGTTTTCCGGCCCCGCCCAGGAATTGAGGAACCGATCGAACCGCGTGGTTCGATCCCAGCCCAATTTCATCCCCGGAAGCAGAGTGTCGGTCGGGTAGTCGAAGCTCTGCCATAGGATTCGACTGGACTCTGTTCCATCATCTCTCAGGACCAGGTTCCCGGTGTCGAGAAGCTGCGCAATTGGGTAATTTCCCGACATCGTCGTCCGGTTCGTCGACCAGAGGGGATACGTTGCACGTTGGTCGAGGAGGACGAGGTTCCCGTCGGCGATTCTGAAGGCGGCGGCGGACAGATTTTGCAAAGGATCGTCTCTGTTGGCGACCCAGACGTAGGTTCGCTGAGGGATGTTCTTGTACCAAATTCCGAGGTACCAGTTGCTGGAGTTTCCTCCCGAGGCGAAGAATCCCAGCTCGAAAATCTTGCCGGCGGAGAGAAGGGTCTGGTTGTTGACTAAGGATTGATCGGCGGTCAGCACGTCGGTGGCGGATCCAGTTCGGGGAAAGAGGTAAAGAACAGAGCAGAACAAGAAGAAGAAGAGAAGTAAAGTTCTCATCTTTTGCAATGAGGAGCTTGGAGGAGAAAAGGGGTTATCTCTCTTATCTGGTTTCTTCTTTCAATATTGCGGTGGCGCCATCTTTTTCAATTAGCTTCCATGTTATGGCGGGAGAAAGGAGAAGAAGAGGAATAGTGTTGGTAGAAGTTTCTTTCTGGAAACACTCTATTTATGGAAACAATCCGTGGAAAAGTAGACATCCCAATCGGAGAACAAACGGAGGCCAATCGGAAGGCGGGTCTCCCCGCCCTCCAACACCCACCGGGTTTTCGAGTTCCAATCGGGCGGCAGGTTCCCCAATCAGCTGCACACCTGGTCCCTTTTCAAGGGAGAACTCCGACAGCTTTGTCCTTATTTTAATCTTGTCGGGAAAGATGTCGGCGTCTAACTAGTTCGGAAACCTAAACAGCAAGGTGATGCAGTAAGAAGACTGAGCATCTATCCACTAGGCCACGGGAGAAACCAGAGGGAAAGTTAGTTGGTTGTTTCTGTTGTTGCAAGTTGCAGGCTGTTCTTCTTTCTCCCTGCTTGACTCCTTCCAGGTGAATCTAGCGTTGTAACTGAGAGTATCTTTTCGCCATGTGAGCAGTAATCGTTGCCCTTACGGTGAGCTTCTAGTGTGTGTAATATATGTGCTTATGATCTGGCATATGCGTGCTAAGCCTGATTGGGCATATGCGTGCTAAGCCTGATTTGTCAGCAACATAGACTTCTTTTTTTTTTTCGTTGAATAACAGAGACTTCTTTTCTGCCTTTACATTGTGAAAATAATCACTCAAAGATAATTATAGTATAATTCCATGAAAACCGTACCAGATCTCGCACCAAAAAGTCAATAATAGAGTATTTTATGATAAACTCGTGGAGTACTATTACTATTAAATCGGCCTTAGCCTCTCTTTTTTCTTGATGAACAGTAGTGACATATTATCAGCTGTCTAACTAGACCAATTAGCATTAGGGATGACAATTTGAACCCGCCCCGCTGGGTTTTACCTGCCCTGACCCGTGATGGGGCGGGGCGAGTATCTCAATATACTCATGTCCCGCCCCACGCTACTTGGGGCGGGGCGGGTAATACCCGCGCGAGTACGGGACGGGGCGGGTCGACTCACTCTTACATACTATTGAAAAAAAATACAAGCAAAAATTTACTTTTCACAATAAAATGAAGGGAAAAAGACTTCATGATTGAATAATAGTGATAATATAATGGTAATTGAGTCTATTTAGTTGAAAAATTATGTCTAACTAGTTGAAAAAAAAGCCAAAATAGGAAATATATGAATGGAAAGCATAAGAAATTGATCTAAAAACGGGGCAGGGTAGGTCGGAAGTTAATACGCGTGCCCCATCCCACGCTACAGCTGGTCGGGTAATACCCGCCCCATTGCGAGTCAGGTCGGGTAATACCCGACGGGCGGGTTCAAATTGTCATCCCTAGCGGGCATTACCCGACCCGCAGTAGCGTGGAGCGGGGCATGGGTATCTACTTCCGACCCGCCCTGCCGCGCCCCGTTCTCGGCCCATTATGTCTCAGTTTTATACAATATCTATTCATATTTCTCATATTTTGACTTTTGTTCAACTAGTTAGACTTGATCTTTCAAATTATTAAGCTCATTTACCCATTCTATTGTCACTTTTTTTCATTCATAAAGTGGTTTCCTTTCATAATATTGTAAAGTACAAATTTGCACACATTTTATTCAAATAACATGTAAGATTACCCGCAGGTATTACCCGCCTCGCCCCACGCTTGTGCCACCCGTTTGACATCACTATTCACTAATTAGCATAGTAAAAAAGTGTTATATATTAGGGCTGGCTATTTGGACTGGACTGTTTGATTTTACCAGAAACCGGACCGTATAACTCGGACCGGGACCGGACTGGGACCGGAAAGCAAACAATCCAATCTCATATTTGGGTTTAGATTTGAGGTAAAAAACCGGATAAGAGACCCCCACACCTAAAATCAAGATCAAATTGGGGCCGAACCGGGTCAAGACCGGACTGTATCCAATCCAATCTTTGGTCCTTATATTCCTGAAAAGACAAGACTGCGACCGGATCAATTTGGTCCAATTTAACCGGACCGTATAGCCACCCCTATTATATATAGTCCACGAAGAGGTGTCATGTTTCTAACTACCCACGAACCAACATCAACTGCAATGTGAACAATATTGAAGCCCGATCTCACTGGCTTACTCATCCCACTTTAAATCCTCGCCGCCATGTTACGTCCATACCATGCCAGCCAGAACACACCAGGAGGCAGAATTGACAGCAAACTCGGCCTCCCTGTCACCTCTTCTCGCATACCAGCAACCAACATTCAGATATGGATCAATTAATTTTTATATCAAGCAAAAGAAGAACATGTTCATGGTCATGGTCATGGTCATGGGTGGAACTTGGAAGTTTATCTTTGGTCCACTGAAGACGTTTGGAAACTAGCTATTTGGTGCAGTCTTCACTTTGCAGCTCTAGTTATTGCACAACAATGGAAGTTTCGCTATTTAAATCAACTACTTGTAAACATAGTGTTGAATGATCCAGACCATGGTTTTTATTGCATATCATTCATAATTTTGCCTTACTACCTGAGAGAAAGAATTACCTGCTCAGGTCCATTAATCTATGCCCCGCAAGATCTCCCGCAGTTATCTTGAATGTCTTCAGAACAAAGAATGAGGATCTCCACAGGCCCTGTGCTGATCTCACTCTTGAACCTACACTGCAATCAATTAGACAATTAAAAGGAACTAGAAAGAGCGAGTAGGGAGTCCATGGCACGTCGTACATGACATCTGGGCTCGGCACAACTCTCTTGGCACAGTCAAGTGTATTAAAGTGATACTTAACTCAAGAATGTCTCAGTTTGATTCAGTTCCTTATATAAATAAAGAGATCACCGGACCATATGGAATAAAATGTGTTTGTAATCAAGGAGAAACTTCAAACCAGTACACCATTACATAGAAACTAATATCCATTGATACCTATCATCTGCCTAAGAAGAGGTTATGTCAACGACTAAAGATCCCTGAATATGACATCTCATTTACCGAGTATGTCGGTTCTTTTGTGAGCAACACTTTGGGTCTTGAGCAAACAAATGCAGGTTGTTTGGGGGACGGAACAGGTGTTGCTTCACTGTTCAGCATAAGAATCACAGCCAGCATATCGGGTCGATGTGCTGCAATGTCCTCCACGCACAACAGCCCAATCTGGATGCACCTTAGTGCCTCGTTCAAGTCTCTGCGTGACAGTGACAGAGACGAATCGGCTACCTCCGAGATTCTGTCTGCCCTCCATAACTCCCACACCTGTTAAAAGTTCCACCAGTGTAACTGTCAGATGATAAACATCATTGGCAGCTTAACAGCTCTGGTACCATGTAAAGTTTATAAGCAATAAGAATCATGTGATTCGCCGTAGCGCAGAAATCACGGGCAGAGTTCCAGTGACAGTTTATAAGAAATCACGTGAAAATTATTAGATAGCTACTGATAATGTCTATTTCTAACAAGAACCATGCAGCGACAGTAGTCTACTGAGGTCATGTTTTCAGTTAGACCACCTACATGACCGATCAAGCTCAACGAAGGATCTTCCAAAGAAAACTCATTCATTTTCTTCCCGGTGACAGTTTCCAGTAACATCACCCCAAAGCTGAACACGTCTGATTTCACAGAAAACCTTCCAAAGAGCGCGTACTCAGGTGACATGTAGCCACTGCACCATGTAACATGGAAAAGAGTGTTCCACTTCAAACATTCACAATCACAATACACTAGAACACATAAAGGTAGCTCTTTCAAGCAATATAACTTACTAAGTTCCGCCAATTCTAGTTGTTTTCCTTTCCATTTGGTCACCCTTCAATATTCTAGCCATCCCAAAATCAGAAATTTTGGGATTCAGCTCAGCATCCAGGAGAATATTACTAGGTTTCAGATCTCTATGAACTATTCTGAATCTTGAATCCTGATGAAGATACAAGATGCCACGAGCAATACCAACAATGATGTTAAACCGTTTCCCCCACTCTAAAACTGATCTTACGCTCTCGTCAACTGTCAAAGATTACACGTGGATATCAAATTAAAATGCCAAGTCAGCTCCATCGTAGAATCCCACCATGAAGACATCATGAGATACTTACCGAAGAGAAGCGAATCCAAACTATTGTGGGGCAGGTATTCATAGATCAGAATCTGTTCATCTTGCTCGATGCAGCAACCATAAAGCTTCACAAGGTTCCTGTGTTGGAGCTTTGCAATTAAGAATACTTCATTCTTGAATTGCTCCATCCCCTCATTTGAATTTTTGGACAATCGTTTTACAGCAACCTCTTGTCCGTTGGGCAATTTTCCCTGAGATTTCAAGAATAACTAAATCATAGCAGCCATGGTCAAGTTTTACGGACATTGCATAGAGACTTTACCTTGTACACTAAACCAAAACCTCCTTGTCCAAGTTTGTTTGCCAGAGAGAAACTGTCAGTGGCTTCATGTATGGTGTTCAGGCTGAAAAACGGTAATTCAGGGTAGATAGTACTTCGTTTTGTGTCTTTTGAAGCCAAAGAATCATCCAAGTAATTTGAATCATCACTCGGACGATGAAATATATTCCTGATCTGCCTGTTCTTCGCTGCCATAAAAAACAAAAGTATAAACACAGACAAGAATGTTTGAAGCCTTTACCCCTTGCACAAATACTAATTATGAAGGCACAGAGCAATAGTGAAGGTAGATCATCAATACCCCTGCTCTTCTTCCGCTTTTTGAGCCACAAATAAACGGACAAGAAAATGACAAGCCACGCTGAGATGATGGATGGTATAATAATACTGAAATGCAACTTCATCTTCAACTCAAGAAAGCCACTGGACTCCTTCAGATAATCAGCTGTATGAAATGGGTTACAACATCAATCAGAAACATAGAAAGATAATAAGAAAGGAGCATAGCCTTATGAGAGGAAAAACATCAGTTTATTCACTCCCTTCTCATGCTTTCTTTAGATTTCGTTATGCTGCGGAGGAGTAGTGTTGTGGAGCATATTGATTTACCTAGTTCAAGAGCATCAACACGAACATAGAGATCGTAATCACGAGGTTGAGAGTACACTGTATCCATCAGTGCCCCGTACCATATCAAACAACCAATCCCTTTCTCATCAGTAGCAATGGTAGCATATGCTGAGCACAAACAGTTTCTTCTGCATTCACCTTCACAGGTCAATTTCCTTGTTCCCAAGTCCATCCAGATGGCTGCTGAAGTATCAGGAAGCTTCACTTTTGCCACTCTCACAAACCCATCTCCGTCCCCACAAAAAGAAGATGATTCTGATCTCTTTCTGACGCACCCACCAGATCCATCTTTTAAATGCCACTTTCTGGGGTACTTAGGTTCATAACCAGGTAAACAAGTACATTCAAATGGAAAAGAAATGCTAGGGTCGCACTTACTGTTAGGGCCACAACTTCCATAGAAATCACACTTCTGCTTAGGGGTTGTATAGTAGACCCTCCACCGGCCATCGCTTTCATCGTGTGTCATTAACATCAAGGTTCCTGAAGGATCGACGACTACCCTCACGAGCACAGACGAGTCCACAAGATCAATTGACACGAAGATCCCATCCTCATTGTCTACAAATGAGTCATTGTATAACTCATGGTTACCCTCCCACCTCTGCCATGGCCAAGGAGGGGCCCGCCAATAAGAATTGATACCATGGTTCATAAACAACTGCGATGAGGCACTTGGCTTTATCTTATATGAGAAATTCCCAGTACCTGGATCATCCTCTGATCTCCAAGATGTCAGGAAGCTGCTTAAACCTGTTCTCCTACTCAACCCAACTCTCATCCCAGGCAGCAGAGTGTCCGAAGGATAATCAAAGCTTTGCCACACAGTAGTCATCTTACTTTTACCTTCCCTCAACACTAAATTTCCTGAATCCAACAGCTGAGCTACACAGGTACCATTTGATCCCGCTGAAACATTAGCAGACCACAGTGGAAGTTTGCTGCTACTATTACTATAGAGATGCAGGCAGCAATATCCATGACCCGTAAGAATCCCTGAAGTTCCAGTGATGGGATCGTTCCGATTAGCAACCCACACCACGGATCGCTCTTGTATCCCATGGTACCAAATGCCAAGATATCTATAGCTCGAACTGCCAGGACTGAAAAATCCCAGCGCAAACCTACCACCTCTAGAGATCACCAGGCTCCCGTCGCTCAAGGATTCATTCGCGGCTATCGTATCACGAGAGGCGGAGCATGTTTGGTGGCAGAAAAGAAGCAGAGAAAGTAGAACAACATTTGCAGAGTTCATGGTTAGTTTCCTTCCCCAAGAGAGCCGCCAACCCACCCTTCATTAGAAGCAAAATTTTGACGTTTATACGGCAGGCTGACTCCATCGAGACTTTTACTCGTTGCCCACCATTTTTTTCTTTCCTTCAAGATGCAAAAAGTAAACGGACGAGAAACAAATTTCCACAGCAGACTATTTGGTCACCTCCGTGTGGCGATGACTTTTCAACAACCATGGACTACTGTGAACTAGTCAGCAAAATGTAACAGCTCACCTTTAGCGCTGAATCTCAGGATCCTCGCCTGAGATGAACTCCTGGATCGAGTGCCATAGCAGCTCCGGTGAGCCGAAAGATAGCGATTCAAATTTAGGTCATGATTTTGGGAACAGATAGTGAGAATAGCATTCCAATAGAGGAGCTGCCGATTGCGGACCGTTTCGAGAACTTACAAACGATGGATAGAAATGGCGACCTGACACCCGCCGAATTAAGGTCGTCGTCGATTCATCTTCGACTGAATCGACGACCAAATTAGAACTCCGGTCACTGACCGAAACCCATTACCGGAAAACCGCGCCAATCTCTTCCGGATTAGGGATGAAGTACTAGATTTTCGTGGCGGGGACTAAATGGGCCTGCTGTCCTACCTACATGGGCTTTTCAGCTCGTGTTGAATTCCCGTCAACTGGGCCCAACTATGGTATTTGTTTAATAATCATAAGCATATTCTCTCAACTGTAAAAATTAATTTGGATTTTATTTACTTTCTGTTACAGAAATGCGAAATTAAGACGACGAACATATATTAGAGAAAGAAAGAGAGAGTAGAATGAATTCAATGACATTGGTTTGGAGCAGACGAGTGCTGTAATTCTTCCAATTCTTCAAAGAGTGTAGTGTTGGTTCATGGAGTCGATATCGTAGCCCTTAAGCTTGGCAAAAGACTCCACTCTTCCTTTGAGCGTGTGAAGCTCCCTCATCCTCGCGATCTCAGCGCGCTTTCTGGCTTCCTCCGCCATGAGACTGATCTCTCTGTAAGTGCTCTTCTCCGAGAAGATCTTCATTTCCGAATCGCTCTGGAGTCCATGCAGGGTTCTCTGCTCCGTCGCCCACGCCGCTTCCCTCTCTTCCCTTCCAAAATCCTTCTTGTTGGTGAACGCTGTCCTCTTGTCCACAACCAGTCCCCAAGCTCTGCCGCTGAGAGCGTACATGACGATGAATTTGATGGGATCCAGGAGCATGTAAGTGACGGCGTTGAATGCCCAGATGGCTCCAGTCCACTTCCATCCAATGCTTCTGATTCCCGCGAATTTCCAGTTCGCTTCCGCCGAGATCACTGTTGCAATCTGCATACAAGCAACCCAGGAGAGTATTATTTACTATTGTTGTTGTTAAGTAGGATTGGAAACAATGCGGTCAAAATCGCGATTCTATGTTGAAGCGTTCTAGAAGTGTACAAACTTAAGCTTTTGACCTTTAAAGCGTAGATTTTGACTACAATTGTAAGGGAAAGTGTGATTATACGTAGAAGCGTTTTGGTGACGGAAAAGTAGAAATGGGGTTTTACCAGTTGGGCGACAAGGAAGGCGAAGACGAGCAGAAAGCCAGGGCGTTCCTGGAAAGACCATCCTCTGGAGCGGGTGACAAAGATCAAAGCTTGGCTAATGGTGCTGATCTGGAGATACAATGCCGAGGCTAGTTGCTGGTTGAGTTGATCAGCAACTGCTTTGTTTGTGAGGTCGTAGTCGTCCTGCTGGAAGCTCTTCACATGGAAGTGTTTCTGTTGAAAGGGGAAAAGGGGAGAGGGGAAATGATGCATTGGATTTTCTAGTGGACGATCATGAGAGGAAATAACACTGATTGTTTGCTACTTACCGAGAAGAAGTTGGTTTCGTAAGCCAGCCAGAAGAAGGCGACGGTCATGAGTGCTAAGTAGCCACCAAGGACGACGCCAGTGGCGAAAATCTCACTCAGCCTCCAGCTATCAGGTACGGGTGATGGTTTAACCCTGTCTTTGGATATGGTCATGATTGTTCCTGCAACCCGAAACAGAAACCAATGAAAACTTGTAGACACTTGGATAATGGTTCATGTAAGCTTGTAATTCAAGGAACAAGGAAGTGGGGAAATGGAATGAAGCTGACCATCGTTAAGAATGGCTATGACTAGGACCATGAAAGGTGGGAAGTCGAACTTCCAGAAGCAAGTCAGCATCAAGAATCCAAAGACGATACGGATGGTGATGGACACTGCATAAATCTGGAAACAAGAACAAATCATATCACAGCAGGACAGGGTTAATATTTCTTCATGAAGTTTTAAAAATGCTTTCAGGAAGATGGGTTTACTTACAGTGTAATTCTTCATTCTCTGGAAGATGGATCGGCTAGTCAGCACAGCGCTGATGATGACACTGAGACCAGGCTCTGTCAAGACTATATCAGAAGCGCCTCTGGCAGCATCGGTTGAATCCGCCACTGCAATACCAATGTCGGCTTTCTTCAAGGCAGGGGCATCATTCACTCCGTCTCCAGTCATTCCACATATGTGCTTTCTAGCTTGAAGTCTCCTCACAATCTCGTACTTGTGTTCTGCATATGATGTGAAACGGTGTCTCATTGAGTTGTTGGGATCACAGACCTTGAAATGGAAACCAAAAGGTGTTTGATTGTGTTTTATTACCAGGGAACACTCCGGCAAAGCCATCAGCTTTCTCAATGAGCTCATCAATGGGGAGAGATCCAGTTGCTTCGTTGCCACCCTCGGTAAGCAGAGATGAAGATGGGTACATATTTGTTCCCATTCCAAGCCTTCTTCCAGTCTCCTTGCCAATAGCGAGCTGATCACCTGTAATCATCTTAACACTGACTCCTAAATCCAACGCTCTCCTGATTGTTTCAGCACTGTCATGACGAGGAGGGTCGAAGAGGGGGAGAAGGCCAACAAATTCCCACGGTCCTCCGGCGCTGTCCTTGTTTCCATCTGGAACTTGCTGAAAAGGGAGAAAAAGAATTTTTCCAGTGTTTCAGTATGATTGGTGGCATTGAAATGGGCCCTTGTATAACATGATTCATGACTGATGATATTGCACATCAGTAGTTCACCTGGCGAGCAACTCCAAGGGATCTCAATCCGCGTTCTGCGAATTTGTCAATGATCGAATGAACCTTGTTTGCAAGTTCTTTTTTGTTATGTGCCAGGTTGAGAATCTGAATGTAACAGCAAGAAGAGCTGAGTTTTCTTATTAGAATGAAAGCCAATGCACCATTTTTCATGTACTATCGATGTTCTGATTGTGTACCTGTTCTGGTGCACCTTTGCTGACTCTGTGCATTTTACCTTCACCGTCCAAGTATGTGAGGGCAGTCCTTTTGTCAGTTGGGTTGAAGGGAAGGAAGTGAATTTCTCTGATCCCAGCTCGTGCCTTCAAAAGTTAAGCCATTGTAGTTGGAAAGTGAAAAACCCAAAATTTACATTCTGAAGCAAAGATGCCATATTCAACTAGAAAAAAGAGAGTACCTCCTTAGGGTCTCCCAACATGTTAACAATTGCAGTATCAATGGCATCTTGGTTCTCAAGCCTTGATGCTCTGGCAGCCATCAGCACGACCAAATCCTTGTCAACACCCCTGGCGAAAACCTTAGGATCATGAAGGCAATTAGTTCCTCTGGCAACTTAGGTCAGGTCTCAAGAAGAGCATTCTATTCACTTACCTCAACCATGGTTTTGTCCACAGTTAGCTTGTTGAGTGTCAATGTGCCTGTTTTGTCACTGCAAAGAACATCCATTCCTGCCATTTCTTCAATAGCTGTCATTCTTTTAGTGATGGCCCCCTGTGGAACATTTTCAAAGTTCAGTGATATATCCCCCAAGTTTTATACTTCTTGGCTCTTGCTACCAAATATTAGTGCTGAAGATTAACCACAGGCATTACCTGCTGAGACAGGCGATGTGATCCAATTGCCATAGTGACGGAGAGAACAGTTGGCATGGCAATTGGGATTCCACCGATCAGGAGAACAAGTAGATTATCAATCCCAACTCGGTATGCTCTCTTTTGCAGGCCATAGATCACCACGATTTCGATCACCATACCAACAGCAATTGAGCAGATGCAGAAGTTTCCGATTGCTGTCAAAACCTGAAATCATGTGCAGTAGTACCAACTCGATTAGTGATCCAGGTAATTGCAAAATAGGTTTCCCTCCTTATATTATTTTTCTAAGAGGATAAAACAAACCTTTTGGAAATGGCCAACATTGTTTGTGCTATCAACAAGATGAGCTGCTTTGCCAAAGAATGTATGAACTCCAGTTGCTATCACAACTCCTTCTATTTCGCCTTGTTTGCAAGTTGAGCCAGAGTATACTCCATCTCCAGGACTCTTGGTCACAGGAAGAGACTCTCCAGTCAAAGCAGCCTGTAAGAATTTGATACGTGTGTTTTGAGAACAAGACATTACTTGGAAAGCACAAAAATTTCTAAAGGTCTAAATTTCAAAAAGAACTAACCTGATCAATCTTTAAGGGATCTCCTTCAAGAAGGCGGGCATCAGCAGGAATGATATCGCCAAGCTTGATGCTGACTATGTCTCCAGGCACCAAAACCGCAGCATCTTCCTCGCTCCATCTGCCGTTTCGAAGGACCTTGGCCTTTGGCGCCAGCCGTGCCATGAGAGCAGCAGCGGCATTGCCAGCGTTGTTTTCCTCTATGAAACTGATAGTGGAGTTGATTATAAGCAGTACTATGATGCCAACGAAATCATGGTAATCTGCACTCTTCCCCTGCATTGAACCAGATTACGAATTCCCTCGATCAAAACTTCATTATCTTTCAAGAACATGTTCAGCACAGGGAAAAAGGAAGGAACTTTGATATTCATACCCCTCCATGTGCAAGAGTAATGGCCATGAGAGCAGCAGCCTCCATAACCCATGAAAGAGGATTCCACATAAATCCCAAGAACTTGAGGAATTTGTTTTCAGTCTTCTCCTCAAGCTTGTTATATCCAAACAGCTCCAACCTCTCCTGAACTTCGTCAGAGCTCAGACCTTCCCTTGTGCATTTGAGATGCTCAAAAACTTCTTCCATTGATGCATTTTCCTGTCCAGGGATGAAAAGTTCAGCCAAACGAAGCTATTCCTTGTACATTGTACAAAGTAAGTTAGCAGACATTATTCAATCACATACCAGATCGACGGATTCTTTCATAACTGCATCAAGTGACTGGACACCCATTATTTTTTTCCTTTCTGGGCTGTAGCTATTCGATTAAAAGGAAAAGGCAGCAGATAGTTCCTGGAGTTCACAGAGCTTGCTGCTTGAACTAAAAATTTGCAGAGGTAGAAACACACCAGATGATCAGTGATTGGTGGGTTGTGGATGAAGAGAGACTCTGGTAACTGTAGTATATATACGAAAAGAAAATGCAGAGGGAACAAATGAAAGTATGAATTTTTAGAGAGGACAGAGAGAGAAAGACAGATTGTGGAAGTGTAAGAAAGAAGTTGGAGACTGAAAAGAGAAGGGTCTTTGGTTTGGCAACTGTTACGGCTAACTGGTGGAATTAAGCTCCACTTTGGAAAATGGACACCTTTATGAACAAACAATATATATTCTACTTCACTTGACTTGAGAAGATCCGCCATGGGTCCTTAGTGTTTGTCGCCACAAGGAAATGCTCCTCCCTGTAAGCTTGCGGCTAGCAGCATACTACCTTCTTTAGTCCTCTTCGAACTGTACAAAGGAAGGGCATCATATCAGAGTAGAAACAAACCAATCTACTCTTTCAACCAGCGTGAACGAATCAAAGAGCCGCAATCTGAGGATGCACGTGGGCAGCTAAGCAGCAGCGGAAGAACCGTCAGCTTCCGCCGCGAATCGACAAGACCAGGTCAGCACTGTTCTGCGTTGCTTGATCATGAATTGCTCAGTAAAATATAAAATTACTTTCTACCAGCCTACATTGCTTCAACAAGATGCGCGAATGGATCAGCCACGGCATAAAATATCACAATTACTCTGAATTTGGCCTATGTACTGCCATGTCACCGCGTGCTGCCCGGGGAAACAAATCTTACTGCTTGCATTATGCTTGAAGAGGAACCACAAGGAACCCAGAAGATATATCTATTATAAACTTCATGCCCCTAACTCCACCATACAATTAATCTTCAAGTTCATGTCTGAATCACTGATGATTTCCCTAGCAACCAATCAAATTTCACACAGCTTCATTCAAACGAAATGAATTTATCACAAACTCAGCTGGACTTCTTTCACACAGATTTGCAGAGTTGAACAACACAGGAGTAAGTGTTCCCATTTTCAAGCACGCTCTTTAACTCGCCCCATCCATGGCTTCAACAACGAAAACAAACTTTTTCGATGAATTCATTGAATGTTATTACTCAAATTTCTTAATGCTGTAACAGCAAACCGCAAAAACAGAGTCCTGCTACATTAATATAAGCTGAAACTACTCCCCCCAAAACAAAAAGCAGCAGCATAGCAGCAAAAAAGAGCCTCTAAATTAAGAACTGAGGTCCATACAATACACTGCAATACACTATCCATACCAAGTTTATCCATAGCTAGCAGACAGATCTCAGCCCTGATGGCAATGATGAGATCTGCCCTACTTCTCGGAGCTTCTCCATGTTCCCTGCAACAATGCTCTTTCCACAAAGTAGAGACCAACAAGCACCATATAATTCTGGACATTCTTCCTCTAGCAGTAGCTTATTTTCCAAAGCACCCGTAGCTGACAGATTTTCAAGCCACACCTAACTGTGCTGTCAGCATTTGAACAGAGTGGACAAAACTTCTGAAAATTCACAGCCAACGAACAAGTGCTCTCTTGATTCTTCTCTAGCTTCGAATAGCACACATGGGGAATCCAGTTAGGGAAATAAACTTCTCTCTCCAACCTGTAACGTTCTCTTACAGCCTCTGTCGTCTCCCGTTCCATTAGATGAATAAGTTGGGTTTCTGGCTTATCCACCCCACCTTGTCAACGCAATGTTTCCAACTTGGAGTCCCATGGAGACCAAACCGCAATCCTGACCTCATCCTAGCATATGCTTAAACGCTTGCCAAATCTATTCAAGCACCATATGATTTGATAAGATATGCGCCAGCAGAGTACAAGCAAACATCCACATAATGATCCTCAGTGAGACTGTACGAAGATGTCTTCTTTACATAGCCCTGTTCCTTTCAGAAAGCAAACAAGTCACTTCCTTTCAGAAAAAAAGCCTAAATAAACTTGCTCATTACCATTTTTACATAGCCCTGTTCGCACCCACAGACATAAGTGGTTTGGGAGGGGAGAGTGATCTTATCTCAGGCGCAGAACTAGGGAATAGTATGTTGAGTTTGTGCATGAGTATGTCAGCCCTCGACGGAATGTCATTCACCAGAAACTGCTGCACAATGGGCTTCTTAAACCACTCCATCACCCCATCCCCTGGTGCTCTTAGCACCACCTTGCTCACCTCAAACGGCGACTCCAACCCACTCAGCATCTGAGCCACCACAATCTTCAGGGTTGGCCCAGTCACCAATTTGATGCGTCGCGGTATCACCCCATAGTACAGCATCCGCTTCCTGAACCTATGGAGCGTGTGCACAACTGCTATCAGAGCAGCCCCCACCGAAAGGTTCCTCACATCCAGTGACCAAGCTATATGCTGATCAAACACAATAGCCTTTGGAAACAGCTTGTTCTCATAGGCCACTTTCCAGACACATCTTGCTCGGTTAATCTGTCCCATCAGGACCAAGTAATTCAGTAGAACATTTACAAAGTACCTCGCCGCTCCTTCCTCCAACTCATAGTCTATTCCTTGGAAAAACTCCCTGACAAAGGACAGCACTGGCTGTTTCCTCTGTTCAGGGCCGGTGAAAAGCCCGCACATGAACTCGTGGGCCCTGTGCCTCGTACTGCCCAAAATCGACATCAGATGCCTCTCCTTTTGCTCATCTTGGCACCGAACAAGATGGGCTAGTATAGAAGTGTAGAGGATTAGATCCACTTTAGCAGCAGAGTTTATGTAAGTCTCGATGAGCGGCTTGGCCTGTTCATACAAACCATTCTTCATACAAGACTCAAATAGCTGTCTGATTATGAAGTTATTTGTTCTAATCCCAGAAGAACCCATGAAACGCAGCCACCTCAGAGCAAGATCAACCGAACCATCCCTTATGTACACCATTAGAACATCACTGGCACTAACATCAACAGAGAACCCCATACTTTTCATTTCCAGTAATATTTTGGCCGCAACATCAACAAGTTTTTTATTGGCTAAAAGGGTTAGAAGGGAAGTGTAGGTGCTCAGACCTGGTCTAAGGCCTGCACTAGTCATCGAGTGATATAGCCTCATGGAAGAATCTACTTGTCCAGAAGCAGCATGCATCTCCAGAAGACAGGAATATGTTGATGGAGTTGGCAGAAAGCCAGCTTTTTCCATGTCGCTGAAAATGGACATTGCAATGTCGAGCTTCCCCGACTTTGCATGGGACTCGATTATCAATGTATACAAGCCGAAGTTAGGCCTGAAACCGGTCAACTTCATCTCATCCCATAGCCTTAGAGCTCTATCTAGCTTCCCTGACTTGGCGTACGATTCTATCAACGAAACAAACATGGTGGCAGATGGCCTGTGTCCAAAACCCTGCATTTCCATGTAGATTTTCATGGATGTGTCCAACCTCCCTGCTTTGCCCATGGAATCAACGAGGGCTGAGAAAATCCCAAAGCTCGGTTGAATTTTCCTTTCCTTCATCTGTTGAAACAACTGATTAGCTGCATCAAGCCTTCCTGACTTTGCCAAGCTTGGTATCATCATCTCATAGGTTGACCTATCCAGAGAAGCATTAGCTGCTTCCATGCTCTCATATATCTCAAATGCCTTGTAAGGCAGACCCTTGTTCAGGAACAGAGTTATCAGCGCGTTATAGGTCTGCGTATCAATCTTACAGCCCGAATCCTGAACTTTCTTGAAACAATAAAATGACACCTCCAGCTTCTCAGCTTTAGCCAAATGCTGGATCACCCTATTGTGCGCACCAAACGAAGAAGGAATCTGAGCTTTACCCGAATCCTGAACCAGCTCATCAAACAACAACTGAATGGCATCAAAATCTCTGCTTCGATTCAGCCCGTCAAACAACATGACGTAACACTCGTCGCTGGGGACATACCATGGCTGCCTCTTACCCCATTTGAACAAACTCAACAAGGCACCAGGATCATCAATGAGTTTCATAGCTTGAATGACGTGGGTCATGGTCGGCACAAATTGCAGATTGTCCAATTGGGTTTCCAATTCAGGACCCCATCTCCATCTCTTCGCAACCTCGACAATTTTCGCCACCGCAGAAGCGTTTAGGATCGGCTTCTTCAGCCCACCAATCATCACATGGTCGTCGATTCCAGGTTCCACTGCCCTCACTCCTTTCCCGGCATAAATTAAACTGCCGGACTCATCCAAATACTCAATCTCCTCTGTCCAGACACCACCACTACCATCCCCGCCGCTGCCCGTTCCTGAGCAGAAATTTCTCGCGAACTTGGCATCCCCAACCAGAAGGAAAGAAGTATCTACTTTAGGATAGCGATTAACGAAATTGGCGAGCTGAAGTCGGGATATATAGCTGATACCCGGTGGGACATAGGAAAAGGAATTGAGATTCCGAGAACTAGCGCAGGAGGATTGGAATGAGGAAGTGGAGGCGGGATTAATGGTGATTGCGTAGAAACGGGCACGACGGCATAATCTGCTGGTGCGATGAAACATTGAACTCGGTGGAACCGGAAGAAAAATGCCAAAACCCTAAACCCTTCGGGAGCGAAGCAGAAAGGAAGAGTTTGAGGGGGACGAAGAAGCGCCATACGGCCATACCTGCTCTTCGTATCCTACCTGACCTTTCCTTTTTCCTGCCGGCGGGCTTGGGCCGCTAAGTTTAAAGAAACTTGTTGACGGGGCCGAAGCCCAACAACACGGAACTTTCATAGACCAAAATGGCTCCACTTCGGCCCGGTTCAGCTTCTTCCCTCTGTTCGTCAATGTCGCACAGAACAGAGCAAGCTGAGTGGGTTGATAACAATATTGGAGTTGATTTTTTTTAATTTGATTATGGAAAGACTTGAACTTCTGTGATCACCTCATAGTAGGCTCATACACATTCAAGCATGAGTTTGAAGCACTGAAGTGATTATTAACATCAGCCGCCGGTGGTATTAGTCTCCATCCCTGACAACATCCTAAATTGGAAGAAAAAATACGTGATTAGAAACTGCTCTTTGTTAACAACATAATTTTATACTTGTATTTACAGCTTTTACATTTTCATTATAGTACAAGACAAGACAAACTACTCTACTTTCTTCTCAACCACGATGAAGCAGCCGCATTATTCCAATAATTTGCATTTGAGGTGCGTACTCGACCTCTACACCACACCTCAAATGAGGTGCTTGCCATGAAGTTATCAGGGTTTGTCAACACCATACATCGCCATGTCGATTTTAAATGCTCTTCACTTCACAACAATTAACTGCATGAATTCTGCGTGGTTTCACAATCCTGTCATGTAACATTCTCTTTTTTGCCAGATTGTCTCGCTTTGCTTAAACTTGCAAACATCGTCCTCCCTGCAACTAATGTAATCAGAAACAGCTAGTACGCTTAGCTCTCGCTACTGTAACCTTTTGACATTATCAATCGGCCTATGTCCAGCATATCATAGACTATTTTCATTATAGCAACTGCTTTATAGATGCGATTGAAAGAATTCATGTTGTTAGTGAAAATAGAGTATTCATGTATTTAGATGGATTGAGATGGGGTCAATAAGTTTAAACTTTAAGACAGTCGTTCAGTAATAGATGGGTATAGATACATGAGGGAATGAGTGCAGTAGAAGTCAAACCCAATGAGGTTGCAAATTTTAGCTACAAGAACATATTCCTTTTCTTTTATGCCCTACTGTTATGTTACTCTCATGGGTTTGCACAATTTTGATAAACCTTCTAGACCATTATAAAATAATGTCAGCCAAAAGAAACATTTTGGTCGTTAATGTGTTTGCTCGCACTAATTGTACCGATTCAGAAAAATCGCTATATGTATTGCAACACATATCACAAACTACCGCCCGCCGCGAGCGCGATCTTTCCTTACTAGTATGTAGTAAGAAAGCAAGCGAAGCACATTCAGCTCTCTTTGCAGAAATGTCCTCAAATGTTTGAATGCTTTGTGAATCAGGTTCCGTGACTTTTGTGATGGTGTATGTGCTTGACGATTGCTCGATGTTGTAACTACTTAATTTGAGAGTAAATCTTTTGATTTTCCCTATGAGTTGTGATACCAGTTCTGGTGGTTGCAGCATGTTGTCGTTGTTGGCCTGTAAAAGTTGTTCCGCCGTGATGCTAAATACCTTTCTTTCTTTTTTAACAAATTGTGTAGTAGTGCTATGAAACAGACCACCCATGAACGCTACGCTTATTATGACTTGTTCTTACTTCCGGTGGTGAGAAATTGTGAATTGAGAATCATATTCGCCTACCGCACTGTGTCTGGCTGGTGGCTGCTTACTGTGCTCTCTAGAGTTATGAAACAGACTACCCATGAACGTTACCCTTAAGAGTCCATAACTTTGCGAAAAACCAAATTTAGGCAATCAAAGGTGGTGGATGTGTGATGATTTTTTATGGCTTAATTGTTTGTGAATTGGATATCTGATCTTTGTATGATTAGAGGGGGTGTTTGCTTAATAGAATAATCCATTTTAATTCATGTTTATTTTTAACATGAAGTTTAGTAACTCAAAACCTTCGAGACACATATCACCTATTGCATTGTATCATTTTGCCTGGGTGCTTGATGTGTTGTCAAACTTCTTTGCTGCTGCTGCTGCATTTACACTAACAGGGGAGTTAAAAACCCATGAATGTTTCTGTTTGACACAAAGAAGAGGACTTACTTCTAAATCGTGCATTAAAGATGATTGGAGGAAACATCTTTGTTGCAGTTGATATACTGGAGACCATAACAAAAGCAACGTATAACATCAAAACCAACCATCTGAACTATTAGCATTGTTGCTTTACTCTTTTTTCGTGGTTGAGTCTCCTTCAAAAAATTTAGTTTGATTTTAGAAAATTTTGCTTCTGCAGTCCTGTCTTGCCACCAACGCGTTCAGTAGATGGAGATGGCAGAGGCGAAGGCTATTTTTGTGTTGTTGTTGCTGGTTTAGGGATCGGTTTGTGAAGAAGAGGGGAAAGAGAGGGGGAAAGGGAAATGCAGGAGAGGGGGATAATTCTTTTCTCCGGAAAAAATGGAGTGAAGAAAGGAATTATGATCAGTAAGGATATGGTTATCTTACATAACGGTCTCTATTCTGTTTGAATTGAGCTTGGGAGGCAGTGATAAGGACGAGTTGCAACCAATTCATAGTGATAAGAGTGCTATGAACTGTGATCATGTCTTATTTCAAGTTAGAAGGTAGTTTTAGTATAAGGATTATTTAATTTGACAAGTTGTTTCGTCCATGATTCTTGGTTGTTTCAGTGCCATTCTAGCCATTGTTTAGTCTGTAATTTTTGAGAATTGATGTGCGAGTAATGACTTTCACTTAGTTTCAACTATTATGTGTGTATTTATTGGCATGTGATAGAATTCTCTTTTCCTTTTCTTTGAATTCAGTTTCATACTCTAATTGTATCATTTGTACATAGGCAAATCATGCTCGAGATGACAACTCGCTGATATGGCTGGTGCAAGGAATGAAGTCATCATTAGAATTCAGACCGACAACGGGGAGGGATGCCCAGGACTAATTCAATGATGATTGATGATGGTTTAATAAAAACTGCATTCTGCATCAGCACCAATTTCTAGGACTAAGTAAAGTTATTCAACCCATAACTCTGCTTAGCGCTAAAAATTGCCCTCACCCAACCTTGATCCTGTTTGACCCACTTCTGAAGAGTCAAGATATATGACTAATCCTCTCCGTTCATATTTTCTTATTAACTCTTTCTCACCCTTTAGGTTGGGGCGGGTCGGGAAGAATCGGATTAGTGGGTCGGTCCTAATCAAGTGGAATCCCAATCCCTTCACTCTCACTTGCTTTCTCTCCCATTCCACAAGTGAGTAACATACAGTAATCCGGCCAACGGGCCGGGTAATAAGCTAGTATGTAGTAAGAAAGCAAGCGAAGCACATTCAGCTCTCTCTGCCTTCCCTCAACCGAAACCCACTTCACTACCCTTGATAACTCTTTCTCAGTTCAAAGCCAAAAGTGACCACGTCTTTCATCTTGCTCCAAATTGGGAAATGTTTCCAAACACTTGTCATGAGAAAATAATGGGAAAAGACAGGACAAGTTCCCTTTAGGGTAAATTGCAAGTTTGGTCACTGGAATTACTTAAAAATTTCACGTTTGCCACTAAAATTAATTTATTCCATTCGCAGTCACTCAAATTAGTTCAACGGTTCAAGTTTGGTCACTCTCCGTTAGTCTCCGTTAACTTTATCTGACGTGGCAGTCAACTCTAAAAGTTGACCGTTAAATAAGTGACGTGGCATTTAAAAAATAAAATAAAATTTTTTTCATTTTTTCATTTTTTCCACCTCATTATCCCAACTCATAAAAAAATAAAACTACTCTACTTTTAGCCCTTGCCACCGTTGCAATTGAATCGCTCTCATACAGACTCGGCGGCGGCGGCGGCCCTCGCCACCGTTGCAAGCATCCCGGTTCTGCTAGGAAGGGAGGACCAGGTTGGCGACGCCTTCACTGTCGAAGTAGAAGCGGACTGCTGGACGGCGACTTGGAATACTTCATATGGTTGCCTCGGGGCTCCGACAAACTGGCGTTCCCCAGCTACACTATTCCCACCGACATCGCCGCGACCAACAGCGACGGCCACGGTTGGAAAATTACTCCTCTCACCAAATTCATCACCCCCTCCATTTTTATCCCAATTCCGGTTTTGATTTTCTTCTCAATGGAAACCACGACACTACTCCTTGTCCTTGATCTGCTTCTCCCTCTTCTCTTCTGTTTTATATATAATAAAGGATTTTGATTGTACTAAACCACAAATTTGTATTAACCTAACTTATTAACTGAAGACACACTCAGCCGTTGCCGCCGCCATGGGAGAAGAATCACCTCCCATCACTTCGTTTTGCTTGTTTGTGCTGCAATCTCTTCTTCAAATGGGTATGCTATATGAGAGCGATTCAGCTACGATAGATTTTTTATTTCGTTGTCCTTTCTCCCAGGAAGTTTCGCCGCAATCGCCGACCACTGGTTTCCGGCTGCTCTTCCCACAGCTCAATAGCCCTGCAAAATTAAACGGAAAGCTAATTGAATTCAGATTTCTATTGCGATTTGGATTCTGTAGTTCTCAATTTCGTATTCCCGCGGGAGGGGATCGAGCTAGGAGATAAAAAAAATTTGGCAATTACCGGCAAGCTTAGGGACAGCATGGCAGTTGCAACAATGGCGAGAGCTAAAAATAAATTATTTTGGATTTATTTTATTTTTGTATGGGTTGGGACGATGAGGTGGAATAATGAAAAAATTAAAAATTAGTATTTTTTATTTTTTAATTGCCACGTCATTTATTTAACGGTCAACTCTTAAAGTTGACTGCCACATCACATAAAGTTAACGGAGACTAACGGAGAGTGACCAAACTTGAATCGTTGAACTAATTTGAGTGACTACGAATGGAATAAATTAATTTTAGTGGCAAACGTGAAATTTTTAAGTAATTCCAGTG